TGCCAGAGCACACTCCACTCTCATCTTCTCCGTCTGGGCCAAGACCACTTGATGGATTTCTCCGGTGCGGAGCATCCAGTTGACAACCGAGACCGGGCCAGCCATGCGAAGTTTCACTCGGAAAGGAGATGTGTCCTCGTTCGACAAAAGGCAATCAAAGGATCTCTTCACTCGCATGGCCGAGGTGGCTGAATTGTCTTGCTGCACTGCCTCTTCATCTGGCAACTTCACGTTGTTGAAGCACACCAAGGCCTGCAAAAAGTTTGCATCATCCACCTTGCCCACGGAGACCGGTCCGAGATGCGCATCCACGGTCACGCTATTCAATGGCGCCACAGGGCAACCATTGTTCAAGCGGCAATGAGGCAGATTCGATTGCCTGTCGGGTGGACTCATCAGCGCAACAGTCGGCTGAAGCCGCAGGCAAGGACGAATGTCGCGACACTAAGGATTGCTGGAAGTCGTTCTCCTTGAAGGTGAAACGGGAGATCCACTGAGCATTGCGGAACATGTCTCTGAGGGTTGTGCGTAGATCCTTGGAATCAGCCAGCGGCTCTGGCAGAGTCACTTCCATAAGCGCTGCTGCCTTCAGCAGTAACTCGTGATACAGCATCACGGTACACTGACTGTTGCCATCGGCCAACGTCAATCTGACCGCCAGACGCTTTTCTGTGTTTCCGTCAGGATGTTGCGAACAAGGGCTGGCCCTCTTGCATCGCACGCAGGAAGCGATAAGCCACTCATTCACTCACAAGATGCCTAAGATCTGCAAGTCTGAGACCACGAAGACCGTTTCAACCTTGCGAAGTTGACCTGGCACCACAACGCCAGGGGGATGACTTCTTATCTTGCTGGCAAGTGATATTGATTCTGGGAAGTTGCAACAAGGGTGGAGACGAATCACTGGGCGACAGTCTGCATGAGGGCCAGTTATCAGCTTTGAGAGTTTTTGGAGGCAGTGTTACTGGTTTCAAAGCTCAGAAGTTACGTCTTATGCCGTCTTCGTTGGAGGCGGATGAAGTCAAAGGCTTTTCTTTTGCACGACGGGTCATATGGATGCAGTTATCTGATCGTGTGGCTCGTGGGAGAATTCGATTGTTCTCTTGTTCACGCTGTATTGATACCTACATTTTCAGGAAGTTTATTTTGGTCCTTCTGGAACAGTGCACAACTGGAAGGACTTCAGGCACAATGCACTGGGACCTTTTGGACATTCACACTTTGCAAACTCTATGCTCTGGCGGCGGCTAAGTTCTACGTCCAGAAGATCAGTTTGCAATATCTCCATATCCTGTGGACGCCATCCACAATACAATGTCTAAACGATCCCTGGGTTTCTACACTTTTCTCTCCATGGTGGGGTGTATTCTTTTTGCATGAGGATGTGGTTGTGCTAACGAGGCTCACCACGAGAAGTCCTATCGTGGGATGTATTCATTTCTGCGTACGGTGGATTTTCAGCTGGATTGAAGCGGTTTGGTTACCGCAACTTTCTTAACTGGACGATTTGCTGCAGAATGATGCATTCGCATCTGCATTTGGTGTGAGAATCAGACGCCTTGGCTGAAGTGCCATAGCTTATCTCTGACGTTTTACACCGTCATCACGTTCCGTGATGACGTGGTACCATATTATGGAGCCTGTCGCTCCATTAGCAAAACACTGACTATTTGTCAACGGTGATCAAGGTGATTGACCTTTATTGCTGTGATTGGTTGGTGCCAAGTATCATCTGTGAGAGATGAACTTGGACACCAACTCTACTGCGATTGGAACAACTGGTTTGGATCGCGTATTTCTTTATCTGGCGTTTCTGCATTATGTGGTTGTTTGGTGATTCCACCAATATATTCCGCACTGGTGTCACTGAAGACCTGTAATGTAGAGCAGAACTTCTGCTCTCCATTGCGTTTTTTGAAGCTGGAACTATTTTGGCGAGTGAGATGCTAGTGGAGATCGAACTTCATGTTTGAAGGAGTTTTGCGGAAGTTTTGTGAACCAGAACAACTCTGTATAGAATAGTTGCAATCATCTACTTCGTTCTTGAGTGTAAAGAACTCTGGTTATTCACGTTTGGATGAGAAACAAGAGTATTTGAGAACTTTTGGAAGTAGATCATGCTTTAGTAGCTAGCTGAATGTGTGATCAACGCAATGTGGAATTGTTCAGGCGATCTTTTAGCGAAGATCGTGGTTTTTGAACCTGGAATTGCGTTTCCATTTTAGACATTGGCTCGAGGGAGTCTTGATGTCAAGATGAACTGTGTATCACAAACCAACATTCAGCTTTCGGCTTTTGTTGTTTGGTTTTCGCTTGGGGTTTCTTCTTTCTCTCTTGCAGGTGTGTCCTGCCTGAGAGGATCTGACTCCTGTGTGCGTCCGAGCAAAAGATTGAAGCTGGCGCTTGTGCTTAGGAGTCGAAGGCGAAACTGCGTTTTAGGTATTTGAGGTTCTGATTTCCGAACTTGGGTTTGATCTAAGGAGATCGAAACTTTATCACAAACTGATTCACACAAACATTCGCACATTGGACACAGGTTGAATGTTGAAATTCACTGCAGCAAGTGGTTTAAGACATGTAAGAACACTCTCATGGAACATGATAGGTTTTTGTATGCCCGAAACATGAAAAATGTAATTTTAATTACATGACTGCAGTCAAATCGTCCAGTTCATGTCGATGTTTGTGAACGCCCGTTTTTACTTTCGGTTTTAGCTTCGAGTGAAGCTCAGTGGCAAGTGCCATGTGTCAAGTGACAAGACATATCGACATTTTGATCCGTCATAAGTCAAACACTTGTCATGTCACTTTTTCAGACTATGTGATATTGAGAATTTCCTTGACATTTGGCTGATTTTTCATCCCACCCAACTTCGTTCTCCCATTCCCTTGTCAATGATGGACGTTCAGCCAGAGGAATCGCTTCAGGCATGTTTCGCCATGTGCTCCTCACTAAAAATTATATTCATCAGCTGGACTTAGTCAATGAGGCGATTCGAGAATTTCGGACCACTTCGATGATCACAATGTCCGTGCTGCCCCTCAACTCGTTGAGGCCATGAGGACCAACTTGCAGCAGCTCAAGGTCCACCTCAATTTCATTCTTTCCATGCAATTGCTGCAAGTGACCCGCAGGTTGCAACAGCTGCACCGTCGGCAGTATGGCAGACTCCCCTTGCTCAGTCTCGACTTTCGATGAGGTCCGAATTCACTTTTCCCGACAGTTTTTTTTCTTTACAGCGCTGGGCCTAACAATGGCCATTTGGGGGCCTACCCTCAGCCAGCGCGCGATGCGTGAGCAACAGACTGATTTCTCCCCATTGACTAAAAGGAGCCACTGCAGCAAGTGGTTTAAGACATGACAGAAACTGCTCAGAGAAGAAGTAACCGAGCTGCCTGGCAGCCACCTCTTTTTTGTTGTTTCCGCAACCGAAACCTTTCTTTCGCGCAGCCAGCACAGTTCGATCTGCAACCTCCAGCTGCCATCCCGCATAGCAGAAGAGTAGCACCATGGTCAAAAACTAATCTTCGCGCAACTTTTACTAATGCGTTTAGCAACCTCCAGCTGGAGCGTCGCAGCATCGCTCATGCTTTCCTGTGCGCAGCCCGCACAGCACGAGCATTGTGCCAGATCGACTGACGTTTGCGCAGCGTCAACAGTGTGCAGTGTGCACTTCACCGCGCAAATCCGGGATTGCTCCAAGCGCTTCACTATTAATTTCAATTTTTTTAAACCGAGCTCTCGCTACAGTCTCCGGCGTTTTTTCCCGACCTTATCTTCCAAGAGCGCTCCGCAGCTGCCAGTCTGTTACCATTTTGAAATGCAAATCAAACTCTCATTACAGTCTCGTGGGCTTTGTGTCGATAGCTTTCCCCGATGGAGGCCCGGACCCGCGGAAAAACCGACCCCAGGAGCCACCATACCCGTAAAAAACACCGGGTTTCGTGCCTGAGAGCGTTTTCACCCGTGAATTCACATGCTTCGGATCTTTTTCGCTTCCCAACTACTTGATGACAGGGTTGACATGACGTTGTGAATTCTAACCATGACCATCGTCCGTAACTTGGAAATTTGCCAATTTACTTGTAACATGTTTTTGGATTAAACAACATTTTCAAGTGGCAACAAGTAAACCACACAACGTCTTCAGCCATTTCCTGTAACATCCCACGCCCTTTGTTACTAACCCCCGTCGCTCACGAACCTAAGGCGAGAGGGTTTTCAAAGTTCCAAGGGCCTTCCAGCTTTGAACCCACAGTTACGTTTACATCTGCATACGCACATACATGTACGTGTACAGAAACATTTGCATATACATGCATTTTCAAAACATTTGCATAGACATGTACATGTAGATGTTACATGAACAGTTACATGTATGTATACGCAGACAATGATAAACATTTACGTACATAAATATCTACTTAAATTTGCCAATACGTTTACATGTGCAGAAACATATCCATATAGACATTTTCATAAATATACACACATACATCTGCATGTACATACGTACACATATACATATCCATATACATATACATATGCATATACATATACGCATTTTTTTGTCGGGATTAGGGTTTGCCTTTAGTTTTTGTTCCATGTTTTGCATATTGAATCACATATGCGGTTGTCACGGCCTTTGAACATTTGTGAATGTGATCCATGTTTTGAATTTTCGTTTTCATTCATTGGTGGCGCATACATGGAACAATTTGTTTCCCAATTGTGTATACTTGCAAACCGCATGGTTGGACATACACAAAGCGCAAAATCTCAAACAGAATAAATTGACGGCAACAACTTGAATCATCAATTTGCTACACAATCAAATGGTAAATTCGGCATGGCAAATAATTGGATATGATATGGGTTATTTTTGCGGATGTTTTTCGTTTGAATTTTGGACTGCATCCTGGATTGCTAGGCATCACCGGGTGATTTTTTGTTTAATGGTCTTCAAAGAAGGCATCAGTGTGTTTCGGTGCAGTCTGACTTGCTGGGGCTGGACGTGCCATGTGAAAGTGAACGTTGGATTACAGGTCTTTCTGCTGGTGGACCATGTGGCTGATTCCTGTTGGGCTAACTGAACCTTCAAGTTGGACAGACGGTGGTTGGTTCGAAAAACCTGGACATCCATGCTTTGATGGATGTTGGATACATGTCCCCTGCAAGGGACAGTGTCTCCCTGAATTTCATTTGGTTGAAGACCACGACAAAATCAAAGACGAACCTTTTCCGGAACTGTATGTCGGTTCGGGACCAGACTGCCACGTACGGCTTGACCCGAAACTGTTTCCAGCAAGAGTGTGTCGTTTCTTGAAACGGAAAAACGTGTGGTACATAGAAACTTTGCATCCGAATCATCAAGTTTCTTTGCAGGGTGCAACCTTGGAAACAGGGCGCCGCTCCCGTTTGAACAATGGTGAAGTCATTGGTCTTCCGGCCCTTCGGGCCGCCAACGGCACAACTTCATATCGAATAGAAATCGACGATTCGGAGGACAAAGACACCCATCCAAACAGATACCCCACGCGTTTTCCATGCAGGCCGGGTCGTTGGCATCATGCCATGGGTATGTTTCCAAGTTGCGGAACTCAAATGAAATCAATTCGTTGATAGCAACTGGAAAAAAAAACAATCCAACTAAAGTAATCCACATATATCTTTATTTGGTTTGGGAATTATTAGACGATCTATAGGGTGTTTATGGTAGTTTCAAAATTTGGTGCGACGTCCCTTGCAGATCTTCCTTGTTGGATGCCCCTGAAGCACCTGAAGAACTTCGACGTTTGGCTTGGCAAACTGATCAGATGCGAAGACGCTCTGAAAATGATCAGGCTGGAACCAGCAGTTGAATTTGATGTTTGTTGGGAAATTAATCGAAATTCAAGAACCGTTTTGGGACTTTATTTTGGTGCATATATTATGAATTTGCAATCATGAATGTGAGACCAGTTTGCATCAAAGAAAACACAATCACTGTCGCTATTGTCATTGATAAAATTGTCCTACAACCTGGTGGAATGCCCCATGTGTTCAGGTGCGCGTGGCAGACTGGTCCAACTTCTCTCAGTATGTAAAGCAACACTACCTGTTTCTTGACAATTTAAAGAGCTGGGTTGTGCTGTTTAAGTGTTTTCTTTTCCTTTGTTTGCATATTTATTTGGAACCTGGGATTTGGGAACTGCAAGAATTGAATGGTGTATACAGCAATGGAACACCTTTGCCTTCCTATGTGGAATATATGTCCCTCATCATAGGCGAAGTATCCACAGTACGCATGTAGGTGTGTCAAAAAATGGGATACCCCTAAAGTTCGACAGACGATCATGATGTTTTTTTCCCCACTAAACCAGATCATTTTTGGGTAGACCATGGTATACTGAAGACTCCGTTTTTGAAGTATCACATATCCCGTGAAGAATCCCTAAATCCCACCTGCTCATGCCCAGGAGACATGGCATCCAGTGCACTTCCTGGAAAGAAACGGGTCGTGGTACGCCCTGGGACCCGAAACCACCCAGCTTTCCAGCGCGGCCGTTGCCCCCCTGGATCTGCGAATTGCTACAGGATGAGCGTCCAGTGTCTGGGGTCGGCCGACCCTTGCCGTTTGCCAGCTCCCTGCGGGCCTCCGGGATGGTTTCTTGCCGTTCAAAATAGGGCACCCTTAAAGTGGATGGACAGAGACAACACATGCTAATACCAATTACAAATAGGGTACCCTTAATACTTTAATACTTTACAAATACTGGTGATACCATGTAATACCAAACATTTCGTAGATCATACCGAAAATGATAAGAATCTCTGGTTTTCTGGGCCTTCAATTTTGCCCCATACCCATAGAGGTTGATCCCATGCCAGGGGTGAAATGTCCCATTCGAAGATCAGTCAAGAATTAGGGGTAATCAGCAACAAATATTTTTAATCCTCAAGACAGGACATTTTCTGACCCCTAATTGCCTTGGAAAAAGTGATTTGGGTTCTGAGGAGCTGGTGTTCCTCCCTCAGGATTGCACGGAAGAGCCCACCGATATTTGCGTCCCGGTCGTCGAGACTCAAGAGTCTGTGGCAGCGACACCTCCAGAGGAAACAGAGGTAGCCTCAGAACCGGCTGAGGTGAATCCACATTTGCTGATGTCCATTCATGACTGGTTGGAATCCATTGATGACTCTCTGTTTATGCTTCAGTACTACGACCGGGTCATCTCCAATTTTGATTCCTTGAAGCAGATCCATGACATCTACTTCCACGCTGGTCGTTTGGATGCCGGATTCTTTGTCGCTGCTGGCATCACCAAGCTTGGGCACAAGCGCATCATAGAGAAATGGTTTCGAGAGAAGTGCTGATGTTCAAACTGGACGATCTAATGCGGCATCGTAGATATCTCGGGTCGATGATCGATGGTCGATGTTTTAAAGCTGACCGATGACTTATCGAGACTTCTCGTATTCCGCTGCCGCTTTATGCCGCTATGGTTCTCCGTGACCTGAAGAGCCCACCGTCGGAGAAGTCGAGTCTGTCCGTGGTGATCATTTTGGAGTCTCCTTGATGTTGAGCGCCGTGATCTACACTTCGGGTTTGGATCGAACAAAGTTTCGACCAGCTCAGAAAATCTTTGTGCCCTTTCAGCTAGTTAGTTGAGTTTACCACCATGGAATTGACAAAGAAGCATGAACACCAGAAAGCTGATATCTTGTGCTGTCGATTGTGCATATCGGAGCATGGGAAACCGAAGCGTTTCAACCGTTTCCTCAGCAGCCTGGCTCAAGCAAGCTTGAATCCATGTCCAGATTCAGAGTCTAATGGCCTTCCACAACATGAGGAAATCGGCGCTTCATGGCAACTTCACAGGTAATAACTACCAAGTAGTATACGATATCACTGATATTCGTCCATGTCACACGGACCACTCACCCACGATTGCCAGCAGAGCAAAGTTGAAGATTACCTCCTGGCAACACAGCACCGTTTTCACATGTTTTCACATGTCATTTCTGTTTCAGCGTCAAATCAGTGCCCTGCTCCTAAGCAATTTGACCTCCCCCATGGCCGCATGGGATCCGTTCCTGGATCCCGCGGACGATGGACCACAGGATCTGAAGGTGGAGTTGGATCGGCATCCGGATCCGGTGCTGAAAGATGTCCCGTTGGATCCCTGGAACGACAGCACTTTCGTGGCCTTGGCGCAAGAAGCTGCGCGGGAGGCGGAGGAACGCTATGAGGCAGCCATGAAGGTCTTGGAGATGCAGCAGGAGTCGGAAAGAAAGGAGAGTGAAGCCAAAGAAGCTCGGAGATTGAAGTTGGAGAAAGAGGCTAGAGAGATTGCCAAACTCAGCATCCAGGAGCCTTATAGGATTACTCTTGGATACTGTTGGGAGGTTTTCCCGAATGCGTAGCAAGGGTTCCCGTTTCACTCTGGGGGTCTGGGGGTTGAGGGTGTGTTCGCTCGACGTTGCGTTTGTGGTCGCAACCGTTCGCAACCGTTCGTGTGAGGACCGTATGGCCGTGCCTATGGGAAGTTCTGCAGAGGTGGTCATTTTTGGAGGTTTCAGACGTGTCGTTGCTTCGTTTCGCGTGGCAGGCGTGGCACTTTGTGACATTCAGACGTGTTTTGCAACGTGTTGAAAATCGTTTTGCGTGGCAGGCGCAATACTTTTGTGACGTTTTCAGAAGATGTGTTGCAGTTTTCGTGGCAGGCGCATCACTTTGGACGTGTCCATCGTCATTTTTCGTGGCATCGTCTCGAGTCTCTAATTTTTCCTGTGGCGTCATCGTGTCTATGGGAGAAGCCGCAAAATCTCTCCTTATCGAAGGTTTCCAAGCAGGTTGTCATGTCGTTTTGCGTGGCAGGCGTGGCGCTTTCCTCACTCCACACTCCGAACTTTACACTCCACACTCCACACTCTACACACCACACTCTACACTTTCCATTCCAGACTCCACACTTTACACTTTACGCTCCACACTCCACACTCCACACTTTACACTCCTCACTCCGCACTCCACACTTTACACTCCACACTCCACACTTTACACTCCTCACCCCACACCCCACACTTTACACTCCTCACTCCTCACTCCACACTTTACACTCCTCACCCCACACTTTCCACTCAACACTCCACACTCCACACTTTACACTCCACACTCCACACTTTACACTCCTCACTCCACACTTTACACTCCTCACTCCTCACTCCACACTTTACACTCCTCACCCCACACTTTCCACTCAACAATCCACACTCCACACTTTACACTCCACACTCCACACTTTACACTTCCCACTCCACACTTTACACTCCTCACTCCTCACTCCACACTTTACACTCCACACTCCACACTCTACACTCCTCACTCCACACTTTACACTCCTCACTCCACACTTTGCACTCCACACTTCACACTCCACACTTTCCACTCAACACTCCACACTCCACACTTTACACTCCACACTCCACACTTTACACTCCTCACTCCACACTTTACACTCCACACTCTACACTACACTCCACACTTTACACTCCACACTCCACACTCTACACTTTACACTCTACACTATACACTCCACACTTTACACTTTACACTTTACACTCAACGATTTCCACTTTACACTCCACACTTTACACTTTACACTCCACGATTTCCACTTTACACTCCACACTTTACACTCCACACTCCACACTCTACACTCCACACTTTACACTCCACACTCCACACTCTACACACCACACTCTACACTTTCCACTCCTCACTCCACACTTTACACCCCTCACTACATTCCACACTCCTCACTCCACACTTTACACTCCTCACTTTACACTCCACACTCCACACTTTGCACATTACACTCCTCACTCCACACTCTACACTCTACACTCCACACTCCACACTCTACACTCCACACTCTACACTTTACACTCCATACTCCACACTCTACACTTTACACTCCACACTTTGCACTTTACACTCCTCACTCCACACTCTACACTCCACACTCCACACTCTACACTCCACACTCTACACTTTACACTCCGTACTCCGCGCTCTACACTTTACACTCTGCATTCTACACTTTACACATTCTGCACTCCCCACTCCTCACTTTACACTCCACACTCCTTACTTCACACTCCACACTCCACACTCTACACTTTCCACTCCACACTGCAGACTGGTAACAAGGGAGACATGTACAAGACTGTTCAATTAATCTATTGCAGAAAGGTATTGTGCGTCACTGCATAACCATGTGTTTTGATACTGTGCCATTAACATACGTGTGAGCATTCGGGTTCGTGGGCTTCATCTTGTTTCTTGTGGTGTCCAAAAGCAGGCCATGTCCTGCAGGAGAGAAGAGAAAGATTATTGGAGCGCCAGGTGTATGCAGAGATGGCCATGGAAGCCATTGGCCAAGCACCAGCGATTGCAGCAATGCATAGGACCGGAAAGGGGATAGATTCGGATAGATTGCTTGCTGCCAATGATGAAAAGCAACTGCTAGAAATGCTGGATTTTGTTGTGTCTCCCAGATTTGGATGATGGGTAAATCAGCTATTGGATCGTGAGCACACATAAAACATGTTAACACATGTAAACAGATGAAAAAAAATGAAAAAACATGTAAAATAACATGTAAACATGATGGCTCCCTGTAGATTTTCCCTTGAACCAATCCATTGAATGTCATGACAGTAGAAGGACTTGGAGTGCTTGGTTATTGAACACATGAGTGCAGGAAGTCCAAAGGAAGGGATCTGGATGAACCCGAAGACTTAGCACTGGGCAGGGCAGCTGCCCAGATTGCTGCAGCTGATATGGGGGTGAAGATCAACTTCAAAAGTAAGGATGAGGCAAGCAGTGGCTTGGAATTGACAAAAATTGTTTCACAAAAATGTATCAAAGTGAATTGAAGGCAGACAGACACGTAAAATGCCATGCATTGTCCCTTGCCGCCGATTTGTTTGCTCTGATTGGTGTAGTTTCTGGGCGTCAGGCTTCGCGCCCCGTCGCATTGCTGTTTCCGGATCAGAATTCCAAGAGCCTGAAGATGCTGAAAGGCTTGCAGGTTCGGAATCTGTCGCTGTCACAACCCTGCGAACAGTTGTTGATTGGGGCTTCTACTGCCATTTCCAGGGTATTTATCTGAAGCTCTATGATGAAATCTCTCTAAAGGCCATTTCAAAACATGTTCATATCATTTCCCACTTTGTAAATGTATGTACATACGTACGTATGTCCGTCCGTCCATTTATCTATACATGATATGGTATATGGTATATGATACATATATATATATATATGATATATATATATTTATGATATATATATATACATGTATAGTTATGTATACATGTATATATATGTATATCTATATCTATATTTATCTATATATATATATACATACATATCTTACACTAGATGTCTTGCATATCTACTATGCATATCATCCCAGCGTTCCACTCTGCCAGGAGCTCCCGGAAGCGCGACGCCTGCGCGAAGCTTCGCGGCAGCTGTTGGGCTTCGACCCGTTGGAGGGTCCGGGGGTCCTGGGCTTCTACGAGCTGCTGCGGGGACCCGAAGGCTGGGCGCTGGGGATGCTGGGGATGGGATATGGCTTGGGGGGTTGGGGGGTTGGGGATGAGATGCTGATTTTTTTTGGGATGTCTTCGATGGATTTTAGGTGGAGATTTTGATAGATGAGCATTGGGCAACAAATGGGGGTTGCAAAGATCAGATGATTCCTTAGGTTGCTGGTCTTGAAGCATTTCTTTGGAGAATCTGTGCTGGAGGTTGGCTGGAGCACACGCAGTTCTGTCGCGGGCTCGGTGGATTCGTTGCCATCTTTGCTGTGTTCCTTTCTCCAGGGATGAAACCCGAGAGAATTTCTCTGAAAGACGAAGCTTCAAAAAGTGAATGATGTTGATGGCATGAAATCCAGACTTCCCTCCAATGTGTTGGGTTTCATGCAATGCAGTTGGGATGGGGGAATGATGCAGCTAGCTGACTGCTCAAACCCAAGGGTTCAAAACTTTGTCAGTTTTTGGCGACATGTTTGGTTGGTGGAGCTTTTGCTGGACTTTGAGTTTGGCCGCTCTGGCTTCTGAGCCGAAGCCATTTACCCTGCCCCCAAGTTTCGAAGGTACTTGGCAAGGCATTCCTTACGCAAGTGTCATTGGCCCTTGGTCAGAAAATTTCACCTTTTCCATTTCCCGGGATTTGGTGAGTGAGTCTGACTACGTCTTTGAGGCCAACCTTCCTTTCGATGCATCGCCAGAGTTCCATGACTACTGGAGCTGGCAGAGGTCTTACCTTCGGGTGTCCGGTGATCGAGGGCGACTGCTGCACTGTCCTGGTCCCAGAAGCCCTCAGCTGCAGCGGGTGGCAATGATGCAGGGCCATCGTGATGGAGATGCAGTGACTTTCTGCTTGAGGAAATGGCCTGGATATGTGGACTCCCAACATCCCTTCCCTTTCCATAGCCTGAATTGCTACCACGGTGAAGATATTGAAGGTTGCGGCTGTTTCAATTGGACTCTGCGGGTAGATCCTGAGGGATATTTAGACTATGAAGTGTCAATGGCTGGTTCCCCTGGCCACGAACATTCCCGACACATGTGGGTCAAGTTGCACAGGATTCCCTTCTCGCCATCATTAAACTTCAAGTTCCCAGGAACTGGCAAAGACTTCGAGTGCGACTATGCTTTTCGTGATGAGCATCAAACTCCACTGGCCAGTTGTCCATTTGCACAGACCTATCAAAGGCCTTCTCGCCGAAGTATCTCTGCGGGAGGCAGCTTCCAGCATTGCTACAACTTGGATTTGAAGACGGGCTTGGTGCTGGAATGGGATCTTGATCTCCAAAACTCCATGTTGAAGGTTCAGGTTTCTGCCTGGTCCAATCTTGCTGACTATGTCTCCATCGGTTTTCGACCGCTTGGAGGTTCCTCTAGCAATCTTGCCAGAGAAGCAGGGACAGGTCGAGAAATGCGCTTTGGTATGGCAGGGGCTGACATCGTTCTTGGCCATTCAGATGGCATACAGCAATACTATGCGAGCAGCTACTCTGGAATGCCTCAACCTGACACCTCGCTGAACATCTCCCAGGCCTTTACCGAATTCAAAGGGGACCGACTTTATCTGCAGTTCCAGCGGCCCTTGGTGGGAGGATGGTTGAGCCACCATGGAATCAATGCTTCCATTGTCTCCAACGTTAGCGACGTGATGTGGGCGGTTGGGAAATGGGATGCAGATGCAGCAGTGCCCAGGTATCACCATGTCTTTCGGGGCTGGAGAGAAGTTAATTGGACTGATCCCGAATTTGATGCCCGGCCGCTGCTATCTTTGCGACCCTACAAATGTCAGGATCATGGGGTTGTGTATCCATGAAGCTGAAAGGTCTGTGTGGCTTTCCAATTCAGATAATTCAGCCACCAACATCCACCAACCAAGTCGCTTTGTACAGATTGTACAGACCCATCTTCAATGATGTGTTCACAACTAGCACGGCACCATACAGCAACTGAGCACATCCGGTGTCCAGCAGCATTGCCGCGCACAGATTCAGCCAGACCATTCAAAACAAACGCACATGCACATTTGCTTAGCAAATAGACTTGAAACTCAAGCTGATGTCCGAGCAGAAGTCCTATGTGATAGACTCAAACATGACACCATACCGTTCATGTCCCAATTCATTAGTGGGGACAACTATGTACATTTTTTTTTAACCATGAAACTTAAGATGTTCCCGGTTAGCCGCTTAGCGATTGTTTTTGGACACAGCCGATACTTGTTTCCTGCCAAGGTCAACCCGTGATGTATTTGACACAACTGGCCGCTGTAGAGAAGCTGCGGGACTGGGTCGAGCCATGTGGGAAGGTCCGAGTTTACCCGATGGCACTATGGAAACCAATCAGTTGGGGGATATAAACAGATGATGTAAACGCTACGATTCATGCATGTTGTTTCTATATATCATATATCCTAACATATTAATTGATTGATAGGTATTTTAAGCAGGGACTTCTTCTGATGGACTTGACCCTTCAGCAAAAAATGGAAGACTTCTTGCAAGGACAAACGTCCTGGAGCTCTCGAAAGGTGTAAAGCGGTCGCTGGGCTCTCCCTGGGCGACTATGCCCGGATGCTCAACGTTGGACACCGTTGGATCAGGATGGTGCGGATGGCAGTGGGTGTGTTAAACTGTTAAACCATGTAGAACCAAAGACTACCAAAGCCTCAAGTCACATCTTTTCACATTTTCCCCAGCGATTTCTGAGGCGGCTCTGACCTACGCAGGGGTCTGGGACTTTGAGACAGGCCTGCGTGCCGTGCAGCTGCGTGCCGAGGTCATGGAGGCGCGGAGCTCGGCATAGCTCGGGAAACCTTTGGTTGTAATATATACATAATACATATATAATCATACATAATCATACATATGTGAAGAGTGAAATGCGCCCGATTGGGGCAGAAACCGACAATTGTGAAGATATCTCTACTGTATATGCACATGATATACATATATATATATATACATACATACATTATATATATACACACATAGATTGTAACATCTTATGGCAACAGGAATGGCTCAAAATTGATTCATGGTTGAAATCGTGGACCGATCAACCGACCATTTATGCAATCAAATAATTTTGGGGTGGTTGAAGAGAAAATCGATTGACCCACAATTTTACTGAGTTGAACAGATAATTATCTGATGTAATCTAACAGAACTAGTGATTCCTTTCAAATTCTGGAGCCAAATCCAATTGATGAGATGAGTTTGAACCAATCGTTGGACGAAGTTTTCCTTGAAGTCAGGCAGCCATTGCTGCAGCACCTCAAGCTGCACTGGCTGTCGCGGGCTTGCCTGAGGTGCTTGGGATTTTGTCACTTCACTTTTTGTTGCTAGGAAGATCAGTTGATGTACTGAAGCTGCCTTGGCAGGAACTTCTTCAGCAACTTTGCGAGCAATGTCGGGAGCATTTCGTCCGCACTAAAGCTGACCCAGAAGCATTCGTCTCCATTTTGTGTGTTCTCTTGGCAGAAGCTGACAGCTTTGTGAGTGTCCCGTAGTTGTCCCATCTCCACCAGGGCCTCTTCTGAAGCCTCTGTTTGTGGCATTGCCCAGCGCTTGTTCCCGCAAGGCAGGGGGAAAACTGACAGGTTCCAACCGAATGTATACATTTGCCATGGCTTTTCAAGGCTTTGACCAAACATAGAAGGATGAGAAAAAAAACAGAAATGTATAGAAAATTGTGGACGTGTGAAGTTGCCAGAATCTTCACATATCTTCACATTTTGCAGCTTACTGTGGGAAAAGGCTTCGTTTGCGCTGGCACCCTGGCTGCGATGGAGCAGCTGCTGGAACGAGCCAGAAGAAGTCAAGGCTGCAAACAGGTGGGGACCCCGAGATTTTCACCAGAAAATGCTTGGGAGGTTCCAATTATGACGCGAATGTTGACGAGATATGACGAGTAAGGGCCAGATGTGATGCTTCTGTGAAGTTGAAACAAAAGAATCTGTGCGGTCATAACATATCAGAGCAACAAGCTTTTGTTTCGTTCAATCACTAAGGGATGGTTAGAAATGAAATGAAATGGATGCTTGACAGCTTGGGCTATCTGGATGTAGTTTGGTCAGCGCGTGGGATCTCCCATGGACTTCTGGCGCTTTCTTTCTTTCGTGCTGCTGGAGCTTTCTGCAGCTGCTCCGATCCACATTCCTGGCGAGGTCGCACGCAGCTCATGTGCTCTTGCTCGACATGATTGTAGCAGAAAGGGACGAAGACCCTTAAGAGCTGGTGGAATTTTGTTGCCGATTCTGGATGCACGGATCCACCTATGTGATGGATGCCGTTCATCTCAAAGGACGGTTTTGGAAGATATCGAGTCCTTATTTGAGGCAGCCGTTCTGAATTCCTCCTTGGAACTTCGGCCCCATTTGGCAACACTGATGGAGTACAGCAAACGTGCTCGATCCGTTTTACAGGTGGGAACTTCAGATACTGCTTGGATTGCCATTCTACAAGGAGGACTGCAGAGAAGTGATGGACAGCTCTATCAAACTGAGCTCGCAGCCAACCTGATGGATTTCCTCCAGCAGCATGACTTAAGATCCCTGGGGATCAGAGTTCTCGAGGGATACGCGGCCTCGGAGATGCTGTTCTTCTCAAGCTGGAGAATGGACTTTGAAAGTCTGGCAGCAAAATCTGCGATGGCCAAATTTATTCTGCTCCACGGAACAAAGTATTCTGGGGAAAATGACGATGGCCACGGCAGCCAAGGTACTGTGTTTTTTGAAGGGTTGCAACGGTGGCTCAACAACAACAGAGCTTGGCAGCTGGCAGAATATTCCTCTCTTGGTGCAGGTTTGGCTGTTCTGATCCGCTCCCACAGGACCTCCAGGAACTGTTCAAATGCTTGGGCGCCTGCACAAAGTTTTGCATCGGAGCTCTTGGAAGTTCGACATGGTTATCCCAGTCTCCTGGGGTCAACATGGCACGTGAGGCCTGCAGCTGTAACTGCCATGCATCGGAGATTGGCCGCCATCCAAAGTCGTTGCCCTGATGCCAAAGCAGCTCTTCGGGTGCTTCAGCTTTTCAGTTCAAAGGATCCACAGATGCTGCAGGGCTTGATGGAAAGCAGCACAACAAAAAAGTACAGAGAAGCCATTCCCGAACCAATCTCTTTGGGAACTTTGGACGCCGCTTTGAATCATCCAGAGCTATCGCTTCTCCTACTTCACCGAGGCCAGTTGCCTGATGAAGATCGTCACCGCCTCCTGGACGTCTCTGTAGCTCAATGGCCTCACCGTTTTGAGTTTTGGCAGATCTTGGCCGACGACCTCGTTTTCCGACGCCTGGAAAATGTGGATGTGCCATCGGCCATGCAAGCCATCAGGCGATGTTTTAGCCTAGCTCACTTTGATCGTTCGGTGGTTTTTCGATTGTTGGAGATGTTGGAAGTGCTTTGGCGGCCGCGCGAAGCCACGTTGCTTTGGGATGCTGTCGCTGGTTCGCCGACAGCACCATGGGATGATCAGCGACGCAGTGCTGCTTCTGCGGTTTCAGTCCCTCAAGTGTTTGCTGAAAACGCAGCTGTTTTCCCGGGTGAAGCTTTTTTGAACAAACATCCGGAGTTCAAATTTGCCAGGGACTATATGGAAGCGTTCAGTGATGACCTGTTGACAGAGCAGCTGGATATCATAAGGACCTGGAGTTTTGCCGCCTTGGTTCAGCTTGGGATGCTTTGATGACGTAAAGTTATGCAAATGATGATGCGGGTAGGGGAGCCAACAACAAAGGCAACCCACAATGCCAATCAGATCAGCCGACGAATTTGAGGCTGCAATGAATGTGACAGTGCAGGCCTTGGTGACTTGAATGTGATGATCCTGGTAGCCATGATTGATGCTGATTGTGGCTGACGGTGAGGTCAATCACTGATAATGATTCTGATTAAGCTGGTGATGATTACATGCTGATGAATACTACCTTTTTAATCCTTTTTACACGTCATGCGCAGAGACATTGAGACGCTTGTGTGAACTAGCAGGCATAAGTTCTAGAGCATTAAAGTGATGCTTCCTGTTGTGCTGCTTCCCATCAGGACCTATTCAGCCACTAAAGTCAATGGATACTGCAAGGACAATGGGTGGTGCGAATACGTCTTCCTGATGTTTGAATACTGTCAGTTCTTGACCGAATGTGGAAAGGTTCCACAGACATGCAAAGCTGCGAAGAAGATGGAGGAAAATGGTTTGAGGATACTGCGCGCATCCTTATCGCTGGCAGGCAGTCCAGAGGTCGATGTGGATGATGAACACCGACGGAAAGTTTACATCCAACCGCATGCATCACCTGAGATAGGACGCATGCGTTTGTCTTGTACTTTGCTGGTGTCGGCACAAACCAGTTCGACCTTACGACTGGAGGGCGAACGTCCAAGAGTTTATCGCCAGGGTAAGTGTTTTTGGTTCGATGAGAGCATGACCCATGAAATGGATTTTGAGGCCACGGGACCAGATACCCTGCGTGCTACGTTGTATCTGGATGCGCTGCACCCGGGCTATTACCAGGAACGGGAAGTGCATTACTATCCCGGTGAAGATACTCTTCCCTGGTGGCAGACCATCCTCCAGAAGATGGGGACACCGCCGACTCCATTGACCAATGGGCTGATACCGCGGCGATACATGGCTCCACCTTTAAAACCAGCACCTTGGTTGTCGCTAGCAGTGGACTCTCAATTCATCAAGGCGGATATTTGTCTTCGAGGTGATTTGGGGCTTCTCTTTCATCAGAACACGTTTTGGACGCCTGGGGATCACAGCCGTGCTTTGGTCATGCTGCAGCTGTTCTCCCGCATGCAGCTCCTGCTGCACCTTGGAAGACAAGATCCGGATGTCATGCACATCTTCTATCGGAACCGTGACTTTACCCAGAAAGACTTGGATCAGTTGACCCAAGATACATGGGCTTGCATGGCTTTGGGCTGCAAAGGTTGTGAAGCACTTGAACTCTTCGGACTTTGCTGGGACGACTTGGCACCGACGATTCTGGTGTCCCTGTTTCGAGGTTTTGCCCAAACGATGCACCTGAGCATCCACGCCGTCAAAACCTGGTTCGAGATTCTGGGCTTTTCCTTTCCCCCTCCAGGAGGCTATGGCCTGACCACGGAACAACTGAATGGAATCTTCACGGAAAAAGCAGCAGAAATTCAGGCCTTCTTTGAGACGATGTAAAAAATGTAAAAAGAAGCTGCAGCTTTGGACAGCTTGGGACAGCTTTGGACAGTTTTGCTTATTGATTCTCATTGATCATGGGAGCAAAACGTGGACATGATACTTGCAGAAATGTTACTGCGGGTTCTTGTTCGCTTGTGACGCGACATCATCTTTGAACTGAATGAAGGGGTAAACTGACTCGTCTTGACGGTCTTGACATGTTTTGACATCTCCACTGGGCTTGATTTTGTTTTCCAAAAGACCACTGTCGGCGCTGGATTGTGTGGAGGTGTAGCAATGCAGCTGAAAACGAGATGTAAAAATAGCTGGTCTACTCACCAAAGGTCCGCTCGCTTGTATTCTGAAGCATCGCCAGGTGCAATGGTTGAAACTCGCCAGTTGCTGAGGGGACCTTTTGCAAAGTCGTTTACACCTTCAGGAGCAAGTTCCCGTAGTGAGTCGAGTGGAGAGCTTGCAGCTTGACGCTTTCAGATTTATGGGATTCAAACATACCCATACTTACCATACTTACGATACTTACCATACTGAAATGTACCGAACCATACCCAAACGGCCAAACGTACCCAAGCATGCAAGGCCGGTGCTTGTCACACAAGCCTCATGGACTCGGCCAAAGAAGAGTTGTTTGGACCTCAAAGGGGCAGCAACTGCAGATCCAGGGGTTTCTTCTTTTCTAATGCCAGTGCCAAGTGATTCAGTAAAATGTGGTGAATTATGTTGTTTTGTCAACACTGTTGTCCTTCGGTATCCGTTTTGATTGGCAATGTTTTTTTCCAAGTGTCAGGTAATTGTCACGTTCTGCGCAGTAACATGCTGAAAGTCCAACAGAGAGCTCCAGAAATCGTTTGCCAGATGCAAGTCAGAAATGGTTTCTCTGGGGATGTTCAGAATCACCAGCCAAATTGCATGTCATTGACTTTCCACCTACAGTGCCTTTGAGAACTGAGGCTGAATCTGCTTGAGAGCTTCAGAAGTAGCATGCAGCCGCCCAGGCATTGGCTTGGCATCGCACAGCTGGGAGTTCCATGACCAAACAAGATATATATATATATATGTATGTATGTATATTGATTGATGTTTCGGGACGCACCAATAAGGGCAACATCACTAATATTGCTTGTAGCACTTTGATATTGGTATGTTTGTGCTGACCTCGATGATCATAATTGTTTTCTATGTTTGGGATGTCTGCGATGAAAATGAACCTCTGACCCTCTCGTTCTCGCACAGGATTGATGTGTACTTAAGCTGTGGAACGAAGGCCAGTGCTGGGTGGGTCAGTGTTTCGGTGCGAGATAAGGCGGCCTTAAACATTCCAGAATTAAACCACCGATTCCAAACAGATGCTTCAAAGTCCTATGGAGAACAGATGCTTCAATTTCAAAGGAAAAAGCACAGCATATGATTTATATATACTTTGGAAGTTACCCAAGGGCAAAACTAACAGTTCGATGTGGAAAAACCCATGGTTTTCCCATGGTTTCCCTCAGAAAATTATCGACTTTCATGGTGGTTTTTCCACATCCCCTCAGGTTCCGGCTGGTCGTTCACCGGAAGCTCTGCCTGAGCTTCTGGCTCAGCAGTCCCGTCCTCAAGGTCAAACTTGGTGGGAGGTACCTTGGGGAAAGAACCCACAGGTGGTCTGTTGGGAGAAAACCATGGACTTTGGACTTTAGATGACTTTAGATGTTTTTTCTGGGGCATTTTTGGTCCATAACTGCCATAACTCACATAAAATTCCCAGATGCTGAATCTCAATGGTTGGTACCGTTGCCACTGAGGCTAACGAGTCCAGCGAACTGGAGTGACACCGTTGCGCTGATGCTGCAGGAGCTGAGAATGGGAAGATGATCTGAGACACATATGGTTTATTAGATTTGGCACATGTCTATTTATGCACATGCTTAGTTATATATACATGTCATCTACACCCATATGTCATAGATTCATATATGTATATATCTTTCCTACCCTGCACACTGTCGGCCTCTTAAGCACTACAGCACGCTAAGAAAGGCTATAAACTGATGCAACTCATTTCGGGTGGTCCCTTCTCGGTTTGCCTGTGGAAAAGACTAATGCAAATAGACATAGAGATGTAACTATAGATTTAGATTTAGATATAGATATGAGACGTGACTGAATTAATAGAAATTGACAGAATCAACAAAATGATATCACCAACAAACATGACCAATCGCCGTAGTTGGGAGGTGGGGGCACTGGGCTGGCCTTTTCCAGGATGGTTGCGGTGAGTTCTACGAGTGCGGACCGCTGAACCAGCTGAAGGGCATCATGAAACGAATCGATGCCAAAGCTCACCAGGTGCGGCCTGGAGAAGTGGCAGTGGAATGGGGAGCTGAATAGTGACACGATTTTCAAGCTGTGAGGCCACTGTATCGTTGGATGTGTACAGCAGGAGGCTTAGAGTTTTTGGTCTTCTGAGTCTTCAAAGGTGTTCTGAGGCCCATTCGCAGCAATTTGGCAAAACGTGATTGAGCTGATTTTCACGATTTTAGCAGGGTCTAAAACGTTATATATATATATACAGATACATATATTCATATTCTATATTCATATTATATATTCATAATAATATGTATGTGTGTATATATTATAATATGTATATATATATATACCCGCAGGACGCTTGGTTCGCCGTCGGTGTATATGCATGTTTTTTGTGTTTGGGGGGGTGTGTGGGGGGTGGGGGGGTGGGGTGGAGGGGGGGGGTTTGGGGTGGTTTGGGTGGGGGGGGTGTGATAACGTCTTGTCGCGCGCTTTTGTTTTGGCTGCAAATATGACATTATCGTTTTGTTTTCAGGGTGGAAATGCTACGTTATCGCTATGTTTCCAGGGTGGAAATGCTACGTTATCGTTATGTTTTCAGGGTGGAAATGCTACGTTATCGATATGTTTTCCGGGTGGAAATGCTACGTTATCGCTATGTTTCCAGGGTGGAAATGCTACGTTATCGTTATGTTTTCAGGGTGGAAATGTTACGTTATCGGTATGTTTTCAGGGTGGAAATGCTACGTTATCGTTATGTTTTCAGGGTGGAAATGCTACGTTATCGCTATGTTTCCAGGGTGGAAATGCTACGTTATCGTTATGTTTTCAGGGTGGAAATGCTACGTTATCGGTATGTTTTCAGGGTGGAAATGCTACGTTATCGGTAGGGTGGAAATTTCCAGGGTGGAAATGCTACGTTATCGTTATGTTTTCAGGGTGGAAATGCTACGTTATCGTTATGTTTTCAGGGTGGAAATGCTACGTTATCGCTATGTTTTCAGGGTGGAAATGCTACGTTATCGTATGTTTTCAGGGTGGAAATGTTACGTTATTTTTATGTTTTCAGGGTGGAAATGCTACGTTATCGCTATGTTTTCAGGGTGGAAATGCTACGTTATTGCTATGTTTTCAGGGTGGAAATGCTACGTTATCGCTATGTTTTCAGGGTGGAAATGTTACGTTATCGCTATGTTTTCAGGGTGGAAATGCTACGTTATCGCTATGTTTTCAGGGTGGAAATGCTACGTTATCGCTATGTTTTCAGGGTGGAATGCTACGTTATCGCTATGTTTTCAGAGTGGAAATGCTACGTTATCGCTATGTTTTCAGGGTGGAAATGCTACGTTATCGCTATGTTTTCAGGGTGGAAATGCTACGTTATCGCTATGTTTTCAGGGTGGAAATGCTACGTTATCGCTATGTTTTCAGGGTGGAAATGTTACGTTATCGGTATGTTTTCAGGGTGGAAATGCTACGTTATCGGTTTCTTTTCAGGATGGAAATGCTACGTTATCGTTATGTTTTCAGGGTGGAAATGCTACGTTATCGTTATGTTTTCAGGGTGGAAATGCTACGTTATCGTTAATTTTCAGGGTGGAAATGTTACGTTATCGGTATGTTTTCAGGGTGGAAATGCTACGTTATCGATATGTTTTCAGGGTGGAAATGTTACGTTATCGGTATGTTTTCAGGGTGGAAATGCTACGTTATCGGTTTCTTGTCAGGGTGGAAATGCTACGTTATCGTGATGTTTTCAGGGTGGAAATGCTACGTTATCGTTTTGTTTTCAGGGTGGAAATGCCACGTTATCGTTATGTTTTCAGGGTGGAAATGCCACGTTATCGGTATGTTTTCAGGGTGGAAATGTTACGTTATCGGTATGTTTTCAGGGTGGAAATGTTACGTTATCGGTATGTTTTCAGGGTGGAAATGTTACGTTATCGTTATGTTTTCAGGGTGGAAATGCTACGTTATCGGTTTCTTTTCAGGGTGGAAATGCTACGTTATCGGTATGTTTTCAGGGTGGAAATGCTACGTTATCGTTATGTTTTCAGGGTATGTTTTCAGGGTGGAAATGCTACGTTATCGGTTGTTTTAGGGTGGTGGAAATGCTACGTTATCGATATGTTTTCAGGGTGGAAATGCTACGTTATCGTTATGTTTTCAGGGTGGAAATGCTACGTTATCGTTATGTTTTCAGGGTGGAAATGCTACGTTATCGTATGTTTTCAGGGTGGAAATGCTACGTTATCGTTATGTTTTCAGGGTGGAAATGCCACGTTATCGTTATGTTTTCAGGGTGGAAATGCCACGTTATCGGTATGTTTTCAGGGTGGAAATGTTACGTTATCGGTATGTTTTCAGGGTGGAAATGTTACGTTATCGGTATGTTTTCAGGGTGGAAATGCTACGTTATCGGTATGTTTTCAGGGTGGAAATGCTACGTTATCGGTTTCTTTTCAGGGTGGAAATGTTACGTTATCGGTATGTTTTCAGGGTGGAAATGCTACGTTATCGGTTTCTTGTCAGGGTGGAAATTGTACGTTATCGGTATGTTTTCAGGATGGAAATGCTACGTTATTGGTATGTTTTCAGGGTGGAAATGCTATGTTATCGATATGTTTTCAGGGTGGAAATGCTACGTTATCGTTATGTTTTCAGGGTGGAAATGCAACTTTATCGGTTTCTTTTCAGGGTGGAAATGCTACGTTATCGGTATGTTTTCAGGGTGGAAATGCTACGTTATCGGTTTCTTTTCAGGGTGGAAATTGTACTGACAACAGTGCTGACTGCGATGAAGGAGTATCGGCAGGCTTGTTCAACAGGCAGAGCGAATCGCCCCTGCTGAATGTTTCAATGAGACTAAAGTACCTTGGCTGACCTGAGAAAATTTGCTTTCCAGCCGACGGCGAACCAAGCGTCCTGGGCGTATATATATATATATATATTGCGAAGCAGCCTCGCTTCAACAGCAGCCACCAGCAGCAACGCCTCTGCTGCTTTTCACACCAATGGCTCAATCCGCACCGCTCCCCACCGCTGGAGGTGAACCAATAGTTGCGGCCAAGGTGCAAATGGTAAACAACCTCCCTGACATGTAAGACCATGGGAAAACAAGGACTGCCAAGATGGCAGCTGAGGTCCAACCGTCAAGCTTACCAGGACAATAAACTGTGGAAGTTTCACACACCCCTTACTTTAAAAATGGTCTTACCTGTCCAGAGGTTTGACATCTTTGCATGTCCTCTCGTGCCAGGCCAAAAATCCTTATTGTACCATCTATGCCCGTTCGAATCACAACCATGAGTTACTCTCTCCAACCCCAAGGTTCTAAGATCAACAGGACAATCCAGAATTCCTACAGGAGAAAACAACTGATATCTTGGGACATGATGTACGCGGATAACCTGGCCACTTGAGTCCTGTTCCCATGTGTCCTGCCGGACTTCTTCTGTACATTTCAAAACTGTCTCATTTTCTGGAGACTTGGACGTCACTTCTTTGGCCCATTTCAAACGCTGTCGCTTGTCAGATCTCTGTTGCAACACTCGATTTTCATCAAACAAAGAATACCGACCACTCTTCAAACACTGTCGCAAAATGCTTGCATCCATGCTCTTTGTCAAACAATCTGCAAGCTGAGCATTTGATGTAACCCATCTCACTACGCAATTGGCCTGCAATCTTTCTCTGATGAGCAAACACTCAATGGTGGTCCTATGCTCCTCACACTGTGGAACGGCCGTGCGAGTCAGAAGGTCATAGGCACTCTTACAGTCGGTCACAAGAGCAGCTTGTCGGGCTTCGTGCAACACTTTCTCGGGGGACTGCCATTCAATCGAGGGGTTATTCAACCACTGCCACAAAATCCTCAACCACAACAAACGATCAACATTCCCACTCAATGCCACTGCTTCAGCCCCCAAGGTGCTCCTAGTCACCCGTTGAATTTTCTTGCTCATCCAAGCTACTGGTGCTACCACTGATCTCTTGTTCTCCAGCAACTCTGGAGTCGTGACAAAAATCAAACATCCCTGATGGGCATATTTCTCTTTTCCTGAAAGGAACGAGGCATCGGAGAAGGCACAGAAAGTCACTTGTTCAGGGGCAATCGGCAATGTCATTAAAGTCACAGGGTGAACCTTTGCCTCATGCAACACTCGATTTGCAAAAATCATGTCATCGACTGTTGCCTTTGCCACCCTACTTTGGATCTCTCCAACTTTGGCCGCAATGTCGGGACGGGTATGGACTGCTGCATATTGCAGAGCTCCAACAAGACTTCGCAACTGCGTCACTTCACTCGGGCTCAGCGCAGCTTCAGCATTGGTACGTCTCTGTTTTGGGATTTCAATTGGCCTAATCTTCTCTATATAGTCAATCTGATCATACTCCACACTGCCATCATCCCACTGCTGAAACCTTATGCCCGTGAAGACAAAGGACCCTTTTTCAAATGATCCAAAACTGAAACGCTTTCTGACTCTTTCCAAGGCTGCCATAAACATGTTGTCCCCACCCCCAATGCCATCATCGACATGAACCCCTAGGGAACCATGAACTCTTTCTTTCCCCTTTTCATCAACAGAAACAAGAGTAAAAACACAAGGATCAAAAGGACACTGTTTAAAACCTTCTTGCAACAACGAGTCACGAAACTTACAATACCACAAATAAGGAGCATCAACACGACCATACGCACTACCTACCAATTGACACTGATCACCAGGTTCCAACCCAAGGGCTTCTGTTAACTCTGGGGTGGGATACAAACCAAGCAAGCGGCCGTCTCCTTCGCCTTGAAGAAAGGCAGTTGAGACATCGAAGGAAACTAGTTCCCAACCATGACTACTCACCTGTTGCACCACCATCTGTCTTCCATCTTTGGTGAGTGTGGGTGAATCATTTTGAACCACCCCAACTCCAGGATCCTCGTATCCAACAACAATCAACCGGGCCTTTGCCTTACGACCCTCACTCACATCCTTGGGGTGATCCTCAGATGAGGCTGATTTCCAGGTGAGCAGCCATCGGCAGCGCATGATTGCTTCCTCAGGAATTTTTCCTTTGGATGCTTTTCTCACAGTTCCATGTTTGAGCCAGGCGCCTATTTCTTTGTGCTTGGCCACCGCCATGCGCTGTTGGTCAGCACTGCTTAAATCACTGAAACGGACTTCAACTCGTTTCTTCTTTGCTCCAGTCACCAACAACACACTTTCATCTGCTGATCCAGCGCAAAACAGTGCATGCTCTTCATGGTTTTCAACAGGAATTTCAATCTCCCAGAACTGGCAACACCTATCATCTGCAGACATGGTGATGTCATCTCCAAACAGAAGGTCATCCGTTGGTTCAAGATTGACGCCCGCCTGTGAGGCATCACCATCGGACTCACTGACACTTTCTGGAACCGGCACACGCACGTAATCAGGGAGTTCATTCTCTGACTGTTCCACTCCTTGAGGCGGTTCAGACTGATTGCTCAACTCCCCATTAGGTGTCCCAGGTGGCTGAACTGACAACTCTCCTTCGGGCTCCCCAATTGATGGGTCATATCCCTCTGTTTCAGCTTCCCAGTCAGGAAAATCCTCCCCATCTACATCAATGAAACTGCCATCATTGAGGGCTCTCTGTAAATCTGAGTTCCCTGGGCCAGACTCTGTGAGCAACTCTTTGGCCTGCTTCCACTCCCGAAAACTGGCTGCACGAAGTTGCTCAGGGCTCGTGCGCACTAGCTTTCCAGCATGATTCAACCAAACATTCTTGGACCCTTCGACTGCAACAACACTCGCTGGCCCATACCAGCGACCACGATCTCTACGTAGATTGGCACCCCTCCTACGCCAATACAACACAAGATCTCCTATTTCAAAGGGTCCTCGCATTGGCCGAGTCCGCCTCAAAAGCGCACGACGAAGACTGGATGAATTATCAGCTTCTATGAAAGCTCTGCGTGCACTGCTGCGTCTTTCCAGACTGGCTCGAAAGGCTTCGCTCTCGGGACCAGTCCCTTCAGCCAGAGTTATACTTCCTACCCCCTGACTAGAGACAACGGACCCAGGCAATCTTTTCGCAATTCCAAGGACAGCTTGTTCGGGAGAGTATCCCTTCACTCTGGATAAACTGTTCTTGGCATTGAACACATGAACCAAAGCCTGCTCAAACTCCCCAACCGAGTTTATTGGTGACTCCAAATCCATGCGACTCAACATCTTCTTCACAACTGATCCGTGAATTTCCACTCTCCCCAGTTGCCAGTGTGCTTCACTTGCACTGACTTTGACATGGATGTCATGCCTTTGCATTCTGTCCTGCCATGCTTCTGCCGTATATTCCGTGCCAGGGTCAACATACACAACTTGTGGAGTGCCAGCCCATAACATCCAACATTTCTCAAAGACTCGAATTTGAGAATCTGTGTCCGCACTGACAACATGAGAACCAACATGAAACAAAGTCCCTTCATCAATGATATGAGAAAACTGAAAGTTCTTACCAACACTATTAGTCCAAACAGCAGTGTCCATACCAATCACTTGATTGAATCCCAGATTCTCATGAATTGTGCCAGGACGGGTAGAGTCTGGACCAGCTTTTGTTTCCGCACAACTGTCGCACTGATAATCCAGAGCTCCTTGAACCAAATGAGGTTCCGCATGCCTTTCCTTCAAAAACCAGGCAAACTTCTGTGGATGTGGATGGCCTAAGTTGTGATGCAACCCGATCTGAGCCTTTTCATCACCATTCAACAACATGTACCCTGGTCCATGAACCGGAACATTCATCTTCACCATCATCCCCAGCACCTGCTTCCTTATCAGACCCCATTGTCTCAAGCTCCCCTGACTTTGGAAAACTTCCAAAAATGGTGAGGCTCATCTTTGCAGATTGACCCTTTCGAATTTGCTGCCTTTTTGGCAGAGCAGCCCATTCCTCAGCTGGGCCAAGTACCATTGACTGACCCGTGATGCGGTCTTTGACCACGGTCAATCTCAACGGGATGGTTTCTGGGTCCGCATCAGCTCCAGGAAGGCGCAACCTCTCAGTTCCCCTACAGGCTTCAACCCTCTGAACCTTCAAGTTTGGGGCCCCCTTCTGAATCTGAGCTAAAACCCCATCATCATCCAAAACACGTTTGCCTACCCGTGGAACCATGGTTTCAATTTTCTTGAAAATGCCATCCCAATATTCACCGGCTGCACATCCGTGGTCACCTGCTGGTGTCTGTTTGCAGTGATACCTTGGACGCTTCACTTCTGCTGAAACCGGCTCTTCTAAGCTCTCTGGAACTGCTGCAGCGGACACTCTTTTTCTTTTGACAACTCCGGCAACAAAAGCTTCATCAACATCACAAACATGCAACTCATCCAAAACCAGTGGCTTCTCATCAAACCTACAGGAAACATACCTTGCCACATTCCTACCAAAACCGGAGGTGTACCTTGCAGCATATTCCGAGAGAGAAATCCACCGACCCAAATGATAGATCTTGCCAGCAATTGGAGCATGCTTATGATGCCCAGGACACAATCGGTGGTCAAATGCATCATGGAAAATCTTTGAGGAAGTGTAGACATGCGTCCTTTTCCTAAGGAAATTGTTTCCAGACACTCGTCGCATCACATGTGGGGCAAGTAGTTTTCCAACTTCACACATATCAAAAACAGTACACAGGGTCCCACAGTAAATATCATAGACTTCGGGTTGATAAATCAACTCCGACCCTTGGGGTTGTTCCAAATGAAATTGACCACCACAATCCATCTGATACCAATAAACATCATTACACAGCTTCAAATGAACACGTTGCTTCTTGCGACCCTCTGAAATCATTTGTTCTGTGCTTTCGCTCCTGCCCATGTTTCTGCGACTGAAGTTGCCCCAATATTTGCATTCTGGTGCCATCCAGACTTCTCTCGGTCGCTCTTCCTCCAAAACTTTCCAAAGCGCAGCTTGACCTTCTGGTGTAGAAAGATCTCCATCACTGAAAGTGAATCTTCTGGCCTTCAATCCCAGCTTACAAGCTTGTTCTGTGATTTGAGAATGTTCTTCACAATAGATCTCCAGAAGATCACTTCCAAACTTCTGGAAAGTCTGAGAGTCGGTCAGCGCCGGCCATATCTTTTGAAGACAGGTCAGCTCTGCTTCAATTGTTCCCATTGCTAGTTCAATCTTTTTGAGCAATTGGTTGGTCAATTGCTGATCTGTCTCGAGTTGCTCTACGCTAGACCTCTCATTCAGACTCCCTCCAAGTCGGCCTTGATCTTGTCCATCTCGCGCTGCAAGATCGCCATGCGAGTGATCATCTCCTCTTTCTGCTGCACCTCGATCGCCATCTGCGACTGCTCTTCTTCCATGGGGCGCTTCTGACTTGGTGATGACATCGTGCTCATCGGACGCGATGTCACCCCTCCTGTCAACAGCTCCCACTCTGGTCCTTGACTCTTCTCGATCTCTGCCTTCGGATACATCTTGGACATCTCGGCTTTGGCCCACTGTCTGGCATACTCCTGGTAGAAGGCCTTCGAGCAATCTTCCTGCATCCTGTCCATGGCTTCCACGTAAGCCTGAAAACTCAGTGCCCAAGCTGACACCAGTTTCCTGTGCTCCTTCATGAACTTGCCGTACTTTGGGTCCTCCTGGTATGCCTGAAAGAAGGACTTGTGCCGCCACTTCCCTTCCGGGAACTTCAACTGACCCCACTCCTTCAAGGTCATCACACCTGGAGGGCGACGACTTTTGATCTCTGGTAGTTGTCGATCTTCGAAGGCCAGAGAGGCATCCACTTCTCCGGACAGCATCGCATCTAGCATCTCTGTCTGGAGTCCCGGAAATGGCGTTCCCGAGGCACTTGGAAGAGTCATGGCTGTCAGCTTGAGAAAGAGCGGACTGACTTTGAAGCCGATCTGGTTCTCGGTCAACTTGAGGTTGAGCCACAGCAGCTGTAGCAGTCGTCGAAGATGTACTTGACATTGTGTTTGGCTGCTGCTGCTGCTTGTGTGTGCAGTAAACCTCCCTATTTCGATTTTCAATTCTACTACTTGCCAAAGTGATGACTTCCTCAAACTTTTCTGAATTACTTCTCATGCTAGCCGCATCAATCAAGTCTGACAACTTGACAATAAACAGCCCCTTGGCATTTCTGGTGAGTGTCACGGATTTTCCCCAAGAAGACACTTCCAAACAGGATTTACTCACCAGAACATCTGCGCCAAGTGCATGAAGAAAGGCATTTGAAATGAGGAAAGGCGTGGTTCCTTGAACCACTTCAATTTTCATCCATTGTTTCCCAAACGGTACAAACAGCGCACCAACACTCTTCAAAACACCATTGTTACCAAATCTAAAAACGGTTTCAGATTCCTTCCACTTAACCATCTCACGGTGTTCTGCCTTCAAAGTAGTCAAAAGTGCACTCACTCGCTTTTCGCCGATCACGGACTTGCTTGCACCGGTATCTATGATCCCAGTGCCTGAGTCACCTAAGCTGCCATTCCTACTTTCCTCAGTTGACTCAGGGGACCTGCCAGTGACACTGAAGCTTGTCTCAATTGCTCGACGAAACATTTCTTTCAGTTTGGGAAAATATTTCCAACTCTTTTCACAACATGACTTCCCTTTGGGAATGTTGATCGCATGCAAAATCATTTCATGGGAACCTATTAAACTGAATTCTTCATTATCAACATGGTACTCAGGTGGCACCATCGTGGGCAACCAAAATTTTGAACACATCCCCACCTGCCAATTGGCAAGATCATGGCCAGGAAGTTCATCAAGAAGTTCACCACCCCCTGAGAGCTCTTCCGTGAGGATCACGTTTGCATCTGCAGTCACATTCTTGTCCTTCAGCGGGCACTCATCCTTCCAGTGGCCTCGTGCTCCACAGGCGCGACAGGTAGAGCTTGCTATGCGCTCTGCAAGACTCTGATACTTTCTGGGGCCTTTGCCCTTCTTTGACTTGTTCTTGCCTTTCCCTTTTCCATGACGAAGGGGCCAAAACCCTCGGCTGCGAAACTTGTCTCGAAGCTTCTGTCGTGCCTCCTGGTACGTAGAGAACGCCATGGCCAGTTCAGGTGAATCCTGACAAGCATGGATCACCTGATCCTCGAACTCTTGTATGGCAAGTGCTGTCTCATCACCTTCCTCGATGAGCATGGCTAAGGCTTGCTCTTCATCACATTCTTCTTCAGCTGCATAGTGAATTTCATCCAACTCCTCTTCCACAAAGTTGGCTGGATACACCTTCTGGCGTCCAGCATCTGTCTGCCCAAGCACTTTGGTCGACAGGGACCTCATTGCCTTTTCCACTGCCGATGGATCATAGTTGCCTGCCATAGAGACCACACGCTTCTTGTCCTCAACAGTCAAGGCACTCTGTCTCAACATCACGAAGGCTCGAACTTGTTGGACGGTTGTTTCAGAGCCCACTTCTTCGAAAGCAACATTGATTCGGTTGACAAACGACATTGCTGACTCGTCTGTCTTTTGGACTACTCGGTAAAACGCCTTCTCAAATTTGTCAAAGGTCTGAAGTTCCTCGGCATCCTCCCAGGTCTCCAAAGCTTTCAACAGTACCTTGTAACCAGTCTCAGGGTCTGTCAACTTCGACGCATCAATGGCTCTCACCTGACTCCATGCAGTCCCTTTGCACTGCAAAGCCAACCTTGGTGCCAACATACTTCTGTCCTTCACAGGGCATATGCCCCATAGAAACTTCACCTTGTCCGCATACTCTTTGGCGCTATCGACACTAGGGTCGAAACTCGGCAACAAGCTCCACAAGTTGCTCGTCTTCTCTTCCACACTCACACTTCCACCAGGCTGTCCCTCAGCCCCGTCTGGCATCTTCCCAAGACGCTTCCACCTTTATTTTCACTACCCAGTCGCCTCACCAGGTACTTGCCCTTCTCAACCAAGTTTTCCTTCTGGAAGTCCTCCTCCAGCGCCAGCCCGCAGGCTCCGCTGCCAATGCGAAGCAGCCTCGCTTTAACAGCAGCCACCAGCAGCAACGCCTCTGCTGCTTTTCACACCAATGGCTCAATCCGCACCGCTGCCCACCGCTGGAGGTGAACCAATAGTTGCGGCCAAGGTGCAAATGGTAAACAACCTCCCTGACATGTAAGACCATGGGAAAACAAGGACTGCCAAGATGGCAGCTGAGGTCCAACCGTCAAGCTTACCAGGACAATAAACTGTGGAAGTTTCACAATATATGTATATAAGTGTTCTTGTGTTTCTACCGCCCCCGCGTGACCGCTGAGGCGAGGAAGGTCAGATGAAGCCTGGGGGCAGCCTGCCGCCACGCTGGGCCTAGAACTGAGCCGTACCACTGGGATCTGGGGGGTTTGTTACTAAAATCCAACCAGAAATGGATCACTAAATATGATAATTTATCTATATCTATATCTATATATAATGATAATACCATTGATTGATTTTTAGCATCACTAAATGGTACCACTGGGATCCAACCAAAAATGGGGATGATAGTAGCATTGAGTGATTTTCAGCAACCAGATTTGTTGTTCTGTAGCTTGGTATTTTGGGATAGGTTCCTATAGATTTCTTGGACCACAAGCTCTATGCTGGGCTCAGCCCTTGCTGGGAGAAGGGGGCACAGTTGGGCGAATCTGATGAATCTGAAATGACAGCCTCCCAAGGCCCAAGGAGCTGGCTGTTTGAGCTGAATCTTCCGGTAAAATGCAGCACTGCCTGGGGCTGGTGTTTCCCAAAGTTGGTCAGTTCAAAGAAGTGAGGTGTTGAATTCGTTAAGTACTCTCAATAGGACTGGGCAGGGACTCGTGAGAGTTCGATAGAGGTTGCACTAAGTCACTAGCATTACAAAAGAAAATTGAAATCTTGAAATCATAGCGTGCCGGGTGACAGCGACAGATAAAAATTGAACCTATTGGCAAGTCTCCGGATTCACGTCTTCAATGAGTTCGAAGAGACCAAGCTCAAACGGCGAGTTTGAGGACGTGCGCCCGGTGCCTGCCTCAGACCATAGCAGAGGTCAGATTGTCGTGGTAAACCATGCTAGACCCAAAACCATCAAGCTCCCCCAGTGACCCATTGGTGGGACAACCAAGGACCACATGGCCATGGCAGCACTTTATGCTCTGTTGTTCTTTAACAGCCTGGTTTTCTCGTGGGCTTGCGAGACAGGAGCCTGGTCTGGCTTCGATCAAGTGACCCGGCAGGGATTCTGTGGAATCCAATCATGCTGCAGCTGCTGCTGCTGCTGTTGCTGCTGCTGCTGCTGCGATCATTGATTTTTGCCATAATTGCATGATCACTGGTTGGAGACTTCCTACATTTTAATCCATATTTTCCGCACTCCCGCTGCACGGATCCTTTTTGGTGAGGAAGCCTATGCGGGATCTCTCTGGGGTGGTTCCATCGGCGGAATCGTGGTGGGGCTCCTTATGATCATCCTGGTCTCATTGCCGCTGTGCTGTGGTGTCATGAAGAAGCAGGGCAAGGCAAGCGAGTCTGCCCAAAAATATGGTGATATTATTGGAATATAAATAAATTAATATATATATACACATAATGGGATGTAGCCAATAATTTGACATGAGTCTGTCAAAAAATCGAGTACCGCAAAGACCATTTTTCGGGTTTATGATAGTTAAAGTTGTAATTTTGATTTGAGACAAGTGGACTGGGGCTGACCAGAATGCCACAGTTCTTACTATGCAGCCTCACTGGACTGTCTTCACTGAAGAGGTTTGAATCTTTCATGACCCATATGGGTCCAAAAAGAGAATCATCCCCGAAGTTGCTTGCATTTTCCTAACATAGAGACCATTTGAGTGGATTTTTTGGGTGCCCGGTTTTTAAATGTCAGATGTACCGCATATCGTCCAGACAATGAGTGGCCATCAAGTGACCAGTACTCTCTCTCTCTCTCTTCTTCTTCTTCATTCTTCTTCTTCTTCTTCTTTCTGTTTCCTATGTGTATGTCAAGTACTGCAAATTGCAAATGTAAATGTTTATCTGGAAAAAATAATCCTAATTTAGTAACTTAGTATATGGTATATCCCTCGTGTCCTTTACATGTTCCTCAACTAGCGCATACGAGTATGTAGAGTACTCACATACATGGCACTATGGTTCCAGTCCTACTGCTGGCAGGTGATTGGGGCTATTGGCATCGTGCTGGGGCTACTCTCCTTGATCATTCCCTACTTCGGAGCGATGGGTTCGTGTGCTCCCTTCATGGATGCTGCTTGCGCAAATCGCTGCACAGGCTTTGAGTGCACTCAATATGATAAAGACGCTCCTTGGTGGCAATGTCAAAAGATAAGAATCATCAAACGATCAAGATGGAGATTTCCTACGTCATGGGGGTACCCTCCAGATCATCCAAGTCATAAAACAATTTTAGTATTGAAACCTATGGTGACTTGGGGATCCCTCATCCTAATCATCCTAAGAAACCATCAAGATGGTTGACGAAGTATGGTCGTGAACTTCCCACAGAGATCTGAGGTTGCGCTCAGTGCCTGCCAAGCCCTGGGAGTGATCTTCGTCTACCTGGGCGTTTTTGGTTGGTTGGCGTGCGTCCTGGGCATTGTGGCCGCCAGCATGGCCTGCTGCGTCTGCTGCCAGTGCTGCAACGCCAAGTTGGACACCGAGGTCATCGCAGTGCAGCAAACCCCAGTGGTGCCCATTGTGGTGGGACAACCGCCCTGAGCTGCCCAAGGCCTCAAACAAAGGGGTTAGCACATCTCAGATGGGATAAACTATGAGAAAGAAGCCATCAACATCCAGGAGAATCATGAAAACTCCAAAAGCTGGGAATGTGTCGGAACTATTTGCGTTTTTTCCAAAAATGCCTTCAGTTTGGAGGCTTAGAAGCCAGTTGCAAAGCATTTCCTGACTCTGGATCCCACGAGAAACGTAGCTATTGCGTCAGGCATCAGGGCGATGAATTTGCGCTGTCGTGCTTTGAGTTTGCCGCAGTTGCCTGCCCGGTTGGTTGATGGTTGTGGGTCATACCCCCAGGTTTCATGTAGACACTTGAAAGCCATTCTGGGAAACTCAAAAAGAAACAATCTCACCACAGGCTTTGGAAAGGGCCTAATTCACAAATACAGGACGTGTTCAACTTGTATTATGTCTGTCTTGCTTCTTAACTTGATGTCCCTCACTCTTGACGACTTCAAATCCAGTCAAGAGATGCACGCAAGCTCAGACCGACTTGTCATGTAGTTGCAACCCGTTGCCCCCTGACACGGATATTCTGGATGGATGGAATGCTGCAAATCTTACGAAGTGGTGGATAGATTTTGAAGTATCCGCCTCGCCAACAATTTGTGGAGCTGAGGCGAGAAGATCCACATGGAATTGCAGCGAGCTTCAGGTCTCGATTTGCCGTGAAAGCGACTCCAGCTGCCACTTGGATGTCAGTGCCAGATTGACATTTAAATTTCCTCTTAGGAAATGTGTTGACAACTACTTGAGTGCTAAAAAAAAAACATACCCAATAGATATCCAGGATCCATTTTTGCACTGACGACAGAGGTTGCACAAAAGAGCCACAAAAGAGCCTTTGGCCACGAATAAAAGTTTCGTGGTCACGTCCTGCAGCTGTTTGCTATATGGAGTATCACCATGCGACATGAGCCATAGGCTCACTGCCGCCGCTCCATTTGGACGTGAAAGATGAGCGGTCCGCGGGCTACCTGATGGAAGATGATCAAAACTAACATAAGCATGGCATGTAGTTTGCATAGACAGGAAGCGCCATGATTCTCATGAGATTGGCACACTGAATGATCCATGCAGTGAGTATTTAGACAGGCGCATTTAAGAGTCCCAGAGTTTTGCAGTAACTGCTATTCGGACTTGGTTTTCTGCGTTCTACAGGTGATTGGTCGAATACTCTTATGCGCATGTTTTTGCAAGAGGAAAAGGGCAGGAATCAATGTCGCGCAGTTTTCAGTTTGGACGAAAGGTTTATTTCAAAGACACATCTTCAAGTGTCTTCAAGCTCCTTCAAGCGAACATGTTTGCCATGTCCCTAATTTGGAATTTGTGAGGAGAATTCCCGCCACCTAACCTCGCCGTCGAACATTTGAAAGTAACCGCTTTAGTCAGCAAGTCAGCAACCGCTTTAGTCAGCAAGTCAGCAAGCCCTTTGAGATGCAGGTGCTAGTGCCCACTCCAAGTCCTCCCCAAATTCTCTGACAACGTTGTGGAAGTCAAGTCAGAATCAACAGTTCGCATAATTTACACATGGAACTTGTTGTTTCCTGATACGCAGTTGAGCTTTTGATATGTGGTTCTCCAGGCAAACCTCTCCCGACCCTGCGTTTTGGGAATGCACATGTCTTATACCCAAAAAAACACTGCCAGATACAATAGGCCACGATTCTGTCCTTTCATGCTCTCGAGACATGGACGAAATACACTACTCAGAGTTCGAGAACCCGAACTTTGATGCAAAGGCTCCTGGGCTGAGCACTTGAGTCACTGGAGTGTTTGTTTCGTTGTCCCAGATAGGCGAAAAACCAAAATCCCTTTGAAAGAATGGGAACAGTTTCTATATTTGAGGGGACATCTTGCTTGGAGGTACCATAACCAATTCAAACTATGTAAACAAGGATATATATATACATATTATGTATATCTGTAACATTTATCATGTATAAACATAAATCATACCAGTTCCCTTCCCTTCCTAAGGAGCTGGTTCAGCGATACAGGAAGCGTGTGCCGCTTCCACAACTCCAGAAGCTACTGCGGACGCATCATGGGAACACGCGACAAGAGCTAGTGGAGCTGAACCTTGGGATCTCAACCATTGGATTTTGAGCCACGCAGAGAGGGATTTAAGGTACGAAAATGGGGGATTTGAGTGATTCAAACCAACAATCATGGGAGGTTTTGGACCTCAGCAAATTTGAGGCTGTTGTTTTTTGTCAGTATAATATACGGTTTTTGATCTCTGGGCTTTCTCTTGCTGGTTTAGCGCATCATGGTAGTCATGAGAGCTTGTGGTGAAGGTAGTGCCCCCAGCGCTAGCCCAGTGGAAACGAGGTATCTATGGAAGTGGGAAGTCATAGCAGTTTGCAATGCCTGGCGAGTGAAAATCTCAAAAGGCAAGAGAAAGGCAAACCAATAAGATGGGAATCCCCCAAAACCATGGGTTTCAATACAAAAACATCCATGTGTTATCATATATTCAGTTCATAAAGGCATCGTTCGAAGCTAAACTTGTTGCTTCGCTCTAAGCTTTGCGGCCGACCATGTGCACTTTCTACGTCTCGCCTGTGGCTCCAAGGATTAACGAGAAGTATGCAGACTTCGTCAGCCTCTCTTCTCGGATGCAAGGTGTTGAACGGGCGCTGAAGCCCTTGCGAGCACCTTTGGAGGATTCTTCCCTTGCTGGCTTCGATAGTACCGGTCTGTGAAGATGTGTGAGACTTCGTTTTGACGTCTTTGAAGCCTTGAAGCCTCTGAGAACCTGGGCTTTGGACCTACAGATTGAAGGGTCGCTAGGTGATATTCCGAATATTCCATGCCGTGCAGGAGTCAAGTGAGCTCACGAAGGGCTTACATGCGAAACTCGGAGGTTTGTTGCAAAAAGCAGAGGAGCCGGGCAATAAGAAGACCTGTGGTGGACAATTTCCAGCTTACAGGTAAACCTGCTATAGCAGAAATCTCACCCTCTTAATCGATGCAACCGCATACAATTAAGTAATTTCGATACGAAAAAATGCTTTGCCAAAACCTTTCAAAGGTCCCACGAAGGGAATTGTGGCTTGGAATTCAGTATTTAAGGTTCCCTGGTCATGGTCCCCAATTCGGCCACCCAACAAACGGTCCCGGGAGGAAGCTCACCAGGGGTTGGCTCGGATTCGCTCGCGCCACTTGGCAGTTTTTTCGGTCGTGGCACAAGGAAAGCTGAGGTGGTTGAGAGAGAAAGTGGTGTGGTAAACTCAACATGAAATGGGAAATCCTGGGATAAATGTTGGATATTTATGAGACACTTTTGTGAAAGTTGCACTGCCAGTTTTCTTAACCATGTCTATTGGGAAGTTTGCATCAGAAATCAGGGTGGTGTCCCGACCACACTTGGCCTGCTGTAAGCAATGTGGAGAGAGAGAGAGAGAGAGAGCCCCAACAGAAGGGTCAGTACATACATCCAGAAGAAACTCGCTGGCGTTTCATTCAATAATCACAAATATTGCAAGCATTTGTTCACCATTTTTCTGCATGTTCCTTTCTTCATTGCTTGGTTTTGATGACTTCAGCCGTGCTCCCACTGAGCTCATACCAAGCCGACTTTGTCACAGGAAAAGAGGCGCTGCACGCCTACATTGAGATTCTTGCCGTCGGTTTGGTGGGACCTGTGGGAAACATCTCCAAACAGTCAAAGTGCCTAGAGCCAATCCTACCAAGGCATTTTCACGGCCAAGTTGCTGTTTACAAAACCGATACTTTTTGGAGCCGAGGCCCCATGGCCACCACATGTAAAGTACCGCAGATGATTAGTTTGTGTTGGGAAGTAGCAGGCCTCATTTTTTTGGGTGAGATTTTCCTGCTTCTGACACCGGAAACAATGACTGTGCCGAGGAATGCCCGTTTACTGGAAAAGCTGCGAGCGACTACAAAAAGCTCTTCTGCGAGCGATTCTCCAGAGTCAAAGAACTTTCGCGACGAACGAGCCTTGCAGGACCGACGAACTTCAGTCTTTGTTGCCCTTCGCGGCGAAGCGCAGGGCTTGGGAACTGCAAAAATTCAAGGCACTTCTTTTTTCCAGCAGCGGCTGGTAAAAAAAATGGACGCGAGGAGAGCATTGCACGAGACCTTCGCCGAATCCATCTCAATTTGGCCAGTGTCAGCCACGGGCTGAGCAAAGTTCCATCGGTTTAGTGCTGACGGGCGCACACACACACAACACGGGCAACAGCGTGAGACCAGCAATTTGCTTTCAATCCTGAGGTGAGTCATCAGAGTGCGCAGCCCTCTTGGTGGAGGCATGGCACACGTGGCTTCTGGATCTGGAGGGTGCCTGAAAGGAAGTATCCACAATTCAAGTGTTTCCACTAAGAAAACTTGAGGCTGTGAGTCTTCCACCAGAAAACCCCTACACTATGAGAGCTTTGTGCTGTATCGGACCTCAATGCTCAATCGCCACTATTGGTTCTGTTGGCGTTTGATACATCCACATGCCACCGGCAGCTTTGGCTCGAAGGCCAATGCATTTCAGGAGGATTTTAGCAAGCGGCTCGAAGAAAAGTGGGGAACTCAAACCTGGACAGAACATTCTGAGCCTCTGAAATGGCTGACCAATATTGACCATTTTTACTCGGAATATCTCAGGATGATGTAGCCATTTCCAGAGACCATTTCCATTGACGACCGTACGTCATGTTGAGGTTGAGGCTGCTGCTGAGAGCCTCGAAACGAAGCTGGGAGGTGACGACTGGAAGTTGTGCTGCGATGTGCAGTCGACCTGCAACAGTTGTGGGACTCAACGAAGATGCATGGCTAAGTAGGATACAAATGTGAGTAAAGATTTAAGAATAGATAGATCATAAGAATCATAAGTGAATAAGCAACCATCATGATATGACCCATGTTTGGGATGTCCATCCCCAAAAAACTGAGATCCGAGAACAGCCACCAGCTTTTGCCGGTCTATTGGAGTCATGTTAGTCTGGAAGGAAAAACACGGTGAGCTTTGCCAATCGTGGCCTGGTCCAGGCCGTCCAAACTCCGGATGCTGGTTGAAGTCTTAGCATGGCAAGAATGAGAGCAGCAACAGGATGAAAGGAGGACTTATCTTGCTAGGAAAGGCGACAAGCAAGCAATGTGAACTGCTTCGGATTTGTGAATCAGTTCATTCAGAATTAAGGTTCAGAATTCTGGCTGGGTAGTTCTGGTGCTTTTTTTTTGGATATCCCAATTCATCAAAAACTACGTTTTTTTTCTCCCTTTTTTCTGGCTCATGATTTTGGATTTCTGGTTATTTGCAAAGCAGTTTTTGCCATCGCTACTCCTGAGGTCTCCCTCGCTCAGAACTGCTGGCGATCTCCCACACATGTCGAGCATTGTGCAGCTTGACTTTCATGCAATGCTTGCGGCTTCCCAGCATGTTTCTGGCAGTCACAACCGCCACTGGGAAGACGGACTGGATCTGCTCAGGCACCATTGGGCATTCCCAGTTGGTTGAGGCCATCTTTGCGGATGTCTTTACCAAGGTGGGAAGCTTGGCATGGTACCCCATCTGGACATGTCTCGGTTCACAAATTCCCAGGTTTTTATCAATTTGCCCCAGCAGAACATGACTCAAAACAGAGATGGTAGCAGATTTTGGACGTGGCAGGCCACCCTGCAGGAACAGAGCAATGCCTGCAATGCTGCCGCAGAGGACCTTGGCCGTTGCAGTTGCAGTACTTCTGCCCAGCCATGTTCAGTTTGGGATTCCTTTACGGAACCAGATATTGATCAATGTGCATTAATTTAATTACTGTGTTTGGCGGAGGAAGCCAAGAGAAAGGCGATGACCATGGCTGATGCCACCGCAGGTCGGTGTGATATGGTGTTTTTTTTGGTCCTGTAGAGTTCCAGTCACAGTCACCCGTCACTGAGGCTCCAAAGTGGTCAGCGCCGGTGCTGTGGATTTGGCGATTTTCTTTGAGTCGATTCAGAAGGTTTTCTTCACAGAGGCTACAGTCTATAGTGGTTGAGACCTGTGGCTTCTGTTTTGTTTCTTATTGTTTCTTATATCAAGTTATATCACTATTCAGAAACACAGACAAAGTGTATTAGAAAGTGCCTATCCTGCACATCCCAGTCGTGAGATGTGGATCTGACATGATTTGACAGTGGCCGTCATGGGGCAGGCGTCTCAACTGCTTTGGTTTGCGCGGCGCTTCCGAGGAGGAGCCAGAAGTTGCGTGCAGGTTGCTGCGAAGCTGGAAATTACGGAGAGGTATGGAGAGGTCCTCTAGGTTTTTGAGTCTTGTTTAAGCTCACTTTACCTTACTTCCGGCAGTTACGTACGGGCCGGCTAGGGCCATGTGTAAATTATGTGTATGGCTGTAGTAGGCTTGTTTCATTCCATTGTTTTTCTGACTACAAGCACCTCTGCTGAAGGAACAGCTGGAGATGAAGGGGTAGAGGTTCCTTCCGTCAAGCTGGTTAGGAGCTCAGATTGAACTGGCCTCATCATCTCATCCTTTATCTGCTTATCATATTATGTTTCATCCTATTTCATCCTATTTCATCCTATTTCATCCTATTTCATCCTCTTTCATCCTATTTCATCCTATTTCATCTTATTTCAACATATTTCATCATATTCTTTAACATCATATTTCATCATATTTCATCATATTTAATCATGTTTCGTCATCATGATCATCATGATCATCATCGTCACCATCGTCACCGTCGTCACCGTCGTCACCGTCGTCACCGTCGTCACCGTCGTCACCGTCGTCACCGTCGTCACAGTCGTCACCGTCGTCACCGTCGTCACCCTCGTCACCGTCGTGACCGTCGTGACCGTCGTGACCGTCGTGACCGTCGTCACCGTCGTCACCGTCGTCACCCTCGTCACCGTCGTCACCGTCGTGACCGTCGTGACCGTCGTGACCGTCGTCACCGTCGTCACCGTCGTTACTGTACGGTCGTCACCGTCGTCACCGTCGTCACCCTCATCACCATCACCATCACCATCACCATCACCATCACCATCATCATCATCATCATCATCGTCCCATTCTTAAATGGCCTGGGTGTGCACCTGGCTGGACTTAGGTGGCATACTCCGTGGTGCTACCAGCCTTGCGGCAAGTTCAGGAGGTGTGGCCCAACGTCTTCATGCCAGCGTTTCCGGACATTTTCGCGGCAGCTCGGCCGTGGGATTCAGCCCCAAAAGGACCAGCTGCGATCTGGCGATCTGCGCCTCTGAGGCCAACTTCTCCCACTTCACCAACTTCTTGCAAGCTGCGGAGGCACCTGCACTCCGGTCAGAAAAGTGCTTTGGAAAACCTGATCCGGAAATGGGGTATCGTCGCATTCAAATCCTACTAATTACTTTTGACACATTCTGTCCCTCTTTGGGTTACTATGAACCCATTTGAAGCCATCAACCGAACCCCCCCACCAGGAGGTCATGGACAAGAGCGAAGCTGATGAGCTGCGTCAAAATGTGCTGGGTCCAGCACTGAGTCTGCCGACAGTTGAAGTTGAAATCATTGCAAGGGCTCGATGAAATGGGCCCGGGTTAAAATGGGCCCACCAAAAATGGCACTTGGATCATAGTCTTCAGTTGGGTATGGATCAATACCTATTAATACCATTTAATACCATTTTTAGGGGGATGAACATCCATTTACCAGCTATTTTGATGTTCACCAGGGGTACAAGGTTTTGACACACTGCCAGTTGAACTTTGGGAACTTGACTTGGGCAAGTTGACAGGTGACTTCCAGAAGAGGTGGAAAACGCAGGCCCCGGCTGGACTGCTTGGTCACTTTCCTCTGGGAGTTGAGCCGGTTTTTCTGTTGAATCACCAGCTGATGGCAGGTCTACTGCTCCCTCCGCACCAAGGAGGCAGCTCAAAGAGTGAGGTCTCCAAGTTATTTTGGGTTGTGGTTCAGGCACGATCTTTGGCTCCAGATTTTGTCACGTTTGCTGTCTTTGCCATTCTTTCTTGGGATCTCGGTCATCTCATTAAGCCACAACAAAGTCTTATATATGCGAACTTATGCGCGTTCTTCTTGTTTGAGGGTCCTTAGTAAGTAATGTCGTTCCTGGTCCAAACCTCGTTTGCATCACCACGAGTATCGGAACATCGTGCAGCAGCTGCGGAAAAAATGCTACACACATACCCGTGAACAGATTTCTGAGGTGGATGCAGCTGCACAAAAGTCCTCCTGGCATGTTTTGTTTGAGGGGCATTGCCGTGACATAGGATGCCTCGCAGCTACTGCGAGCTTTGGAGCAACATGCAACTGAAATTTGAGGCTATCGACCGATCAGACCAGAGCTCAGAATCTACCATATACAGCTGCCAGATATAAGTTACGCACTTCCTCCATTCAACTTGGAAAAAACATGGTTCCATGAAAGCAGCTGCTGCCGACTCCAAGGCTGGCACAAAGACATTCTGCAGCTGGTGGCGTGTATTGGCTTGAGGCCACTGGGGAGAATCGGCAAAGCCTCATGAGAGCAGGAAGAGGATAGCTGAATTTTTGAGTTGGCGGCATTTTAGTATCCCAAATGTTGGTTTGGATCTGGACATACAGATCCACACTGCAACATTCACTGCTGCTTTATTGGCAAACAACGTTTTTTCGCTTTCGACTGAGCCTCTTTCAGCCAGCCACGCCTTTGCCAAAGGTCTCTGCTGAGCTCATGCGGACAACCGACCTGGCTGGTGAACTCAGCTTCCCGAGCATCTCAGATGTTGCCCACCCTGACTTCCATTGCACCAAAGGTGTGGAATGCTTGGTACCTTAGTGGCCTTTATCCCAAGATGGTGGCGGCCTAAGACCTCACAGCGACTCTGAAAAGAGCTGATGTGACTGGTGCCAAGGCGCGCTTATCCCTGGAACTCATTGCAAAGTTCTGATCTCAGAGCGGGAGGACAACATGGGACAATTGCTATGATCCGACGATTGGTTACAGGTATGCAAGGGGGATTAAGTGGTGATGAACATTTTTGCAGTGGTGGAACACTTGCTAGCATTTGACCTCTAATTTGCGAGAAGAGTAGAGGTGGACAGGATGCTGTTCATCGTGGTGGTGCTGATAACCAACATAAATAAAAGTCAGTGACATTGTTCGAGTTGCAAGTGGAACATTTGGAGTGGCCTTTGGTGAGGTATGGCAAAGTGATTGCTGGCTTTGCGGAAACGAGCTCAACAACAGGCAAGAACCTGCTTTACGTTCAGACTCTCCATTTTCAATCTTCTCCCGAATCTGGATCTAATCAAAATCTCGGTTTCCTCATGAGGAGAACCAACATGTAGACTCATGTAGCCAAAGTTTCCGGTAGGAGAGAAGTGAATGTGGACTTGTTCCTCGTGTATCTCATACATGTGTGTATCTAGTACACCTTGTGTATCTCATACGCCATGTGTATCTATCTATCTATCTACCTATCTATCTACCTATCTACCTATCTATCTATCTATCTACCTATCTATCTATCTATCTACCTATCTATCCATCTATCTATTTACCTATCTATCTATATAATCTAATCTAAATCTAAATCTAAATCCAAATTAATCTAAATCTATCAAATCTATCAAGTCTATCAAATCTATCAAATCTATCAAATCTATCAAATATATCAAATCTATCTATCTACCTATCTATCTAATCTAATCTAAATCTAAATCCAAATAAATCCAAATAAATCCAAATTAATCCAATCTAATCTAATCAAATCTCATCAAATCTATCAAATCTATCAATCTATCAATCTATCTACCTACCTATTTATCTATCTATCTACCTATCTATCTACCTATATGTAATACACAGACGTTATATATGTATGTATGTAGCTATATGGAGGTTTCCTAAAAAAGGCACCCCCAGTTCTCATCCATTTATAGATTTATAGATGGATTTTCCATGAAATAAACCATCCAGCTATTGGGTACTCCCATTGGAACTCGAAAGGTGGCCTGGGCTGGGATGCCTCGGCATCGTCAATGACCTCAGCATCGCAGATGTTGATGACAGACGATTTTTAATGTTTTTTTTTTTTTTACTGGATTCTAACCATCAGTCTCTGGGAAGATATATATATATATATTATACTACAAAACTATATATTTGCGAAGATTGCAGTTGTTTATATCATCCAAAGTTCACAGCCCATTTTGGTTGATGATTGTACGGGGCTGTAGCATCAAATAACTGCCCACGATAGTTTCACAGAATTTCCCGATGTCAAATCATCATGGATCCATAAAATCATCATACATGATCACAAACCATCATGTTTATCACCATAAATCACCATAAATCATCATAAAGCATCATTTTTATCACCACAAATAAAAACAAATAAGAATAATTAGGAATAATACTACTAATAATAACAATAATCACCATCACCATCACCATCACCATCACCACCACCACCACCACCATCATCATCATCATCATCATCATGATTCCATTATATAAATGATCATACATGATCACAAGTAATCATTTTTTCACGATAAATCATCATCGAATCATCTTTATCTTCTACAAGTTGATCCAACGGACCATGTTTTTCTGCCCTGCCGAGGCCCCCGACGTGGGAGGCGTCTGCACTGGCCGTCCGCCTCTCTCGGGCCGCTTCGGATCTACTGCAGGCCATGTCACAAATTTGAGGATACAGAAAAAATGGATAGGTTCAAGAGAAAATCGATGGGAAACTATGGTTTTAACTTTGTTTAACCATGGTTTCTGGATGTTTTTAGCTGTTTTTGAAGTTACTAGACTTTTTGGGTGGTTTGCTGAGAAATATCAAAGCCATCATCTAATTCTAGGATACTTACTAGGCCTGCAACAAGTGGGATACAAGATGGTCATCATCCCCAAGATCCAATAGATGCGATGGGCGGCAGGTGGTGTCCAGCTTGTCTGTCCACTACTTAGATGTCTGAACCCAGTGCATTGTCATTGAGAGCACTGGAAGGTGCATGAACTTTGAGCAGTGACTTGGAATAACACATGTCGGCATCATATATCCAATACCACCAGGGTAGTCCCATGATATCCCAATCCGTGGTTCATCCAGCGGATGCAAAGGCGGTGAGTCATCCGATTGGTGTGTTGCAGTTCTTCTGAGGAAAATGGCTCCATAGCCAAGCCCTTTATGGACAGGCGAATTATGAGATGGATTTGGCCGGTTGTGGTTTGGTTTCGCTAGGTTGTGCTGGCTTGCAAATTGAAGAAAGCATCTGTCAAATTTCAGAAATTCTTGTCAACTTATTGGGTGTGTGCCGAAAGCGGAGGCTTTCAACTCATCCGAAATGTCAGTAATTCTGGCAATTTATTCTTTTTCATTGTTCATGTACACAATATATACTGTGAGTATCTGTGAGTTCTTGACATTTGAAACCATGCCGTTCTTGTCCAATTTGGACGACAGTGCAGGCTGCCTCTTGTCAGCGGCGAGCAAGGTGAAGAGCGGCTCGGTGGAGAAACGGATGTGGATCGAGTCAGCAACCAGCCGAGCGAGTGAGCAGCTAAAACATGCGAGTCAGCAAGTACAGCCAAAACCCATGTCCGATATGTCCGAGTTAGCAACCGAGAGTCAGCAACTATCCGAGTCAGCGTGAAAAATTAGGTCACTTTGAGGTTATTGAGGTCCAATAAGAATGGATTGCTAATGTTAAAAATGATCAAAGACTTGAGAGTTATTGGGTGCCACCAGAATTTTATGCGATATGGTAAATAATCAACGTAACGAAAATCTGCGTGGTCCGCGGTTTGAATTCTTATGTAGCCACTGTCAGAGGCAGTTCCCAACGTCCAAATTGACATGTAGTTGCGCGCTTTCTTTGCAGATTGGTGTGATTAGAGACACAAATTATTTCTGCGCGTTTGAAAGCCTGTCGGCACAATAGCACGAGGCTGGCAAAAGTTCTGGCCTTAGAGTTCATGGCATCCGAATTATCCCTGCTCTCTAAAGACTGGAAAGCCTGAAAGCTGGCATCATCCTGTCGCAATTTCAAAGAATTCAACAGAATTCAACGTTCAAGTGAGTTCAACTGAGTTCAACTGTTGATTTCCTGTTTTCTTTTGCAACATCCACCATCCTGGCGTATCCTGGCGTACTTAGGCCCTGCTGGAGGATGCGGCCAAGAGTTTGCAGCCCACTTTGCAATTGCTGCAGGATGGGATGTTGAAGCAAGTGGTGGCCGCCATGGGAACTCCTTTCGCTGCCATACGTGGCATACCTGCGTGGGAGACCTGGTGTGGACCGAAATCTCGACCGTTCATCGGATCTTGGGTGTTCCGCAACTCCGGCTGCGTTCATGTGGTCGAGGTTCTACCGGATGCTCAACAAGCCGGTGCCAGACCTTGGGGTTTCCCCAGAGGTTTTTCAGTTCTTGCTTTGGATGTTATAAAGCCATGATTTCCAATATGATTTCCATGTGATTTCCATATGATTTCCATATGATTTCCATATGATTTTCCCATGTTTTTTCCCATATGATTTTCCAAGGTGCCAAGCAAGGCATCGCCCTATGTGGAGTCGTCCATCAGGCTGGGAACTCCCGGCAATGGCCGAATTGGGAAAAATCCATAGATGAATGGCCAGTCCATTGGAAAACATCGAAGACATCTGGGGGATTTTCAAGCTGAATTGATCGGAAAAATTCTTTTCAAAGCTGTTGATCTATGTTCTTTATCTATCTTTATCTGATTTTGCATGTTTATCACCTTGTGCATGAAATATCGATACGCTTCGAATCTGGGTGGCGGTGGATCTGTGCATCGCTCTGAGGCCACTGACGGCTTTTCGGGAAGTCCTGGCCGATGTCTTGGATCAGACTTCCGACCCGAAAATGGAGCATCAAATGGGGGGGGTTAGGGTGGCCCAAGATTTGAGAAATCTACAAGTTATGAAATAAAGTATAACATCTACAAGTTTTCTGACCTCATTGGGAGACATGCCCGTGGCTGATAATGGCTCAGGTGCACTCCACCATCAGTGACCAGAAGATCATGAACTGCTGGCTACAAGATATGGTTGGGCCCAGAGCTTGTGAAATCGACTCTTGGATCAGAAAAACTTGACAGAAGCCACCTATAGATTGACTGTTGAATAGAATTTGAGCCTCAAAACACTGTCACCACTGCCACTGGCTCAGGTGGAAGGAGCTGCTGAAGAGTTCACGTCACAGGCTGTTTGAATTGTCTGCTTGAAGGGTTTGCACCTTGAAATCTCTCAACCATGGGAGTTTAACCATCACAAATCGGGTCAAAGACCATCAGAAATAGGCGTTGCACCTTAGATGAGCCTCCCTTGGCATTTCTTCTGTTGGATTAGTGGTCAGGAAGGTTCTGTTTTGGCCCCCAAAGCCTTGAATTTGGTTTGCTGCAGCTTGAAATTTCCAGACCTGCACTTTTCACTTGCAGGCAACCCAGCTGATTGAAATGACTCATCAGCAAGAGGTGTGAGTCTTAGCCAGTAATTCCCCAACCTTCCCCCACCAAGTGTAGAGAAGCGATTTCTAATATGAAACCAATGCCACTTAAGGGGGTGATTGTAAAAGTCCCCAAACCAGTCACAATCTTTGGTTGGTAAAAACATGTAAAAATACAAATCATCCCAGTTCCAGGATCCAACTCGTTTCGCGCCTTGCTTTCAGACGTCCACCACGCTGAGGCTTCTCTTCGACGTTTGGCTGGTCGTGGCGGTAGCGGTGGCGATGATCAGGTGAAACTGCAGCGTCTCAATTGGATTGTGAAATCTGTTAGCGCCAGCTGGGGACCAGGATCCAAACCTACCCCCGAAGCAAAAATAAAGAACAGTGAAACAAACAGACTTGGCCATAATTCTTGGCTCCCCATTTTCCTCACTTCTCCCATGCCCCATCCCCCATCCTCAAATCCATTGCATCTAGGAGCCCACCTGTGCCCCGCTCAATGAACATGTCCGGTGTAGCGATGGGAAGTCGAATGGGGCCCCCAACCATTGGTTTGGAACGGGCTGGAATGCTTGATCTGGATTTTGTTGATCCCTTGAGCGTACTTAGTTTGGGGCTATCTGAGGCTATCTTCAAATCCAAGTCATAGCGTTCAGAGTGGTCGCACGGGTTGCCACAGTTCGACTGTGCAAAACACCCTGGGAATCGTCAAAGTAATGTCACCCAAAGAGTAGTTACTTTGGTTCAAATTCTTCTGGTCATATTTGGCCAGCCATGAGACTCGCACATTTGCTCGTGGCGCATGTCTCCTCCAACTTAGCGAATCACCTCAGTTTGAAGTCTGTGGCACCTTTTGCCACTGAGGAGACTTCTTATTATACTGGTTGCCATTTTACCGGCATGAACTCAATTTATCAATGCACTCCGGAGTTCAGTGATGCTAAAGACATCTATACGCCGCCAGTTCTGCGCTTTCGTGCGGATTGTCGAGGTGCAGGCGGGAACTTCCAAAACTTGACCCTGTTTGATGGCAGCCGAGTTTGTGGTCAACTTAGCTACAGGAAGTATGGGAACAGCTCGGACATTGTGAGTCCGACGACCCGTTGGCTTCCGTTGACATACGATTACATCGTGACAATGGAAAAGGAAGACATTTTGGACATCGAGTGTGTCCCCTATCACTTGAGGTTTGGGATGTCACTTTCACGGGTGAAGGAATCAGTGGGCCACGTGAAAGCAGAAAGCTGGATGCTGCCCTTTAGCCTTTTGATGGATGGTCATAAGCAGGTTCACGATTTCTTCCAGCCGATTTCGACAGATCTGCTGCTCTATCCAAATTCGGACGCGAACTCTTGCGCTGAAACTCTGGGCAGGGCCTATGACTGGAAGATGAATCTGACAAAGTCGATCAACTTTTCCCATTGGGTCAGCTACTCCAGTCCAGCATTGGCACCGCTTCCAGAGATCTTTCCGAAGGTTGATCTTGGCCATGAGCTGCGAGGCGAGATTTTCCACTTGGACAAGGATATGTTGCATTTGACTGTGAGAGAGGCCACCATTTACTCAAAAAGAAGACCTAAGAAGAGCAGTAAAAAGTGGTTGGTGAAGGTTGATCCGAATTTCTACGGCTCTTCCAGCGGCTTGAACAGCTTTGCGGTGGACTTCAAACTGGAAGTGAATTCTGAAGGCTTTCCTAGAGATGCGGATGAAGTCAGGGTCAAGTTGGGACTCAAATATAATAGAAGGTTGTCGACGAGTACCTTTACCAAGCCGGGGATTACGCTGTTGTTCAATTTGACGCTTCCTGTGAACACCGCGGGAATGCAAGATGATTCCAAATCCCGTAGTTTGGTAATAATTGTGTTGGTGTTGATTTTAATCTTCCTGGTGGCCAACCTGGGCTACTTTTACTGGAAACAAAGGAGGACAATGCAGAGTGTTCAGTCCCAGGCTGGCTTGAATCCAGCCATGTCAATTGAGATGCAAGAAGCTGATGCCTCGTGATGGGGAAAACCTGCTCATTTCCGCAAACCATTCAGACATGTGGCTGTACTTCTCCAAGAATTATCTATCAATTGTAGGATTCATCCTGCTTGACTGCGTGGACCAGACCTCCACATTGTCCGCTTCGTGACCCGCAGACTTTTGTTTAGTATCATAATAAATAAAATTGGTTGGGCACCAAGTTTTGGATTCATATCCATATTTCAATCATCACTCCTGAAGTACAGGATCAAGCATTTGCATGCATTTGTATTATACCCTATGCACAGACATGTTCAACTTTGACACCGAGAATTGTTAAGAAGGAGTAGTTAGTGGGTTATACAAAGTTCCAACAGGCTTACATAGCCTGCAGAACTGGGCTTTATCGCAACATATCCCATTCTAATCCCTCATATAATCTCACATGATATCCCCATTGTAATCAGCTTAAATCTAATTGGCCCAATTGGCCAAGTTGGGACGTACATTTTCTGCACCAGGTCTCCGATTTGGACAAGATCTACATCCAACTCTGCATCGACGTTGACACCTTCATTGACATGGCTGGAATTACTTGTCGACTTTTGTACTTGAGTCACTTGAGTACTCTTGAGTCTTGAAGAGTTTAATTTCCATAATGCCATCGTGTCCCTCACTCAACACCTTTTTCTCCTAAAAAGGGTAACGGGGGCAGCGCCAGGCCTCCACGGTAGCTCGAGGGTCTCCACCAGGACTCAACAGACTGAAAGAGGCAGATGCAGATGCTGCAGATGCCCCCAAAAATCATTGAAAATCCAGTGTTAAACTGGGTATGGGTCAATACCTATAGATACCTATTTTTAGTGGGATGAACATCCATAAATCCCAGCTATGACTTGGGGTGAACAAAACGTACCAGGGTTTTGACCCATCCCCAACTGTTAAACATGTTTTTGGCAATTTTTGGCCACGAATTTTGGCCTCTGGTGCTGAAAATGAGGCAGTTGCTGGCATCCGCCGCGTGCGAACCTTGGTCGTTCGCATGTTGGTCGCAGTTGGGGTGTTTTTTATCACCTCTAAGGCCTGAAAGTGACATGCTGGGCCAACGAATGCCCGGTCAAAGGCAGCCAACACGGCAGCTTCGATGACTTGGAAACGATTCAATCAGAGCCACCGGGAAAGGCTTAAAGAAAGGGGGCTTGGTGAGTTTTTGCCCCAGATGTTGGGTTTGACATCCAGCTTCAAAGCAGGGTCCCTGAAAACTTGAGGCCAAGATTGCGTTGAAGGAAGTTGTAGTGGCCTAGAATCTGCATTTTTGACCAAGGACCTTGATTATTCTGCACGGCCTTTCAGCTCAAGTGTGTGGCGCATTCCCTTCAGCCGCACCACCCGCGCGCCCAAACACGCCCGGGGCCGTTGAGCTGTCTGGGATCCCAATGGGTCAAGGTTTTCCATGCTGTCAGGATTGATATTTTGAATTATTTTTATACACTCATAAGTTGCCTTCAAACCCCAGTTATAACTTTAGGATTGTTTAGTTATAGTTGTCGTAACCCGAGTTCTATTCTCTTCGATTGGAAGATGGGTAGAAGTGGACAATTGGATGCCAGGATCCTTCACCCCCCGACACCAGAGCCATGCTTGTGAGTCAACGAGGTTCTGTCCGAGAGCGACAATTCACGCCGACCCGGCTCATTGCGCATGGGCCAAACTTCGGCGCCTCAACCGGTCGATTTGATAGTCTCTTTGAAGGGAAATGAATGGTGGACATTTTCCGTGAAAAATCTAGGCTCCGCCAGGTATCCTCAACTAACTCAGCAGCCCTCTTTGTCCGAGCACACGCGGCCGGAGGTGCCAAAAGTTGGAGAGATGGTCTGCTAATCACTGGGGCCAAAGAATCGTTTAGATGGTAAAAATAGTCCGATGCAGGATTGAGAGATTTCAAATACCACCCAAAATATCCTAAAATATCCTGAAATATGATCTTTCCCATGCTTGGGTGATGTCTAATCCTGAAATATCCTGAAATATGATCTTTCCCATGCTTGGGTGATGTCTAAAGAACATTTCACCACACTTCGCCACGGCAAGGCATGTTGTAAAGCTTGAAATTGAAGCGTAATTTATACAAGGTGTGCATTGGTGAGTGTTGACAGGCATCAATACTTTCGTCATGTGTGCCATGTTCACTTGGGTTTTGGTTCGTCCAAATGATGGATAACCCAGTTTGTGGCCTGTTCTAGTGGGGAAAATGATGATAAACCATTGTAATTTTGGTGTACCCCCAATTCTTGGACAACCCCATTTGCTGTTTTTGACATTTCATCGAGAAGGGTCAAGAAATAATGTGTCTAGTTGGCCTCATATGGCCTGATTTGGCCTGATTGAGTCTGTTGTGAATGTTTTTGATTCTAGCATATTGTGGCCTTGACCCGGAGGTGTTGCAAAGCTTTCACCTTACAAGGCCTCAGTCTCAGTGTGAATCATGTTGTGAAATCTGTTCTTATCTTGCTTTCCTGAGCTGATGTTACTGTCATGCTTCAAATATCTTCAACTGTTCGCACTTGTTCACACTGCCCATTGGCCTACAGTGTGCTACAGTCCTTGCACTGGCCTCCGCTGGCCTGTACCTGCCATGGTGCGCTACCCTGGCTTTTCGGCTAACCTGGCGATGCTTTTCCAGGACGGAGTGGTCAGGGGGTGGACTCACATGCCCCAGATGGCTGTTTCATGCTGTGTTTCATGGTGTGTTTCCAGTGTTTCCAAGCTCTTGGAGTCCCTCACCTGTCACCAGGACGTGCCTCTTTTGGAGCGCTTCGCACGCGCGCGGAGCGCGGGCTTTGGAGCGGTGGAGATCTCGAGCAACGAGCTCTTTGAGCACTGCCCCAAGGAGGCGGAGACCGTGGGATGGCGATGGGGGAGATCCCTAGGGTAAACATACAGAAAGATTCGCGGAAAACGTGGGGTTTTCCCCCATCTATGTTAGCTTACCCGGTATGGGATGTGGTCATTGTGGGTGGCAATGGACCCACATATGGTTGAGCCATCCGCAATCCACAGAGAATTATCCAGTTTTAGGGGTGCAACGTCCACGGGATACTGTTCCAACCGATGCTGGCTGAGTCCAAGTGACCAAGTGGCAGAGCACTCCGCAATGGCTCTTGGATGGCTTAAACAGCCCTGAAAGTTCAGCTATATTATACGTGTATATATATAATATACATATATGATATATATATGTTTCACCGTGTTTCACGATCGTATTTCCGTTGATTTTTCTGGTTGAAAGCTTAGAATTTGACGACCCTCCAGGTGGCCAGTCACCTGAAGGGTGAAGGCTTGGACTGCGTCCTGTTCAACCTCCCGGTATCTCGGGCGGTGAATTTATGGCAGATGCAGTTGGGACATGCTGGGACTGTGACATTTTCCATGTTTTGCCGTGTTTTGTTGGACATATTCTTAACACAAAGTCAGTTTCAAGCCCGGGCAGCTCCAACGTTTCAGTGCCTGATTCTGCCATTCAAAACATCGCTTATTCCGGCTCAAGTTGAAGTTCAGATACATTCAGATACTGTAGATCAAAATGTTGAAACCATTTTTCCAGAGTATATCCGAATATCCCATTAATAATTATAACAATAGTCCCATAACAATTGTCCCATTAATAGTCCCACTAACCCGCAACAACCGTAACAGTGCCTGGGCAGCTCCAAGGCTGGTGACTGGCGCGGAGGTGAACGGGGCCTGGCGGCGCTCCCAAAACGACAGGAGGAGTTTCTGCGTAGTCTGCAGCAAGGAGCTGACTATGCAGAGAGGCGTTGAAGATGGGAAAACCATGGGAAAACCATAGGAAAATGGAGGTTATACCCTCTGGTAAACTGCCACATAACTATGGAAAGATCCACCATTTTGAATGGGAAAATCCACGAACTAAAGAGCCATTTTCAATAGCTATGTTAAATTACCAGAGGGTACTATTCTTGTGGCTTTATTGATGGTTAGTACATGTTAGTACTTACTGTATAGTTATTACCATTAGTTTGATGGTGATGGTGATGATGATGGTGATGATGATGGTGATGATGATGATGGATGGATGGATGGATGGATGGATGGATGGATGGATGGATGGATGGTTGGATGTAGATCGATGTAGAGGGTTTCTGCGGGTTTCTGTAGATGGTTTCTGGTGTCTGTTGCAATGTTGTTTGACACAAATGCCAAAGTTGCTGACCATTCCCGCAACCTTCTGTTGCAGAGCACCTTGGACGTATACTTTGCCACCCGAGATCTTTCTCAAGGATTTGTGTTTGATTGGCAGACCAAGCGTGTTTTTCTGCAGTTTTAGACATCCCAAGCAGTGGAGGCTCGGATGTTCGCGAGTTCACTGTCTGGCGGGTCTACTGGGCTCTTCGGAGATCTATCGATCGAACCTGCAGAAAGCTGGGGAAGTCTTGGGGCCGATGGGTGTTGAGGCTGGGTGGCTGGCTCCGGAGAAGTGTTTTTGTGGTTCACAGCTGTCAACGATGCGCAACGATGCGCAACGTATCAACCAGCGCAGGTCCTGATAGAGCCCATCAACCAACGGAGCATGCCCCTGGGCGCTGATGGCACTGATGGCATTTTTGGGTTCCCAAGAAATGATGGGTCACCATGGAGGGCTTTGGGACAGTGATTTTAGTATATTTTAGTAGTAAACTACAAACCATTCCATTTTTTGGCTGTGCATTTTCTTTTCCAAAATTTCTCTGCTTTCCGAATTTTACTGGACCGGAGGCCAGACTATCACCTGAAATCCTTCGGCCAAGCAGAAAGGCTCCTGGCAGAGGTCTCGCGTCCAAATGCGCCGGTGAAGCTGCTGTTTGACTTCTTTCACTGCCAGATTCTCCATGGCTACTGGACTGCTATGGCTGGGTTTGTCCAATATGGGATTTCTACCACCTATGATGGGAAACCGAGGTTTTGAAGCATGGGATTTTGGGGCAGCCTATGGACAAACTCATCTTGTGATTTTTGTAGTATGACACCTCTAAAAAGGGAGCGCTCTGTTACGGGGACGCTTAGTTAAGGTGATCTCACGATGAACTTGAGGAAGTACGCAGCAACTTGGTTCGGCAAAATTTATCCATCCCATTTACTATACGTAGTTATACCCTGTCGCTGTTTTTGTTTTGTTTACCTTTCAAGTGAAAAGAAGGGAAAATTGAAGCTGAACTGAACGGGAGGACCAGCCAGCTCTGATAGCAAGCACGTCTCACAGGATCTAGACCCGCTGTCAGAACTGGAAGCACCATTTGTGCCATGGTCCATGGATGGTATACTGTGAAGTTGTACAGTTAGTTAAAGTTATACCCATATTGGGCATGGTCAATGAGCCATCAATCCATAGGGATTTCCATTGCGGGGTGCCGATGTTTCAGGATATCATTGGACACGTGCAAGTGGCAGGGGTACCGGATCGTGGCGAACCGGATGCCAGGATCGGATGGAGTGGATTAGTGACCCTTTGGCTTGAACCCCTTAAATATTTCACTCCGGGAAAAATATGGAAATGTGTCAAACTCTTCGTGAAAAACATATTATACATATATGATCATATATGTATATTTCTTTCTATCTTTTAAAGACACCTGCCTGGCCTGCCTGGGGTCTGATTTTGGCAACCCAAACGGAACATTTCCATGAGCATGGGATGACTCTGGATTTCAATTTGAAGCTCCTTTGCAGTTTGGTTTGGGTACTAGCTTTAACCATCTTTAACCTATAATATCCTATAATTATATAATTGAATTTACCATGTAACCAAATTGCTAGCCTTTTGCCGTGCCACCTTTTTTTTTATGTGTCGTTGGCCAGGCAGGAAGTGAACTTCAGGCACCTCTTCCAGGTGCTTCGAGATGAACTGGTGTCTCGCTAGACGGCGCTTGTGCTCCCGCTCCCTCCAGTGTCATCAAACATGGGAAATGGTAGAACTGCAGGTTTGATGGGAAAATCATCGGACTCAATGGGGCTGGAGGGTATATGACACCAGCAACGTAGCGAAATGTTATGAATTCGCGTACTGCGTAGAAATATGGATGAAATATGATGAAATCATATAGGGTGGAGCCATTGGATTCAAGGCCTTCATGGTGCTTGTTGGAGCTTGGGTTGGACACCCAGCCGGAGCCCAGGGCTACAAGGGACACATTGGATGCGAGTACCAACCGCGCGGAAAGACTGAGGACGGTCTAAAATGGCTGGATGAACTGGTTGAGTGACTAAAGGTAGGCTCACTTCCTGGATTTTGCACCGGGTTTCTTGAGCCAATGGGCTTGTGATGCTTTGAGCGGTGAGCCTGAAATGTGGGCTCAAGATAAGCAATCAGACAGCGCTTCTTGGTTCCATGTCTCACAGCTGCTGTTTAAAGAGGCAGGAAAAAGTGCTGCCATGATTCCCAGTTGCATCCGTAGACCAGATTCCCAGCAGTTAGGACGCAGGATGCATGTTCCCCCGGAGCTACTTTCTGAGGTCCATTGACCTGTGCAGGACATTGGAGGGTCGAATGGAAACGCAATATTAGACTCTGTGGGAAACGAAGACTTACTTCAGAAGTATCCCGCGCACTTCTCACAGAAACTTCAGGAATGGTTATATATGTAATCCAGCATTTTCTCCTAGATCAGGCACGGTTGAGAATTTGCTTGGATTTGGACGAAGGCTGTGTTGCAGCCAATTCAATGCTTGCAAACAAAGTTCAAGTCTTGCTCCTTGGCTGTGCACAGCGCAGGATGCTTCACCAAATGAAGCTGATATTGTTTGCCCGGCTCTTGGTTCAGTTTCAGGGAGATGGAAGAGCTGAGCCATGGTCAACGCGAGTTCTTTTCCCATGGCGAAACATCATCCCATGAAAATAGGCTTTAAGATATCCATGGTTTAATCATCATCCATAGATATCCATTATTTGCAGAATCCGTTATGAAGTTTCTCAGACGGTTTCGCACGACATTTCGGCTTTTTGGGAACCCTGGAATCACCGCAACGGCCATGGCTGGCTCCCTTTTGGCTGACCTGTCGCGAATGGGATCTGACAATGCCTTCACTGATCTCGTGTTGACAGCGCAAGGAGGCCTGGGCCACTGGGCAGGGCTGAGTGGCGTCCAATGGGTCCAAGGAATCTTGGTGTGCAAATATTGGCCGTTACACCCAGTAATTATGTGTCAAATCCCCACAAATGCCGGGAGATTTCCCTATTTTGAGGCCCCAATTGGAGCAGTTGGGTTGCATCCATCAGCAAAGTCGTAGGTTCTCTCAGACCTGTGGAGCCCAACAATTCCACCAAAATGGTCTTGGTCAGTCAAGACATTCAACGACTTTTTCTGGATTTTTCAGAATATGCTTCGCCTGTCCAGGCCATGAAAGAGCAGCCAACAGTGTGGTCCTGGCTGCACGCTCCAGGGTTTTCAAGCAAATGTTTCCCGGTTTTGCATCACTTGTGATTCCACACCACTGTCCCTTTTGATCGATTTCCAACACCTGTTGATGGTACTTCGTCAAAAGATTGGGCACCCCAAAATGGATGACTAAACCGACTAAAGCTATATAAAACAATGGGAAAACACCTCCTGTTCCCTGGATGTGAACATTCGGTCCCCACATGAATTTTCGGCTTGGTGCAACTGAGGTTGTCCTCGGAGATGCAAGAAGGTCAGCTCATCGCAGGGAAGCGACATGTGGATCTTCCTGAAACCTCCGGGGAGGTTTTGGATCAGCTGCTGGAATGGTGCTATGCTGACAAAATGCGAGATTTGGATTTGCCCGGAACCATGGAACTCCTAAGAGCTGCGGATTGTTTTGAACTCACTGGTCTCCTGCAGAAATGCTCCCAGAGGTTGGGAAAGATTCTGACGATGGAGCTACTTCCAGAGGCCATTGGAATGGCTGAAGCGATGTCATCTGCTGAACTTTGGCATGCTTTGGCTTTGTTTGTGGCAAAGGCTGATGTGAACTTGGATGACATGCCCTGTGAACTTCGAACATTAGCACTGCAAGAGAGGAAGAAAATCTTGGAGAAAAACATCAGCGAGCTCCGTCTGAGGTTAGCCAACGTGCCGGCCCCCAGACCTGCCATTGTCTTCTGGCGGCAGACTCTACCTGAGTCGTTACACAAGGAGCTGGTTCAAGAGGCATTGCTGGATCCTGAGGCAGTCCCGGCTTTGTTCTTCGGATTTCGAGAGAAGGCACCAGTGACTGGTTGGTGACTTCAAGTAGTTGTTTTTGCTTTTCATCCCTATGCTGCCTATGCTATCTATGCTGGAATGATTCACGGAAATGAAGCCCCGTACTTGATTCGCCTGGTCGGTGGTTTCAACCTTAGCAAAAATGCGAACCATCTTCCACCATGTTTTCAACTCTATTTCTGATCATTGACCAACTGATATTTTTGGGCGACTCAACGACCCTGCTGCAGGTGCTGTTTCGCGAGGCGTGTGCCAAGCACTGGAAGGACCTGGATGGGGCAACGCGATTGGCATGCGAGGAACAGGCCTTGGAGGATCAGGTGGGGATTGAGATCTTTTCGGAAACAAATAGTTGGTTGATTAAGTTTAGTACTAAACATTACTGTATCCTCCATATATTTGGGTTTATGTAAGTTTAGTTTGTTTAGTAAGTTTAGTAGCTCAAACATTAGCTGAAAACCCGATTTTTGTTTCTATTTTGTTTCATGTTACGCCATTTTGCGATGGTTAATTTTCCCCAAAATGAATGGAACTAATTTATGGCTTTGTATAAACCCATAGTCTTGGTATCCCATCCCCACCAATTTTTCTCAAAGGGCAGCCCAATTATTGCTGAGTCAGTTGGCACCTGACTTCACCCATTTCGAGGCGAAGTTTGAGGAGGTGAAAAGTAGATTGGAACATCAGCTCCAGGACCTTAACAAGGACTTGAAAGGTCTGGTGGTTTTGCAGGGCTCAAAAACCGAGACCCAAAAAAAACAAGGGATCCAGGCAGGATATCCCAGGCAATCTGAGATGTGAACAGATTGGAGGTTGGGAAAGATGATCTGATGATTTGAGATTGGGAAACATGATGAAACATGATCTTCTCCAGCGAGCATCTGGAAATCGAAGTGGGGGATGATACGGGTTGTGCCGACGTGGACGACCGCAAAACTCATGACCTTCCCGAAGGTTAAGGCCTTGGTTTGGAGAGTTCTGATCAAAGCGCAAACCGGAAAGAGGTCCATACGGTGTTTGAACATAGGGTACATACCGAGTACACCCAAGTTTGATGGTCAATCATCCCTCAGAAAACTGGCCGAAACTCACTTGAGCGGATTTCAGCATCAGTGCTGAAGGCATAAAGCAAAAGATGCAAAAGGTGGAGCCAAAGTGCCCTGCAAGAGGTCTTGGCAAAGGAACAAGACTCGCACAGAGATGGAAAAGGAGGGATACCATGAGCATGACTGCAAACATCTGCCAAACTTTTGCAGTGTTGACTCTCTAGCAGCCTCTGTGGATATTTCTCTGAACTTAACACGAAACCCACATTCTACCTCGTAAGTGCTAGGAAACAGGGGTTCAAGGTCCCAGTAGCCTCCGGTAGTCTTGGCAATTAAGAGAACCGGGTCATCAAATCCCAACTGACCAACCCAATGGATGTTGGGACTCTCAGAATCTGAGGCTGGTTGGCTGGGCTCGGTAGCTGCTGGAGGACTATTTTTTGCAGCTGGTGGACATAATTTACCAAATAATTGGACTCATCACCATTTTGGGATACTTGAAATGGTACAGTTTACCTCATGTTACCAAATGCAGTTACCATTGATTGAAAGTCACCCCCCGAACCATTTTGGGATCTTGATGCTTGACCTAGCATCTCCGCCTCGCCCCGCGTCAGTCGTGAGGAGCCTTGATTGGCAGCTCATCTGTTTGTGCCTTAGATCGGGACCCACATTTTGAACCATGGCCATATAGAAACAGCATGAAACAGCTGGTTGGAGAATCTCAGCATGTTTCCTGCAGGGACATCCACAAGTGGATGGTCCTGGAGCTGATGTTGGGGTGCCCCAGATGTTTGGTGCATTTCTTGTCACCGAGTCACCGAGTCACCGAGTCACATCTCTAAGGCCTGGAAACCTGTCGCCAGTGGAGCGAAAGTCCCAGTGGCGCAGCTCCAGTCTCAGTCTCCAGCTGTCATGGCTCATCAGTGAAGCAACTCTTGAAGAACACATAGCCAGTATCCCCAGTACCCTCTGGTAATGACGAACATAGCTATTGAAAATGGCCATAGAAATAGTGGATTTACCCATTTATAGTATGTTTCCATTAGTTACGTTAAATTACCAGAGGGTATCTTGCCATCACTGTCTGACAGCTGAGGTCGGTCGAGTCGGAATCCGAGAAGCCCACTGCAGCAGGTGTGGCAGCAGATTCTGGTGTTTTAGCGAAGTGCAGCCTCTTACCACATCAACAGAACCACTGAGTTTCAAGATTGGAAACATCAACTTTCTTTGGAACATCTAAAAAAAACAAATCGATGAGATAAAAAAACCAGCATTCTTTCTGGCAGTTTAGATATGTTCAGATATTCGGTTCTATTAGATCCTGGTGATCTTTCCAAGCTTCCGGTCCCCGGTGGTCCAGGCCATGCTGAGTCGAGAGGGCCGAAGCCTCAGTGACATGGGAATCTGCAGAATCTGCAAGGCTACAGTGAGTCTCTTATCTAATCTGGCCATATCTGGCCCCCTTTCCAAATTGACCTCATAGAAATATATAGAAACCATACATATCCTGGAATCCTAGTCCTGGGGTAAAATTCATTCCAGCGGGCTTTAGTTCCGATTCACACCAATTGGAATGATTCACACGAACATTTACCCCTTCATTCCAATCATCCCAGTTGTTTGGGTGTTTCTGAAAATGGGGTATACCGCGGATACCGCGGATACTGATGGATACCGCATATACCGGCATACCCCCCAAGTGCAGCATCAAAAGGGCACAGAGTTCGGAGATATCATGATGATTTCCCCCCCAGAGTTGGTTTGTTTCTCCACATTTTTTTACACACCCACTGAGCCCATTGAGGGCCCATTGAGGGCCCATGGTGACTTCCAGGCCCTCCGCCTCGCACGAGAGCAACGCAGTCCCTGAGCCACCCAACGTGCCGGAGTCCGCTGGATGGGAGGTACCAAGGGTTGGTCCATGGGTGCTTAGCTTTTTTCAGTCAGTGTTTGAGTGAATTCTTGGTAGATATATGTAGATATGATGATATGATTGGTGGTCACAGAAGGTTTGCAGAATATGAATATGTTTCAAATGAACGTAGTTTTGCTCTGGATACTCTTCTTTGGTCTGGCATGCCAAAACTGTTTCAAGCACGCCCTTCTACCAGGCACAGTTCGCATGGGGCTGCAGACTCAAAGCCCTGGAATGGTGGATGTGGCTTTGGATCGGGGTTAGGTGCCCCGCAAAAAATGAATGATGAACCATGATGAATGCTGAATCATGTGGGATTCACACAATGCCATCTGCACCATCCCCAAGTCACCATTTTTAGCCTGGGGCAGCTTTCCTTGCTATTTGCTGCATTTTGGAGCTAAAATCTGTGTTTTGCATGCATTTTGGAGCTAGAATCTCCCATTTGCGTGCCCACTTGGCATTTGGCTTTTGGCTTTGGCTTTACTTGGCTTCACTTGGCTTATGGCTCATGGTTCATGGCTTTTGGTTTCACTTGGCTTTGGTTTTGGCCGTTCACTTCACTTGGGTCTTGGCGTTTGTTGGGTTTTGGTATTGTAGTTTGCATATAACGTTTTATGTAATACATTGCATATATATTTCATGTAAACTGCACAAAAACTACAGACATAGAGTATAGGAGCTTGTATGCATGCTGTTGTAAGAAAATAACGACACCATCAATAAAAAAACCTGAAGAAACCCTAAACGACACCCTAAAGAAACCTTAAAAGAAACCCTAAATGAAGCCCTAAATGAAACCCTAAAGAAACCCTAAAGAAACCCTAAATGAACCCTAAATGACATCCGAAGCCAAAAACATCACCCTAAAGAACCCCTAAATAAAACCCTAAAGAAACCCTAAATGAAACCCTAAAGAAACCCTAAACGACACCTGAAATGAACCCTAAAAGAAAACCGAAATTAAACTCTAAAGAAACCCTATATGAAACCCTAAAGAGACCCTAAATGACATCCCAAAGAAGCCAAACACGACACCCTAAAGAAACCCTAAAGACGTAAATGAACCCTCAATGACATCCTAAAGAAGCCAAAAACGTAATCCTAAAGAAACCCTAAATAAAACCCTAAAGAAACCTTAAAAGAAACCCTAAAAAAACCCTAAACGACACCCTAAAGAAACCCTCAATGAAACCCTAAAGAAACCTTAAAAGAAACCCTAAAGAAACCCTAAACGACACCCTAAAGAAACCCTCAATGAAACCCTAAAGAAACCCCAAACCCCCAAGAACCCTAGAAGAAACCCTAAAGAATCTTTGAAACCACGGAAAGATCATTGAAGACGATCAAGAAAGCGATGAAAACCATCCAGACATCGTTGAAAACCATGGGAAAATGGGTGAAAACTAAAATGTTGCAATTATCGTGCAAAAGCTCCGAAATGCTGCAAGTCATAGTATGCAAAATGAGAGATTTTAGCTCAAAAATGCAGCAAATAGCATGCAAATCAGAGAGATTTTAGCTCCAAAATACAGCAAATAGCACGCAAATCAGAGATTTTGGCTCCAAAATGCAGCAAATAGCACGAACATCAGAGATTTTAGCCCCAAAATGTAGCAAATAGCAAGGAAAACTGCACCAGACTGAAAAGCAAAAAAAGCCTTTAAAAAATGCAAAAAAAATCAAAAAACAAATCATCACCCCAATTTTTATGCTGTGAACGCAAAAACCGAGGCCTCTATCACAGCAAAACGGCTTGCATGAGGGGTTCGGCTGGACGCTGGGTGAGGGAGCTCAAAATGACCATGGTGAAATGCTTGATCTATAGGAACACCGTAACCCCCAAAGAGATAGAAAAGTCAAATCCCACTAAAGTGAGGAATTACATTGAATTACTTTTACTATCTTTTTGGGGGTTACTATAGTCTCATGCAGCACAACGTTTTTACACTTGACGCGGATGGTCTTTCTCCTGAGGCCCTTGACCGCAAAGGATCCAGAGCAGGGGTGCCGCAGGAAATGCTCCGCGCAGAGGAGTCTTATGACATCAGCATGCCACATGAAGATGGCTGTCCCACAACTTTCCAAGGACTCACCCTAACCCGGAAAAAGGTGTGCCATTTCATCATTTTCCATCATTTTCCATGATCATCATGATCATCATGATCATCATGACAATCATGATCATCATGATCATCATGATTGTTAAGAATACACCTGCACATGTACATGAGCTATACAGTTGCTTATACAACATGTTAGTCTACTTTGAGTACATGTCATGGTACGATACATTTGGGCTCCATACAGGGCCCTTGAGCTAGCGTTACTCGAGCGCTACAGTGAAAAGTACAGCGCGTGGGCTACAGCTGCTGAGAGTACAGACAGGAAAGTTGTACACTTGATTTCAACATGGTAGCGGAGCAGTGATCCCTGGACGATACAGGACAGGGTGAGCTCCAATACACATCGGCAACAAAGCTACAGCATTAAGGTGAGAACATACAACAACAAACATGGCAGCAGCTACAACTGGAGGAGACCTCAATGCGATGCACAGATACAAACTACCACCACCACACTTTACAGGAGAGTACGCAACATTTGAAGAATGGAAACACAAGTTTGTGGCCTACTTGGGGCTACAGAATTCACAATTTCCCAGGCTCCTACAGATAGCAGAAACATTTGATCAACCAGTTACAGATGAGCTTCTAGCAGACGGTGCAAGAAACAGAGAAGAAGCAGACCTTTGGATACAACTCAGCAAAGACCTACACTACCTACTCATCAACGTTTGTCAAGGACAAGCAGCTGTCCTTTGCAGACAACATACACTACAAGCAGTTGGTCTCGAGACATGGAGACAACTACACAGACGCTTTTCAATTCCACTTGGTCCACGCAGTGTCGGGTACCTTGCAAAGCTTTTGAAACCACAGTTCAACGAAAACAAATTTGAGGAGTCTTTTACGACATGGGAATTTGAAATAGCAAGATACGAAAGAGACAACCAAGCACCAATACCTGACAACATCAAAATTGCAATACTACTCAATGAGACCAAAGGACCACTACAGCAATACCTACAACTACGAGCAGGAGCCATACAACGATATGCAGACATTCGAGAACTCATTCTCGAATACCACAGAGCATCAACAGCGTTCTCCAAGATGCAAGCACAACAACAGGCAATGAACAGCAGCACAAATGATGCACAGCCCATGGACATTGGAGCTACGTACAAAGGAAAAGGAAAGTACAACAACAAGGGTAAAGGAAAGTACAACAAAGGAAAAGGAAAGACACAATGGCACAACAAAGGAAAAGGATACACAGGATACAGCCAACAAGGATACAAAGGCAAAGGTCCAACACCGATTGGACATGGCAACCCTTTCAAGGGAGCAATGCAGTACAAAGGAAAGAGCAAAGGAAAAGGACCACCACAATGGCAAAGTACAACAATGAACAAAGGCAAAGGAAAAGGAACATGTTACAAATGTGGTCAACAGGGCCACTATGCAAGGGACTGCAGAGTGGCAGTCTACAACGTCACAGACATGGATGAAGGCACAGACCAGTACAACCAACAACAGTCATACTACCAACAACCATGGACAGAACAAGAACAGTGGCACTACGAGGAACAATGGTTCCCAGATCACCAACAGTGGCAATATGACCAGCAACAGCAAGCGGCATACAACCAGGAACAACAGCCACCACAGATGCCTACAGCACCAGCGCAGGTAGTTTCCACAGTAGAGTTTGGAACAACTACAATTGCCTCAGTCACAACCACAGGCCTCAACACCTACAAGACAGTCGAGCTCATGATCGACAGTGGCGCAGCAGTACATGTCTGTCCACCAACCTTTGGTACAGACTTTCCACTGATGCCTCTTACAGAGGAACAAACACCACCACTTCGCTCAGTTACAGATGAGCCTCTTTGGGTTCTTGGCTACAGATGGGTGCGCTTCAAGAACATACAAGGACAACACTTGGTGATGCCATTCTACGTCATAGATGGCATACGACACCCCATCGTCAGTGTTACAAGACTCCTGGAACAAGGTTTCGAACTCAACCTCAGAGGTACAGAGTCTACACTACAGAAAGGAGATGTGTTTCAGGCACCACTTACAAGTAAAGACAGACTACTCTACGTCCACCTGGAAACAGCACCAATGGAAGAAGGAACAAAACTGGTGATACAAAACACTCCACAAGGACAAGTGGCAATGATTGCCCCAACACACACACTTACAGCAACAGGACCACGACCTCAGCAAGGAGGCAACAACGACTTCTGGAAGTACAACGAACAAGGATACCTGGTCAGGGTACACAAGAGAGGAAGAAAGGCATTGTTCACACCAGGATACGGCAACCAATCGGCATGTCCAGTACAATTTGACAGACTGGACGACTACAGGAAAACAATTGTCCACAAGGAAAACGGTACGCAGACAGTGCTTGAAGACAAGTTCAAGTCACTCACTAAACAGGAAGCAAACAGAGAGGTTACAGGTACACAATGGCAAGGAGAAACATGGTTCAGGATTCTTCCTGACAAGACAACAACAGGCCAACAGAAACAGGATACAAACAAGGAACAACAAGTTCAGAAACGAATGTATGAAGGAAAGGAAGTGAAGTACAGACACACGTACAAGCAGCAAGAGAAAGAAGATGCACTACCAACACCAATGCAGATGGATGGTACAACAGACTACTGGATCAAAGAAGGAAGGTTTTGGAAGAGAGTACATGTGAGACCAAGGACAGAGTTCTACACACCGACACCTGAAGACAATGGACCAGATGTCTACAAACTGCTCCCATACAGAGCAACACACATACGAGAGGAGCACAACATGAGAAGAATCGAAGACGATTGGACTACAGAACCACAACCAACAAGACAACAAGAATGGACAGGATCTACAACCTTTGAAGAAAGAAGAGAATACAGAGAAGAAATGCCAACAGAAGAAGAAGATGAACAACAGAGCGCAAACAAAGCGAAAGCAATGATGCAACCGGTACAACCTACACCGCAGGAGATACAACAGCACAACCTTACACACATGCCATACAGGAGTTGGTGTCCTGTGTGCATACAATCTTGCGGCAGACAGACAAGCCACCAACAGCAAACATCGAAACAGCCAATCATACAAGTTGATTTCACCTACATCAAGACCTATGAAGACAAATGGCCGGTACCAATCCTGACAGCCATAGACATACAGACCGGCATGGCAATGGCAACAATGCTTACGGACAAGAAAGGACAGTTTGCCTATGCACAGGCATGCCTACAAGCATTCATTCTTGAATGTGGAAGAGCAGAAGGCATACTACAAAGTGACCAAGAAGAATACCTGATGGCGCTCCTTAGAGCTACAGCCAAAGCAACAGGCAACATGACAGTGCGCTTTGCACCAGCATACAGCTCACAAAGCAGTGGCAGCATCGAAAGATTCCACCGTACCCTTGCTGGCCACATTAGGACACTCAGGACACAGGTACAGCAGAACTACAACACAAGACTGCCGACAACACACCCAATCATGGCTTGGGCAGTACGACACTCAGCATACCTGATCAACAGATTCCTCATCAGAGCAGATGGCTACACCAGCTATCACAAAAGATGGGGACGAACACACAATGCAGCTCTCTGTGAATTTGGAGAGACTGTGATGTACATGGTACAGTCGATCAAACAACGACCAAAGCTTGAACCCAGGTTCTACAAAGGCATTTGGCTCGGCAAATGTACATCCACTGGAGAGTCCTTCATTGGCATTGCAGGCAGAATTGTACGCTCACGTACAATCAGACGACTAGCAGGTACAAACAGGTACGATGCTCAATTGATGGACACAATCACTGGCACACCATGGAATCCTACACCACCAATTGGATTCCAGCCAGCTTTCATACTACCACCAACACCAGCATCAACAGAGCAACAAGTCCAGGCAGGGCAAACATCACACGAAGAAACGAATACAGGCAATCAACCAACAACAGCAGCAAAGCATGCTACCAACACAAAGGAAGTAGAAACAGAAGCAAAGAAAGCAAGAACAGAGACAACAAAGAAACAAAGAGTCGAAGAACAACAGCAAAGCACAGCTTCAGCATCAACGTCAACACAATCTACAGCAATGAGGTTGGGAACATCACCAATGCCAACAGGTTCACCAACCAGATCAGTGGACGACCAAGTACATGAAGGAAGTGCAAGCAAGAGCAGAAAGCAAAGTACAACACAGCAAGCACCAGCGAGACCAGAAGAGACAAAGGAGAGAGACAGTACAAGACCAAGATTGAGAATCAATGCAGTTACAGTTGCATTGAAGAGCGGCAAGAAGGTTACAACAGCAACAAGCGAAGACCCACAGGAGGTACGAGCAGAACAGAGGCTACTCGAGCCTCACATCTACAACAACGAAGGATTCGATACAGATAAGTTAAAGCAAGGAATGCAAAAGGAGATGGAATCCATGAGAACACAAGGAGTGTACGAGGAGGTAGATGTTACAAAGCTTACACCTCAACAAAGACAAGAACTTGATCTCGACAACATCATCGAGTCAAGATGGGTCTACAGATCCAAAGGAGATGAAGTACGAGCAAGGATCGTAGCAAAAGGGTACACCGAACACATCGAAGACCAAGATGATGTGTACGCAAGTACACCACTCTTTGCAGTGCTAAGGATACTCCTAGCACTCAGCATGGCCAGAGGATGGATTGTACAGGTAGGTGACATATCTACCGCTTTCTTACACGCACTCGCAGCAACAGCAGGCATGGTACTCAGACCACCAAAGGAGTACTACACCAATCCAAACATTCTCTGGAGGCTACACAAAGCAATGTATGGTCTACGAAGCAGCCCGAAAGCATGGCAGGAGCACTTAGCAAAAGTGCTTACAGACCTCGGTCTAAAAAGACTACAATCAGAGCCCAATGTCTACACCAATGGCAAAGTTTACATCATGGTCTATGTTGACGATCTTCTCTTTACAGGAGAACCTGATGAGGTCGCTCGAATTTTCAAGGAGATACAGGCCAAGATGTTGCTTCGCCATACAGGCACCTGCACAACAAACAACACAATTGACTTCCTTGGAAGGAAGATTACAAACAAAGGAGATCACTTTGAAGTCTCTTTGGGAAACAGTTACATCGACAACATCCTACAAGAAGCAAACCTACAAAATGCAACAGCAGCCGTCACTACAGGTTCCAACAGCACTACACCTACAACAGAACAGGATGAACTCCTTGACACAGAAGAGCACGCCCACTACAGGCGTATGGTCGGAAAGCTGCAATGGCTTTCATACACACGACCAGACATGAGCTTTGCAGTAAAAGAACTAGCGCGTTCTTTACAACAACAGTCCGCGACAGACAGCGGCTACGACATTGCCTCAGGTACCTAGCAGGTACAAAGCACCACAAGTTCGTGATACAACCAACGGTGTTTCTACAGCCCAACAACAAGGAACAGCTCGACCTGACAGTCTACACAGATGCAGACTGGGCAGGATGCCAGGTTACACGCAAAAGTACATCTGGCTTCGTGATCCAATTCCTTGGGACTACAGTCCACTTCGGTTCACGTACACAATCCGTAGTAGCACTTTCTTCAGCAGAAAGCGAGTTCTACGCGATTGGTACAGGTGCTACAGAGGCATTGCACCTCAAGAACTTCTTGGGAGAGATCCTACACAACAAGATCAGCCTCAAAATACACACTGACAGCACATCAGGCAAAAGCATGGCTACACGCATTGGCGTGTCCAAGCGAGCCAAACACATCGAACTCAAATACATGTTCATACAACACCTCATTCACGACGGCATCCTTTCCATACACAAAATCAACACCAAACACAATCCGTCAGACATACTTACAAAATACGTGCAACGAGAAGTGCTTCAATGGCACTTACATGCTGCGGGCATACGTCCGCCAGACAATTGAGGAGAATCCAGCTACAGCAGTTTCACACACCAGCATACGAACACAACAAGTGTACACGTATCTGCAGCCTACTTGATTGAGTATATCATGTACACGTATGTTTACCTTAAGGGGTACATGGTCATTGTGATACAGTTTGACACGTACATGATCACCTCATCTTTCACTACATCATTCACCCCAAGGGTTACATGATGGTTTTCACTTCAGTTCTTTTTGCAGTACAAGTTTTGCAGCGATACATTTTCAACGCTACAGAACATGGCTCACAAAGGGTACTACGCATCACTGTGGATTGGATGAGGATCCTACAGCAGTACAGCTACACCCGTGGCTATGTGTGGAACCAGTACATTCCCTTGGATGTACAACATGTTTTGGGCAGACCAGCGGCTGACCCAGTACATGCAGCTTTGACTATGGCATTACATCATGCAGGCACGGCATTGTCCAGATACATGCCCGCTGATGTACAGCATGGATTGCTGCAGTACACAGCTCAGTTCACCATACACGTGAAGGAGAACTTCGATGAAAATGAAAATCTTGGTTCACAAGATACACGGGACAAGCTACAGGCCAAGATTTCAGAATCTACAGCTCCAGCTACATTGCCAGGAGCTACACCCGAGACCGCCTTGGGTACATCCTGATCTACAACGGTGACGAGCTCTACAAGGCTGAATTTGTGAAGTACATGGTTGGATACTGCTACAGTTTTCTTACAACGGTTTCTGACTACATGTGAGTAACTCTGCATGGATACATCCATCTGACAACTCTGGCTACAAGATGTCTGTACATCAACACGGCACTACGTTTTCGATCGATGTACAGGATTTTCGAAGGCAAAGTTTTGTACAGATGACTGATGTCTTACATGATTTAATACAGTTCAGTTATACAATGATTCTTTCAATGTTTGTGAAGTACATGTTGCAGTTGAGGCAGGGTGTTAAGAATACACCTGCACATGTACATGAGCTATACAGTTGCTTATACAACATGTTAGTCTACTTTGAGTACATGTCACGGTACGACACATTTGGGCTCCATACAGGGCCCTTGAGCTAGCGTTTCTCGAGCGCTACAGTGAAAAGTACAGCGCGTGGGCTACAGCTGCTGAGAGTACAGACAGGAAAGTTGTACACTTGATTTCAACAATGATCATCATGATCATCATGATCATCATCACCATCATCATGACCATCATGATCATGATCATCATCAGCATCATCATGATCATGATCATCATCACCATCATGATCACGATCATCATCACCATCATGATGATGATCATGATCATCATCACCACAACCATCATGATGATCATCATCATCACCACCACCACCATCATCATCATCACCACCAGATGATTTATCCCAGTAGAAATGGAGGACTATTTCCCATTATCATTATCATTTGATTGCCAAGGATGGGATTACCCCATGTTTTCCATATCTTATACCATGATCATCTGCTAATGATGGGAGTATCATTCGCATTTCCATTGCCAGTGCCATCAACGCCATTTTATGATTCACCAGGAGCTGTTAGACTCCGCAGTGCGAGGGGCACCTGCGGAGGAGCAGCGCAAAAAACTGGCGGAGCGAGTCACTTGGCCCAGTTGCGGGGCCGGAAGTGGGGGTTCACATGGGATCCCACTTGGGAATCAAAGATGGCAATGAGAAATCCACTATAAATGGAAGTTTATAGCTGGGAACATCATCTATAAATGGAGGATTTTCCATTGGCAAGTCTGACTACCGTAGGGCACGCAACAAAATAGGGGGATATACCTGTGATATTTACTGGGATTTAATCGGATGTACAATGAAGAATATGAAATGTTGTGTTTGTCTGAAAATGAGGTAGACTCGGGTGAACCCATAAAACTGCATTCCCCCATGGGAAACATGAGGATAAGCTTTGTGGAATTTTGGAGTAGATTGTTCATTTTCAGACAAACTCAAATAGCTGGCAACTTTTTGGTACTGAACTGTCCGACTTGTGTCAATTTGTGGTGTTTGTAGTTTAGAGCACTAGCCAAATTACTTGGAAACTTGGGGACGCCTAGTTGCTCACAAAACCCATATGTTTTTAGGACCCCTATTAAAAAAACACTGCTTTTGAGGGGTTTTCACCAGGAAAGAGATTTTATAGATGGGACTCTGGGAACCCTTCACGGAATTCAAGTTTCATCCTGTGACATACATCATATATATATATATTAATTAATATAATATATACATAAATACATAAATGTATATGTATATAATTATATAATTATGTATATATATAATAGTTGTGTTGTAGTCATTTCCTTTTTTGAGATATGAGTTGCCAATGTCTGAGGCACTGCGCCTCTATTACCACGCAAAATGGTTGGCTGAACGCAACCATGCCACCGCTGCGGAGTGGCGCTATCGCGAGGCCAGTCGCCTGGCGCTCCAAACGAGGCGAAAGGTCTTGGCAGCCCATGCACTGGGACGCTTTGGGTGCGCCGATGGGATTGGATGGAAAGATATTGGAGATGGAAACCCAGAGGAAAAATGGAGGTTGGAATCCAAGTGAGCCATGCACTTCAACGCCCAGCACTAGCGGTTGAAGGTACTTCCTGATCCATTGGAATCGGCGGCAAGAGGCGAAAGAGGTTCTGCGGGAGATGGGCCGAGATCAACATCTAACTAAACTTGACCCGACATATTTTCGTGGGCTCTCCCAAAATCCTTCAAGTTTTTCTCGTAGGCAATCCTGTTGGGTTTCACAGGTCCATAATTTTGGTCCTTGCTCAACAGGGTGGATCGGATTCCAGGTGCTCTACGAATCCCGGCGGATCAGCGCCAAGTTTGTGGCTCAGAGCTTCGTGAACCATGGAGGTTCATGTTGTACCGACTTGTCCTAATGGGTGACTGCTCATGCAATGTTTGACTTCTTTATAGAGACTTCAGAAACCGGAGACCGTGTGAACCGAGGTCAAACCCCCTGGCGCCATATCTACTGGGAGTCCTAGAACGACAGGCAGGGCTCCGTTGAGCCTTTTGGTGGACTCAGTTCACAGTCTCAAGAGATGCGGCAAGTACTTGCAACGAAGTTTGTCAAATCAGCCGTCAAATGTTCTCATAATATTGCCCTCTGTGCTTTTTTGACCACATCCCAAAAACAATCAAAATCACCCTGGCGAGTCGCCAGGATGCCGGTGCCGACCTGGAACGCCTCAAGGCAGCTGAGGCTGGGGAACAAAGCTGCCGCAGCTGGGAATCAATTATACTGTTATACCTACAAGACACACACACAGATATATTATATATATACACACATTGTGTACGTGGGTACATAGAATATATACAGAGATGTGTTTACGATACTCAACCAACAACTCACACATTTGGTCATTCTGGTTATTGTATGAGTATTTGATCCAACGTCCAATTTCCCGCCACAGTCTTCCATGGAACGTCCGCCACGTAGGAGCTAATCCTGAATGGAGGCGAGCAGCCTTCAGAGGACCGACGTCATCCGTTTTCTTTGCATATTGATGATATCTATTAAATTTTTATAAATTTTTGGTTGTTTCTGGTAGAACATTTGCAGGATGCGACTGAATTTGGATATCATCTTGAGATCCAAGCAAGACGCCTAGAAACCACCTTTAGTGGCTACACTGTTGTGACCCACACATACCCACAGCATGTTCTGACAGGACCTTGAAGCCGAGAGACAAGCCATGGTGAAAGTGATCCACTACTGGAGAGAGGCTCAAACCTCCACAAGGCTAGCCATCGTGATGCCATGTGCAGATGGATTCCTAGTCTCTGGATGTCTCTGGTCAATATATGGTTAATATATGGTTAATATATGGTTAATAAAATATATGGTTAATATATGGTCAATATATTCCCATTTTGGATAGATTAACCATGATTGTGGTCTCCAAACCAATGGTTTTTCCCGTAGAAAAAAAAAGCGCTTTTCCAGGAACTGCTTTGCTTCCGCAGATGCAGCTTTTGTGGCAATCTGTTTGATCGGCAGCTTGGCTTTTGTGGCTAGGAGATCCAGCCTTAATAGGTACCCAATCCTCCAATTTGTACACTGATGTGGGAGATTTCTCTCGTGCGAGGTTCCCAATCCGCCCAGTTTGTAGATGGCTAGCACAGAAATGTACAATTCTTGTTGGTTTGTGATCTTCACATCAACCGTTTTCGCAGCGATTTGGGTCAACTCTAACGAGTTGTTCAAGTCATCAAAATCCATCCAGAGACTAGGGCAAAACTATACAAGTGAGGGGATACTTAACTGTACTCGCACGGGGTCAACTCTACCGTGACACATGGGGAGATCAAACTGTTTGAAGCTAAGGACATCTCTTCCAGCGATAGGCGGGGCCAGCTTTTCTCACCGCAGTGACCTGTCAGTGACTGGTTTGGCCTGAAGGCTTTCTGAGATGGCCATTTCCATATTCGTTTCACTCGGCCACGACCTGCACTTCAGCTGGATTCGTTGCAGAAGGTGAGAGGTGCTGGTGGGAACCGGTGATGCTTGAAGCAAGTGACATGACGTGCCATACAGTAGCTCTGACCACTGGAAACAGATCCAATCTGCAGGTGAAAGCCCCATTGCCGCGGAATTTTGGCCCAAGCTTGTACAAAGTCTCGATGCAGCCGAAAAATATTGGCAACCATTCAGCCCACCCTTCAGGCCCAGAAACCATGCTGGAACTACAGCTGAACACCGCACCATGGCAGCCAGTTTTTTTTACACCGACCCCGTGGGATCGAGATGTTGCTCCAGGAGATCAGGGCATTTCCAGGGTCCGAAATCCGTGTTTCAAGTAGCGCTGTGCTTCATGGAAGGCTGCCTGCAAAACCTCCAGGATCGCAGCGGGATCAGAGGGGAAACCTTGGCATTTGCAGAACTCTTTTTCTATCTGTGGAAGGGGTGTTTCTGTTGCTGATTTCAGTTATTTCTAATGCTTAGATCTGGTTGGATGGTTGTTTTTGACTTTGGGTTCCACCTTTCATGGCTCTCCAGAGCAACGCATCTATCGTCCAACAGTTCCAGTCCCTTCCAGTCCCTTCCAGTCCCTTCCAGTCCCTTCCAGTCCGAGAGGCTCGGTCAAGACATGCGGATCTGTCACGGGTCCGGGCCTCCATTTTGGACCACGGAGGGGCCCTGCTAGTCATTTCATGTCATTTCGAGTCTCAATGGCTCGCGCAACCATCTCATGTTGGGGCTCCAAGCAGCTAACATCGCCATTTCTGCCCCAGGTTGGCCGGGGAAGTGTTGGAAGTCGACTCGGAGTACAGAAAACCGCTGGACTTGGTGAGGTGAACTACGGTGAAATGATTGGGCTTAAGATTGGTTAAGTAGTTGCAACACCCAACATGTTGCAACACGTGTGACAACATGCGACAACCCCTTTTTTTGGGATTTGAGCAAACTATCTTCAAGAGGTAGCAATGGTATTGGATAAAGATATTTACATGCAGAGAAATACAAGAAGAGTGGTCATGAAGTATATGAGCTATATGAGCTCACTCATGGGTGCCTGACATGTTGGGCTCTGAATGGCTCTCAGTGACTGCATCGGTCGCAGGCAATACGCTCGCGAGCGCTGGAGTTTGCAGCTGGAGGAGATGGTTTTTTCAGACGGAGCAAGTAGTGAACTGAGCATGTTTATGGTAGATATACCATGATAATTCATTATATATATATTTATGTATATACCTACAGTATTCTATAGTTAGCATGGTTTACAAACCAACTTATAACTGCGGCCATGGCCATGATTTGAGGTGATTCGTGCGGACGATCCTCTGGATCTAATTGGGGGATGGCATGGCAGAGCCACATTACCATATTGAACCATGCCCGATGTGGGACACAGCACACAGGATTTGATTGTTCTCACATCCAGTGGGAGTGTGCTGAGTGGAGGCCTAAGAGCAATCTCCGACAGATGCACGAATCCCTCCTTTTGGCAGTGAATCATCACACTTTTGGACGTTTCATATAAACCATCCCCCTTAATTAATAGGAAACCTCCATGGTGACTGAAACCCATTTGAGGTGATGAGGTCCCCATTTTGTAGATGAATTTCAGCTGGTTGAAGTTGAATCCCATGTTCTTTTTTGGTTGGTTTCAATCCCAAGGGTCCCCCCAAGGGGGTTTCCCAATGCCTTAACCCCTTGACCACAAAAACCGATGCCTAAGGCGCCGACGCCAAAGAAGAGGATGCCGCAGATGTCTATTTCTTCACCAAACAATGCCTGGAAACACAGGCCAGGCAGCCAGGTCTGAGGGGACCATGGGTCCAGCAGCCTTTCTCCCAGGCTTTCTCTGGGAAATGTGCAGAACCGCAGTGGATTTTGATGAGCAAAAAACATCACATGAACAACCAATAGATTCCTGGCGGTTCCTCTAAGTTTTCCATCATTTTTTTCAGACTTCACACGGGTTAGATGGGGTTTAGATGGGAAAAGTACCTGCACCATTCTGAATTTACCGTTATTTGGGGACTTTCAGCACCTCAAATGGACAGGTAGAGGTGATCCCAGAACGTTTGGACGTGAAGGATCCCAGCCTTGCACGCTTTGGTGGTACCGAGGATCGGAGGGATAGGGTGTTGGGCGGTGTGGGTTGGGACATGTCATGTTTTCTCAAAATTGGGAACCTAGATTTGTGTGGTTTGGAAACATCCCCAGCATTTGATGGTATGGACCGAGAACACCCAGATGAAGGTTTCAATGGCCCTGAGGGTACTTTCCTGCTTCCACTGGCCATGGACGCCACTGCCTTTTTGGGTTCCTGTTGGGTCGGACCATTAGTTTTCCTCGGGACGGCCAGTCAGGAACATTTCATGTATCCCCTGCAGCTATGTTCAGCTCCCAACCTTCGGTTGATGAATAGCATCTGACCTCCGATGCCCAATCTCTAAGCCATCCTGAAAATTTCGCCCAGTGCCAATCTGAAGTCAAAGCGGCCTACAAGCGACAAGAACTCGAAGCGCATCCCGACAAGGGCGGATCATCCTTTGCGTTTCAACAAGTGGCAGCTTTCGAGCAGCTTGCCGACCCCTTGCTTCGCCGGGCCTACGACCAACGCTGTTCCACCGAGCCTGTGCGGCCGAAGAGGGTGGTGAAGGCGAGCAAGGTGGCGAGGCAAAGTAAGAGCAATGAGGTCACCACAGAGCAAACCAAGGGTGCCATGAAGCAACCAGCTAAAGCAGCTAAAGGTGATGGTGGTAGATCTTCTGGAGCTTCGATGTCAAAGAACAGAGTCACCTGGAAGCACCGATTGCTAGCGAATGTGGTGAAACTTCTGAAAGCTCTTCCTGCCGCAGATCGAAGAAACATTTTCACAAGCGGCTTGTGAAAATGTTTCTTCGATCCGCGGCAGGAAGAGCTTTCAGTCACAAGCCGACTTCTCGAAGCGCAGCGGTTGGAGTTAAGCTTTCATGCGTGCCTCAAAACCAATGGGAACTGAGCCCAGTCAAGCGGTGAAGTCTGGTAAGACCCCTGCCAATTCACCAGCTGAACCTTTCGCCCTTTGTGATGGCTGTGATGGGGGTCAAGAAGATCACGGTGATTCGGGCGAGGAATCTGGACCTTCCGGCCCCAAACAGAAGATGAAATAAGGTACAGGTGGTAGGTGTGAATTCATTTGAGCGGTTCAATCAGAAGTTTTCCGGTGTGCAAGTCGGGCTGAATGGATGATTTTGAAGGTTTGCTATTTGAAAACACTGGAAGAAGCGATTGACCAACACATCATTTTGACTAGCATTTGCCAAAGGATACGTGGTGCGGACTGTCCTTCAATGAAGGAGCGCGTGCTTAGGGCAGTGGATTCAGTTTTACTGGAACATGGCTTCGCACAAACCGAATTTAAATTAGTGGTGGACATATCTGTTCCTGCAAAGCATTGGATTGGACGTGACCTATATATGAGTGGTTTTAAGCTAAAGAACATTGATGCTCTGATTGCTCTGGCAAGCATGTGGCATCGCGTCAGGGATGCTCGCGGACCAGTTTCTAGAGGGTCATACTTCAATTTTGCACCGACTGATGCCACCTGGCTACGTTTGCGTGAAATCTACTTGGATTTCACGTCCATGCGCGGCAAGGACCGCGTGGATGCCAGAAGGAAGATTGACAGGCTCTTTGAGGAACGAAGCCCTGTAAGGGAAAGGATCTGGTCTCATTGGAATCTATACATGATGCGTGCGGAAAGGGAACAGAGAGAGTCTCAGAGACAGAGCTTAACCTATAAGCAACGCAGACAAGAGCGTTCAGAACGCCAACGCATGCGCTTGGAAGATCGCGTGTCACGCCGGGTGGGCAAAGCGCATTTGGAAATTGCCAGGAAGCGACAGCAATTGGATGCTTTGCTGACCATGTGGGGGAGAGTGAATGAGGCTGATGTCAAAAGAGCAGAACGACGAAGGGACAAGAGAACAGCAACACGGCGCTCTGGTGCCAAGAGAGCAGCTTCGGATGATCAGAGGCCTGAAAACAGAGCGCCTGTTGTTGAGCTGAGTTGTTTTTTGATTGAGGCCATCCCAAATAAATAGAATTCAACAAGGAGCAAACAGTTCAATTTCCTGGGTCTTCAACCTACAAGGACCTACATCCAACAATCAAAAGTTTCTGACTTGACTGGAAATTGGCACCAGGTTAGATTACCAGAGGTGAACTGTGCAACGAGGAGCACGATGACGTACTTGGCCAGCGCTGCGAAGATGTGTGGGCGCCGATTTTTTTTTCGAATGGGGAGGAACCAAAATTGGGGATCCACAAATTGGTGTTGTTTGAACATGTAGAGGAAACCACCCAAATCCTGTGGTTTATCAAGTTTATCATCCTTCCATTTTCAATAGGCAACTTAAAAAGGTGCCGAGGGGCATACCTCCATTTTTGGGCAAACCCAAATGGGCACCGGTGGTTCACCATGGTTCACCTATAATTTATAATTATTGGCCATATCGCATATTCTTGGGGTATTGAGATTTTGGAAATGGGTCAATACCAGACAACCCAAATTGGAAGTATGAAGTTTCCAACATACTATTCTGTTCACTTTTGGACTGTGAACTACAGGAGCATGCGGGGTGCGGAATGGCCACAGAAACCAGATAGAATTTTGCATCTGAAACTTTACACTGTTCAAGTGGTTTTGTGCTCTTTGCGTCTATGTTACGTATGAGAGCAACGATGTACCATCCTTGTCTGGGTTTGTTTCGTATCTGTGAGGTCATTGACCCCGCTTTTGAAGCTTTTCGGAGCAACATTGCAGAGGTGCCGTGTGCTCAAGTAGGAGAAGAGGCCTACATGGGGATTATATAAAGCTATATAAAGCTGATGAAAATCATTGACCTAGAGTCCTAGAGGATTAGTATGTCATGTTTTGAACCTCAGTCGTCGTCAGAAATCCGATCAGGCTCGTGCTCGTATAGCTGAGTCCAGACCTGCCGGGAACCTGCAAGATTTGGGACCGTGGTCAAGGAAAGCTTTGCATAGCGTGGACATAAAGGATGCAGCGCACCATGTGTACAAGATTCATACAAACACCTGATGTACAAAACTGTATGACTTTGTCTGAAAAGAATTGGGAACATCCCAAACATGTGATGGTTGAGAACATGGTTTTCCTTCGAGATATATCATTTTTCCATATTTTTCCGACACTTACGTTGCGCAAAAACGTTTTCCCACCATTTTCCCACGATTTTCCCAGGATTTTCCCAGGATTTTCCCAGGATTTTCCCATGGCCTTTTCACCCGCATGGGCCCAAGGTCTCGGCCTTGGCGTCTCGCTGTGAAGAACGAGTGCTTGCGCAGCGCCATGCAGCCCGCGCAGCGTGCTGAGCAGGTCTTCCATCCCCTAGGTGTACTCTCACAGATGAAACACATATGATTATTATAGTTATATATGATCTATATCTTATTAACTATATATGATAGATAAATAGATAAATAGATAGATAGATAGATAGGTAGGTAGGTAGGCAGATAGATAGATAGATAGATAGATAGATAGATAGTTACATACATAAATGAGTAAATGAATATGAACACATGAGTAAGCAAATATAATAATGAATGAATTAATAAATCTATAGACGATCCAATTATAAAATAGATAAACATATTATATACGTCTATATTATATTGCGTTGTGTTGACGTACAACTGGCCTCTCGCCAGCTCCAACGCTGAAGCACTGAGGCGGTGTTGGAAAATCTCAAGAGCCATCGCGCAGCGTCTGGCGCTTGTATCAACGGCTGTGGACCGCCTGAGACATATGGCCATTTAAGCCTGTTTTGGTGAAGATGCTATTAAACAGAATTAGATACCATTAATTTCCCTTTAAATCACCACTAAATCACCAGTGGATTTAGTACTGCAGATACCTATTTTTCTTTGAAGCCAGCGATGATCCGGACGACCGGACGAGGTGTGGCCGTTCGATTTCTTTGCTTGTACAGAAGAGCAATCGGGTGCGCCATGGGACTGCGCCAAATGGGAACCGAATGATATCCTGGCGGCGTTCATGTGCAAAGGGTTGGTAAACCAATGATTTAATGAAGACTCTTAAGGCTTCGAAGAAAAATCACTCGGATGTCAAAAAAGACTTGGTAAATGATGGTAAATGGGTACTCACCATATATATTTGTAATATTTATATATAATATATATTTATATATAATAATATATATATATATGTATTATATATATTTATATGTCCATATATGGATATCCATATATTACAAATTGATAGCTGTAAGACATACCCAGTTGGATTCTCCCAGTGATCCCGTTGGCTTTTCGCAGGTTCAGGTGAAGTTGTCCGACTCGCTGGAGAAGGCGCATTTTTTTCTGGGGGAAATCTGTGGTTCCATAGGGGGATCCCCAATGGCTGGTTGGTTAAAAATCAGGGAAAACCAACCATGGAAAACCCTATTCAAATTGATGATTTAGGGGTATATACCCAGATTTCAGGAAACCTCCATATTTATGATGATTGATGCATGATGAAATTGCCATTTGGATCCATTTGGGGGAATATACTGTGGTATACGTTTTTTGTGGAGAAGCCCATGTGCGAATGTCAAGAATTGCCAGCCTCAAAAGCGGGATCGGAAGGAACGGTTCAGGGCATTCAGGGCATTCTGTGAAGCAACCCATCATGTAGATAAGTGACAATATCTTCGGTTGTAAATCATATAGGATCCATTAGGTCACTAGGTTCTGGTATGAGGATGGACATCGATTGGTTCACCCGGTGTCCGGTGAAGATCAGCTGCTAAGGCAGAATCGGCCATCAAAACCCTGGAGTCTGTAGCAAGCTTGGTCCGTTCATGGCGAGGTTTGGCGGGATGATCTACTTGGTGAAAAGATGGGTCAGATATGCCACATTTACATTACATTTACTGAAGTATTCCCATCCGTCCTAATATTAAGGACCCTCGAGTTGCTCAGTTGGGCTACAAAGCCATGGTTTCTGGGGGGTTACAACTGACTGGGGGGTTACAACTGAACGGGGGATTACAACTGTAGCTTTTGGACTCTTGGGACCATCCAATGGATGACAGTGCACTCAAGGTGGCACTCCATGAATCCCTGCAGAGTGAGACTCGTGAGCCCCTCAAGATGAACTCAGCCGGAAGATGTGGAAGTCTGCAATGAGACTTGACTACAGTCCTTGCAACCCCGAAGTCCATGAATTCAAGGAGCCCATGGGCATGTCCAACAAAAATCTATCAAAGCTGCGAATCGCCATCAGAAAACGGGGTTCATATCATCCTTCAAAGAATTGGCGATCTGTGATATCCATCCGAAAACTGATGGACATTCATCCAAAAGATGCTGGAGATCCATCTCCAAAAAATGGGGACACCCATGACATGCCCATTTTGGGCACAGATTCTGACCCCAGGTCGATGCCTTGCGGATGTGGTGCCGAGAGATCGGTGTCTTGGCAAACAACAAGGTCAAAGAACAGGTATCCTATGAGCATTTTATGAGGACTTTATGGTATATATATATACACCATATATATATATATATATATTATGACGATATACTGCTATGATATACTATGACAATGATCTTTTATGACCTCTATGATTAACATAGTGACTATATATGACTATGGTCTATGACTATACTCCGTCACCGTTGTTCGCTGAGGATCTTACGCTTCACAGAAGCCTTGGAGGTGTGGCAGTTTCGAATCTTGTCAGATGCGTGGTTTATCCATTCACTTATCATCACATATCTGACATATCTATTTTATTTCATATGGCTCCACATCATGTTTTTATCATTTGGTTGTGTAAATACATTGATTTACCTTCATTCATTTATTCGTTCGTTCATTCATTCGTTTATTCATTCATTTATTTATTGGTTCTCTTCCGTCACCTCATTGGTTGATTCGCAATGATTCGCATATCCTCTCGCCCAGGGAGAGGGTGCCCAATTGCTGCAGCGCTTAGAGAAGTTGCAGCGGCAGGACCTTGACAGCAGCAGGTGATTTGGCTTTGGGCTGGAAGTATGTCTGGAATTTGGGCATTGAACTGATTGAACTGATTGAACTGATTGAACTGATTGAACTGATTGAACTGATTGAACTGATTGAACTGATTGAACTGATTGAACTGATTGAACTGATTGAACTGATTGAACTGATTGAACCATGGTGGATTTGATGCTGGTTTGTGAACCATTTCTGATGTGGGAAGGATGAAATCTGGCGTTGTGAATGAATGGCCAGGACAGTCAGCTTGAGGGAATGTGCGAGCAAGTGGCAGAGAGAGTGCGAAGCCTCAGAATGCTCATATTAATTATTAATTCATTCTCCAATCAATGGATTGGTTTGAAAGAAATCTACAGGAAACAATGATTTTTTTTCATGAAATATCGGGTTTTCCTCTCAATTTCCCCTTACACCAATCCATTGATCCTAAATTCCAGCATGTAAAAGTGCTAGTCATAGAAGCTTTGCATTTTTCCATGCCGTGTTTTTTGCATTTCCATGACATGCTGACATCACTTAGTATCGTTCTTCCTGAGGTGGAACAGCTGATTCGGGAGGACAGTGCTGGGATGCTCAGATCCTTTGCTGGGCATGATATTGTAATGATACAGTTTATACTTTATACACTGTGAGGATACAATCCTCCAGGCATTCTGAACACCTGAACACGGTTATGGGTGACAGCACCAGCAACTGCTCAATTGGTTTGTTTTTTTTGTAGAGCCAAGCGGTGACTGAGCAATGGTCATCGATGCTTTTCTGTGAGGTGAGCATCGAATCGAAAGCTATCCATGTGGAGCAGGTACCGAGCGAAATCGGATCATTTTGAGGATGTTTCCGACCAATTTTTGGGTGCTGTTTTAGGGGAAGTCAGAAACAATGATAACAATGGTCATCAAATCAGGGATATTTGGGTGCTTCTTATTTCTTTCCACCAAAAATCTATGATTTATTATGATTTGATATTTGATCATATATATTTTGGTAGGAGTGGAATGATCCCTTGTTCAGCCTCTGTCACCTTACCACAGAATCTCGGTCACTAGGTACAAGACTATGGTTTTTGAGAATCTATTTCAGATTGATCAGATTGATATTTGGAGAATGTAATCCTTTCAGATAGTATTTGAAATATTTGGAGAGTGGCATATTTATCCGTATCATTCCGTATCAGATGCAGTTCCAACCGGTATCCAGGCAGCCAACCCCCACCAGGCCCGGGCACAAAGTGAACTGCCTCAGCTAAGAGCTTTGGTGCCAAGCTGAGGAACCCGATTGTCGGTGGTGAAACCCCCATTTTTGATGGTAAAACCTCCATTCTTGATGGTGTGACCTCTATTTTTGGAAATTAAGCACCGCATTTCCCAATTTTTGATGGTTAACTCCCATTTTTGATGGTTGACTCAGGATTTTCTGTTGGGTACTGTATGTCATTGAAAAATCACAACAGGATCCCTCTCTCTCTCTCTCTCTTCCGAGTGCCATTGAGGTGCCTTCGGCCGGCGCCGCTCCTGCCACGGTGCTCGAGGCAAAAACATCCTTTTGTGGATGGTTAGCCGTTAACAGATTATATAATTCTTTGGACCATGATATGCTGTGGATGGATTCTCTTTTTCAATGTCTTGCAGGATGAGAAGCGTTCCGCGCTCCTAAGAGATAGCCAGAAGCTCACAGAAACCTTCTGGTAGCTGTGACATTCATCTCTTATCAGTTGCATCCGACAAAAAGGACCGTGGCCATTGATAGTCAGTGAGTGAAAATTAGGGAGGCAAGTCAGCAATGAGGCTTCTCCCTGAAGATAGACTGCTGAAGGGACAACATTTCTGGTTATCCAATCCTCCAATGACCGGGTTGGCAAACCCATCAGTTGAACCTAGGAGTAATGTCAGCCTGCGCCAATGTGCGCACTGCGCTGGACCAGCTACAAAGCTGCTGGGTGGGGCACTCTGTTTGTTTTTTCTTCAATTCATTTTCTGGTTTTCGCAGAAGTGGAGGGTTTAGAATGGAAATTCCTATTGAAGTAGATGATTTGGATTGATTTGGGGTACCACCATTTTCGGAACCCCCGGAATGGTTTGGCAATTCATTCCTCTTCAAAGGTTTTTCTGCAACTATTTGTTGGCTGCACATCGGATGGATCACTGGACTTGGCTGAGGACCGGCAACATCAGATGTTTGTGCAGAGACTCCGGGAAGTGGCGTATGTGCAGTCAAAGGCGAGAACACCTGCGATGTAGCTGTTCCAGATAGAAGAGGGACCTGGAGCGTCTGGAGTTATGCCTTGGAGTAGAGCTTGGAGGTAGATTGGATGCCGAGATGGCCACTTCTTGTATAAGATCGCCCTTGTCCAATAATTTCCGGTGTCCAATGAAGCGCAGAGGTGCGCTATGTGGAAAGACAAGCTGCTCTTTTGGAGGAAGAAGTGAATGCCTCCAGCTCAAATCCTGTTGAGATATCCAATCCCCCATGGTTCAATTCAATATAATTCAATCATGCTTGCCGCCTTCATCAACAGAACAAACCAATTATATACTGTGAGATATACCATCTGGTCATGTAGCAAGTGACTTGCTGGAACATTTTCCATCTACGAAGATTTTCCCAACATCTTCAGTTTCTAGGGGATTTCCCATGGATTTCCCAGGAGTTTCCCATGGATTTTCGACCAAGGCGCAGAGCAACAACGCGCAGCACATCGTCCGGCTGCAGAAGATGCCAAGGGCCGCTCGACAACGAGTCACGTCTGGGGAAAACCATGGAACACCCCCAATGAAGATCAATGCGGTATGAATAATGTATGGATCATAGTTGATTCGTATTTTTTCATGGTGAATCCATGGCATGAGGATATGTATGTGCGATTATTTGATCATGAATTCATGATGGTATTTTTAAATATGGGTATGTCTGAAAATGGGGTATACCCCCAATTATAGCCATTTAGTAGGGATAATGATCATTAACCATTGGGTTTAGGGGTACACTATTTTCAGACAAACCCATATATGTTTTCGACAGTTTGAGGCAACTCCAGATGTGGTTCCGTGGTCCAGGCGTACAACTCAGCCCTTCGAGAAGTGGCCTTGCGGCAGCAGTTCCGAGAGCGTCGGGACCGCAGCTACAGCTGGAGGTTTCCATCAACGGGGGTAGCCAAAAATGGATGGTTTATAATGGAGCATCCATCCAATTATACCGGTATATAGATAGATGATAACAGGGTGCACCTCCATTTTAGGAAACCCACACCTATTCGTGGTGATATTTAGATCTTGATCCACCAATATCGTCAGACATGGCACATATTTCCAGCAATGAAGTACTGTATCTACCGAACCATCGGCGATGATGAAACAGAATATGTGGTGATATAGAGTAGATATTTTGTTAATTATATATATATACAGTTATATGCACATTATATTATATATAATATATTATATATGTATTATATGTATAATATATATATACTAGATTATTATATATGTATATATATATATATTATTATGTATATATATATACACATACATATATATATATATATTATTATGTATATATATATATATACATTATAGTGTACAAAAATATGCATCTTGGGCTATCTTGGATTCTTTCCCCACCCCCCAGAGTTTGAAATTCAAGAGCCTGAAAACTCCGCAACTCCGCCCCTCGCGTAATACGGGAAGCACTCCTGGAGAGTTGAGCAAGATGGATATCAAGGAATAATAATAATTATATATACCCTCTGGTAAACTAACATAACTATGGAAAATCCCCATTTTTAATGGGACAATCCACTATAAATGGCAATTTTCAATAGCTATGTTGAATTACCAGAGGCTATATATTATTGTCATATGGGGATATGATGGGCAAAAATATATCATTTGGGGAACTGATCATTTCTCAATTGACAATTATATGACGATTCATATCAATTCCATTCCCGCAGTTTGCTGCCCACTGCTGGGACATGTGGGTATGGGCATTCAGCGGGAGGAAGATTTTACAGCCAACCTCCATTGTAGGTTATGTGGCGCAAGCTGAGAAAGCTCGCACTGCGCTCTCTAGGACTGGGCTGATCCGCAATCTTGATTTACTGTTGGTGGAGTTGGTCGATCATGTGATGATGGCATCCAAAATGTCAAAGTACATGTTACACTCCCTGATCGAGAATGGGAAAGACGGGACAGATTCTGCTGATTCTTGAGAAAACTCTGCGTTTCAGTTCTGAGTTTCAGGATGGTTGAAGCAGAAAACAGCAGGCAGGCTGTCCCTTTTCCCGGTTGCAACGGTTGCAACGGTTGCAACCTCCGTCATTGCGACCGCTGAATCCAAACTCGAGGCGCCGTGCCTTTTTGCAGCGCCGGAGCCCTTTATTTCGTGCAGTTCAGTTCATCTAGCAGCCAACAGTTTTCCACATCAGCCACTATTTGGGTTGAAGTTATGTTTTGTTTGATCCAAATCAATTGTGGTTCCCCAAATTCCCAATATCTGATCCACATCTGCACCGAGGATACAGCTGCTATTTGCCTGCGGACCTTGTGCAGGGTCTAGGAGCCTTCGCCCCGGCCATCACCTTGGAGGTGGGCGACTCCCCTAAACCCATGGGTTAACCTATACTAGGTCATGGTCATGGTCATTTATGACGACTGGATGATTTGGGGGTCCCCCATGACTTCGGAGACCTCCATGACTGGAACAGTGGCCATCTCCATCCATCTGATGCTTGGAGGTGCCCAACTTCGATGCTGAACTGCCAGACATCTCCATGTCCTCCTTGGAGGCATCCTGTCGCAAGCCGATTTCGCCCACGGGGAGTGGCGTGGTGTTGCTGTTGGCAGGTGCCTGAGAGGATAGCAGGTGCGGCCAGCTGTTCGGGGTACCCTGAGAAGTCTGTTCAATTTTCACACAACCCACTCCTCTTTGAGAGGCGTTAAGGTCACAGACTGACCGTGAAAAGAACAGACTTCGCATCTTTCCCCGATGATCCCAACTGACTCAACGGACCAGGCCGGCCGGAGGCAGAGGCAGCGTCGATGTCATCGTTTGGGTCTCTGCTTGAGAGAGCCGGATATCACCAGATTGATCATGATTGATCTGTTTCAAGTTCTTTCAAGTTCTTTAAGTCAAACATCAATGGTGACTTTCCTCATGGCAGACCCAGGCTTCCGACAGGCCGTGGAGGGCATCCTGCGTAGCAACAGACTCTTAACTTTGGTTTATTATTGTTTATCGTATGGGTGCTGCTTAGTGCCAGGGGAAGCTTCTGGCCCTGCCTGGGACTCAAACCTTGGTTTACCCTGGTACAACCAGATCCCCAACCTGGGTCAGATTGCACCTATGGTCACAAAAAGTAAACCTCTGTTCACCTAGGCAGGTGCAGAAGCCAAGGACGTGTACATAGTCGAAGATGCCATGTGGGGTGATGTTGATCTGTTGGCTCGGTCATTAAACCTCCATATGATCATCCATATTCACTTTAGTCATGTTTTTTCAAAATTCTCAGATGATGAAAGGACAATTTACAGGAACCCCCTCAATTTTATCCCCAGGACGCAGTGGCCACAGCTGAGAGAATCGCGGAGCTTGAGGCGGGTGTCAGCCATGTCCGGTAGGACATCTATTTTCCAATCCTGAGTTTAGGAAATCTATTTAGGTCAATGCAGGAAATCCCCAGAAAATCCCACTATTTTTTTTTTGAAAATCCAACGTTTGGGAATTTCATGGAGTTTTCCAGAGCTTTCGACCCCTCCGAAGACAAGATTGCTCCATCCTTCAGGCACGGAACAAAGCCTTGGAGGAGCAGTTAGCGATGCGACAGGCTGAGTGGGAAATGGGAGGGAGCCACGACCGATGATATTTTGGGAACATGGCAATACAATGATTTGTTTTTTCCCTGCTATATCCTGCAATCATTGGGATATGATTTGATGGAAAGATATCTGTAGTGTAGAAGTAGATGAACCATGATGGAGCACCTTGGAACGACAAGCCAGCAGCCTCTATTGCTTGGCACTGGCAGGAACAAGCTGCCACAAGCGCAAGTGAGGCCTGACGCGAATCGTGCAATCCACCAGTCATCTCAGCGGAGAGGCATGTTGAATCATCGCAGGTAGAAAGCATGGATTCTGTTGCCCATCCTTGTTTGGTGTAGTGGGATACTATATAATACTATATACATATTATAACACTATATAACATATTTGGGAATGACTCGACATTACACATAATCATATACCCATACCACCAAAAAAGGATGAGCCAATACACATGACGAATTTCGTGGGTTGATTGGTACCCCATGGGCCAATCTGCAATGTACTCGTTCGAATGGACCAACCTGTTGATCGGCCTGAGATGCTGGTGCCCGAGCGAAAGTCCGAGTTCGACACTGCCGGAGCGTCGACGCTAGTTGTCCTCTGTGGCTGTCCGAAAATGTACAAGAAAAAATCCGGTGGTCTTCCATATGGGTATAAGGTATAGATGGGTATGATCATTGAACAAATAGTGATATACCCTCAAAAAATAGTGATCCTGTGGTATATCAAATATTGATTTTTGCCCTAAAAAAGGCCGTTTCGGGGATTTCATGACTCCCAAAAATGGATTTCATAACTGGGACTCAGCCTGGCCGAATCCTCACCCTGACCAAGGCAAACAACCGTTGGAAAATAACCATGGCTTTCTGGCTTCACTGAATGGGACATGTTGGGACAATCAAAATGAACTACTGTAATATTTTTGGTTGCACATTTTCCCAAGCCGTTGAAGCAGCATAGCAGGGCATAGCACCACTCCGGCATAGTGATTCTTCCTGGGCACGAAGCTAGGGATCAAGCTGGTTAACGATGTCGTTTTCCATGGTAATCATTTACGGTAAACACCATAAATCACCATTAAAATACCACCAAAACACCATTAAAACACCATTAACCCTAGAGCTAAACACCATGAAACATGTTTTAAAGACACTCAACACCATGAAAAACACCATCAATCACCATACACCGTTGCCATAGGCACACAGAATAAGGGGACGGAAGCTTCACCAGGGGAAGTTGTCAGAGGGGGCCACAAGACCAGTTCCAATAGAATTATGTTGCTTGATGATTGTACATGTATGATTACTGATTGCGATATTTGACTATTGAGTGACAAGAGTTGTGCTCAGATTTGGAGACTTCTCTTTGAACATTGCAGACTTAGCAGACTTAGGACCATCTTCCACATGGCTCTTCAGCTGAGTACCGACATGCTGCGGAGAACGGAAGGCGACACCTTTCTTTGATCGGCGATGTGGATCACATCTCCTGCCCCAAATTCGCTGGGCTCCTCTGTACAGAGAGGGAGACCCCTCAAGGGTCACCAGGTGCAGTCCCATCTTTGGGTCCGACGTGTCCATGGCAATGGAAAATCCAGCATTTTTAGATGACTTTCCCAGCTATTTATGATGGGTTTATGAAGGATTTTCCATCTGCACAGCCATGGCAGCCATGGATTACCGGATGGTTTTCGGCCAGCTCGGACCCAAAGACGCAGCAAGACGCCCCGTTGACGGGAGACTGAAACCGTGTGGCTGGTCGGTCTCCGGTGTAGCGACTGATGCACCTTTTGCATCAACCATCTCCGGAAAAGGACCTGGGAATACCTTGGAAGTTGTCCAAAAATGGGACGACCCTAAAATCATCTTCTTTTTTGTAAATCATAATATTCACCACCGGGATGTGCCTGAGACATCTTTGTTGGCACAGCTTATACTATTTTTTGTGGTTGATCATGTGCAGCTGTGAGCCTAACTGTTGCCATGATTTGGAATCCTGGAGGGTCCTGGGGGGTTGGGGGATGATTTCTTGCCTGCAGCTGCTGTGATATATACTCATTAGACAAAGCTCATGAACAGAGATGAACAGAGAGTTTTTAGGGTTGCAAGGCAGCAAGAATCGCATCACATCACGTTGCCCTGAAGTCTCATGCACAGAACCCCCATGTCAACATCTCTTGCAGTGAAGTGAAAAGTAAGAACACTTAGTAAAACTTAGAGTCTGAGACTTTCAACACAAACATACGCTGATATGATATGGAAAATGGCTCAGATAGAATGTGCAAAGCAACACACCATGATCACTTCCGCCTTGTAAGCAAGACAAAATTCTGATCAAAACGACTTGCAAAGCACAGAGCACTGGCATCTTTTCTCGGCCACAGCATGAAGGCCCGACTTGGAATCGTCTGTTGTTTTCCGACCGCGCATCCCGGGCCCTGCCAGGCCTTTCGGCTGTTTTGCCAGGGTGACACCCTGCAGGCAGGGAGTTGGCATGGGTTCCTGGGTCAGTTAATGGTTTCGGGTGGGTCAAAGCCTAAATGCCAAATTGTTGGGGTGATGAACATCCATAAGGATCCATAAGGGCCATGAACAGCAGCTGTGAAAACCAGGGGATGATGTGCCAGGCTGATCTGTGGCAGCTGACTGACACAGGTGCCATGAGTAATGGAGGGCCTGGGGTGCCAGCAAGATTGGTGTCAAGAAGATGGCCACAATTTTTATGAGACCCGGCCCAGCTTCAGGTTATGTGGATTCATCTAGCCATCTCTTGGACAGAGTCGTGAAGGCTGGACTCCTGGACACTGCTGGAATTCCCAGTGGATCCAGCCACCGGTTAGGCCTGTTCGGATCCTGATGACCGTCACGTCATCATGCGACACTTGCAGGCGCCGGCAAGTTTTTTGAAATGCACTTGAGAACACAGCAAAAAGATGCGAAACGCAGTACATCAAAATGCCAGCTTGTAGTCCTGTTAGATTTGTTGGATAATTTGGACATGGGGACTTGTCGAAGGAAGTTTAGAAGTCAAACTTCCGACAATATGGACAGATGGAAAGCAGAGGTGGGAAGAGTCAGAGAAGAGAAAGGAAGAAGAAAGAAGAAAAAAGGTCAGAGAAGAGAAAGAGTCAGAGCACAGAAAGATCAACGTGCGCGAAAAGGTAGAAAAGTCGCGAAACACTTTGTTTTTCCGCTGTTTTTGTTCTGTCGCTCCCGAGGGTCGAGAAGTAGGCTCGCTAAAGCGGGCGGAGCCACCTGGGCAGATGAGAGATAAACAATTGCACGCCGCTGTGGCGTGAAGCGCGTTTTGAAGTCAAAATGCGAAAAACACCTCGGTCTTGGCGCACTTTTGGAAGCACACAATATCACCCCCTCCGGGCTGAGTTGTGGGTGAGAGGCCCCATATGTAAAAGAACTGAGGAGCAGAGCGGGCTCTATTTGCGGAATTTCCTTTTATTTCGGCCAGATCAGCACAAAGTTCCCCACGTCACTATGTGGGGCTCTAACTTTTTGTTCCACATCCGCCTTCCCTCCACCTCCTCCCGCCTCCCGCCGTCTATCACCCGCCGTCTATCAACTTGTCTGCATCAACTTGTCCCTATCAACTTCTCTATATCCACTTGTCCTTATCAACTTGTCTCTATCAACTTGTGTCTATCAACTTGTCTCTATCCACTTGTCTCTATCAACTTGTCTATATCAACTTGTCTGTATCAACTTGTCCCTATCAACTTCTCTATATCCACTTGTCCTTATCAACTTGTCTCTATCAACTTGTGTCTATCAACTTGTCTCTATCCACTTGTCTCTATCAACTTGTCTATATCAACTTGTCTATATCAACTTGTCTCTATCACCTTGTCTCTACCACCTTGTCTCTCTCACCTTGTCTCTATCACCTTGTCTATATCAGCTTGTCTCCATCAACTTGTGTCTATCAACTTGTCTCTACCCACTTGTCTCTATCAACTTGTCTATATCAACTTGTCTATATCAGCTTGTCTCTATCACCCTTTCTTCACCTTGTCTCTATCACCTTGTCATTATCCAGTTGTCTCTATCACCTTGTCTATATCCACTTGTCTCTATCACCCTATCTTCACCTTGTCTCTTTCACCTTGTCTATATCCACTTGTCTCTATCACCCTTTCTTCACCTTGTCTCTATCACCTTGTCTACATCAACTTGCACCACACTACAACTACAACAACAGCTATAGCTACAGCTACAACTACACCACGCCACATCCAGCAGTTGTGGGTGACGTGACAGCTGCAACGACTCCAAAAAGCACAACTCTAACTACCTTTCGGTCGATCAGTGGATTCGCTCTGCCACTCATGCATCACAACAGCGCGCCTCTCCTATAGTTTCCTATCTTTGAAACTTCCGCCACGGCCTTGTCTGGTACACTACTGGTAGGTTCTGGGAACACCTGGCAGAATTTGCCTTCAACAATTCAGATGAACTTCACTGGTGCCAGGAGCATCTATCCATCTCCAGCAACTGGCGACACCTTCTGGGAGGCTGGGTGGTTGGCAAATCATCCATAAGATGTGCTTGCTCAACCATCGCAAGTGGGCACACACACAACAATGAAACATGGTTTCTACATACTTAGAAACAATTTTTAGTTTCCAACATCAACTTCAGGTGGTGTTGGTACATGATCCCCCAAAACAGGCACAAAACAGGCCGTGAATTGGACAGGTTTAACTCTTCTGCTGGAGCTGGTAAAGCATGGGCCTCCCATGCTGTTTGTTTGGATCTCAGAGGCTTTGTCAGCCAGTGCCTGTGTCCAAAATGGGGATATAACCAGCCAAAATTCAAATTTTTAAAAGCTGCCAAAATGGTGGTTTTACCATCAAGAAATAAAAAAATCTTGACTTCACCAGTGAATGGTGGATACGGGTTGATCCGGAATTGGGGGATGAGATTGGATGGGCTGCCATTTTATGGGGACTGAATCTTCGGGAACGTGATGATCGATGACTTGAGCCTCAGGTGGAAATTGGCAATGGATATCACTTTGATCCTGTGCAGCGTCACTCGGACGGCGCTGGACATCATGTTTTGCATCAGTTTTTGGGGAGACTCTCGGAGCGTCTGCGAATTTCGGACCCCTTTGATGCAAACATATCGAAACTAGACTTTTTTGCTAGGCCCAATCCCATATTTTTTGGAAGGCCTCAGCTTCCTCGAGAATTTCCAGTGACCCAAGGGCTGGCACTTGGGGCAGTGCCGGGCGATTGTTTTGGTTGGGTATCGGCCAAACTGATCACCCCTATGCGCCCGGAATCTTTGGTCAGAATTATCAACCGAACATGGATGCAGTAGTAGTAAACTGAACCAATTTTGGGGTCCATGTGTGTAGTTCTGTTTCAAGCCTCTTGGGTGGAGATTGTTGATGAAATGCAGTGAGCCAGGTATAAGTCTGACCAGATTCTATGGCAGTTCAACCCTCTGCGCTCAGAGGTATGCAGAGGATCCTCGAGTTCAGAAGCTGATTCGGAACAAGGCTTGCCAGGGACGGAGTTGTAGCAGGGTGTGTGGCACACCAGAGGGCGCATCCCCTATTTCTTTCTTTATTCTTGATAACGCTGTTGGCTAAATAGTTGAACCTCTTTTTGGGTTGCTGAAATAGCCATGGAATGCTGGTCATCCCTTGGAACACCTTGGGCGATTGGGATGATTGGGGCCTCAGTTGACACATATTCCTACTTGTAGAACGGGTTGAAACGCCAGATCAGAACTCGTAACATCAATGCTGTCCTCTTCCGGGAAATTGTTTAAACAGGAATGGATCCAAGTGGGGTCCTGCAAACTTGGGTGGTTTTCAGGGTAACGCTGGCCAGTGAGGTGCTTAACATCATTTAACATTGAGATATTTGGGAGGGAATGAGCCTCCAATTTTCCGGGATTTTTCCAGATCCCAGGCGATGAGCCTGCGCACTGCACTCATGCAGAGGATGCGCTCAGGCTTGGATGGTTCTAATCAAGTTTCTACCTAATCTATCTATCTACCTATCTATCTATCTATCTATCCATCTATCTATCTATCTGTCTGTCTATCTATCTATCTATCCATCCATCCATCTATCTACCTATCTATCTATCTATCCATCCATCCATCCATCTATCTATCTATCTGTCTATCTATCTACCTATCTGTCTATCTATCTATCTATCTATCTAGCTATCTGCATTCATAGACCTTTTGTGTTGCATGTGAAAATTCCTTTCCCTTTCGAATGCGACCAGTCAATCAATTACTGAGTTTTTCGGCCAAGCATCAACCAGCGCCGAAACACCAGCACTACCATTGCCATGGCGGAAGCCGATGTGAAGTTGACCACCGTCAGCAAGGGCGGCGCCAAGCTTGGCAGTGTGATCCCGCAGGAGGCCATGTCCAAGAGCGATGGCAAGGTGCTGCTGCCGGGCGATGTTTTGGGTGTTGGGGAGTTTAAGACCAGTTGCTTTTGAAGGCATGGCTAAAAAATCATTGGAACAATCAACGTATTGACATATGCAAATCAACTGACATAGATTTTCAGATGGTGTTTGAATTTGGATATAAAACTTTTCAAACTGGATAATCAGTCGTGTTTGAATCAGAAGGGAGACCATTGTGGCTCAACTTTTCTCAGGTGGCCATTGCCGGTAAATGGAAGATTCAAGGCGTCGCCCAGCCGGTGGACCTCACGGTCAGCGGTTCCAGTGTGACATCTGTGCAGAAACCTTTTGGCAACTGGATGGATGACGGGGGCCGCAGTTGGATTGTTCGCTTTTTTTTATTCAATGGAAAATCCCAACAAAGACAAAACTAGTGCTAAATTGTCACTATTTTCGGATATTATTATATTATTCCCCAAACAGTGTCTCCACACTGAGGGTTCTTGCCGTAGGTGTTAAAGGCTGGGGTTAGATCAGGGTACGCTCTCTGGGCCCATTTTTCCCTTGCAAATTCTCGCATAAAAGGGAGTGAGATGTCCATGTGAATTTCGACTGCGCAGGCTCGGAGAAAGTGCGCGGCTAATTTTTTTGTCCCTTTCGAATTAAGACTTCGTTTTACTAGCGTGCTCTTTTTTTTTGAGCTATGTCCATGTCGTGTGGCAGGCGTAGCATTTTCGGGTCATTTTGAGGTCTATTTTTGTCTTTTTTTGCTTGGCTTGTGTAAGACATCGGGCACTTTTCATCTGCGTGGCAGGTGTGGCACTTTCTGCACGTTGCTAAAACGTTGGCAGGTGTGGGTCATGCGCAGTATTTGGTGAACTTGGACGATGTTTCGAAAGGGTCACAAGTTTGTGAAACTGTCGTCATTGTTGATTTGGGACATGATGATGATTCCATGTGGCAGGTGTACTGTAGCACTTCGGACGCCTCGGGCTCATTTTTCGTGGCAGGCGCAGTACTTTGCAGTTCTCGAACAAAAAGTGCCCGAAACCCGCGGTAAATACGCAATTTTTGACATTTCTAGTGTTCATTTTTTCGTGGTGCGCGAAATGATTTGTGAAAATCTAACACGTGCTCGCGCAAGCGTCTCGTGACTTTGTGCGTGTCTGATCGCTCTCGTTGTGGTGCGGTGCGAATTTTGATATCGCTCGCGCAACCCTTTCGTGACTTTGGGTGTGTCAGATCGCTCTCGTTGTGGCGCGGTGCGACTTTTGATATCACGCGTGCAGCCCTCCTGGCACTTTGGGCGTGTCGGGTCGCTCTCGTCGTGGTGGGGTGCGAACAGGCGTTTCATGTCGCAGCCTTGGAGGTCCGTAATGTTTGATGATCTTGACCAAGGTCTTGTAGAGGTCCTTGTGAGAAGATGTTGTGAAGATCTTGATGAATTCTTGTCAGAGGTCCTAGCATGATCTTGTATTTCAGTACAGGTCGATATGAGAAGATCTTGTGAAGATCTTGCTGACATCCTCCCTTGCGTAATCTTGCACGGGTCCTCATGGGAAGATCCTGTGGAGATCCTGGTGAGATCCTCCTTAAGAGGTCCTTGCATTAACAGAAGATCTTGCGGAGATCCTGGTGAGATCCTCCCCAAGAGGCCCTTGCATGAAGATCTTGCAGATGAGTTAGAGGTGCTTCTATGAAAGCTCTTCTGGGACGCTCTTGGGAGGTTCTTGTGTCAAGATCTTGTAAGGTCCTCTCCAGCAGCAGCAATGACCATCTTGTGAGCTGGCATGAAGATCTTCGGCAACATCTTTTGCAGCCCCTTGTTAGAACATCTTGTGGAGATCCTGGTCAAGTCTTCTAAGAGGCCCTTGCAGTGCATGATCTTGTGCAGATCCTTGTGGGAAGATCTTGTGGAGATCCTTGTGAAATGCGGTCAGGGGCCTTAGCATGATCTTGCGCAGGTCCTTGTGAGAAGCTCTTGAAGAGGTCCTGGTGAAATCCTTTATGTGTCCTTGTGTGATCTCGTACAGGTCCTTGAGAAGATCTTGCGGAGATCCTGTTGAAATCTTCCTCAAGAGGTCCTTGCATTAAGATCTTGAAGATGCTCTGCGTCGGTGCTTGTATGAAAGTTCTTCTAGAATGCGCAGAGGAAATTCTTGTATGAAGATCTTGTAAGGTCCTCTATATAGAAGGTCATTCTTTGACGATCATTTGAAATTTTCTTAGATGCCCTGGTATGAAGTTCTGGTTTGAGGTCGTGATAAGTAGACATAGCATTGCTTCTTGCGCCAAAACAAGTTCCTGCTGCTGCAGTTACGAGAATATTTAACCTGATCTGTCGCTGTTCCATAGTTACTGTTGCTTGTATTTGGTACATTAGGGTCTCTTGCCAGTGCAATTTTTTAAATCTTCCTTTTTTAGGGGTGGTTATAGATGGCTTTACATGGATTTACCATTTCTTGTTGCCACGTTGATACTGCCAAGGCAATGAGCCTTTGATGGCCGAGATTGAGGAGAGCGAGGAGAAGTTCGGGCTGCACGTCACCTTGGGCGGATTTCCCATGAAGGCTTGGCTAAAGAAGGAGGGCAATGACACGGTGTTGGCTTTCTCCAATGGCGGACGTTGGGCGAAGCTTTGAGAAATTTTGATAGATCGGCAACGAGATCGCCGAGACCTGAGGGGTGCGTTTTGATCTATTTAATTGCTGTACAGAAAGGTGTCATGACACTATCCAGTCGAATCCACTGCGTGAGGTCATTTTTTTTTCAACGGGCAATTTGGACCATTTGAGGTGACTCTGTTCAGGATAGTAGCAGTGACTCCTAACCACTGGCTGGGCTAGTACCAGAGGCAAGGCTTATTCTGACCGTAGAAGGCCTTATTAGACATGATTTCTGCGGCGAAGTGTCAAAGGCTGCTACCTTGGAGCTTGTTTCATTGGGAAGGATGAGAAGGATAGGTGGTAAAGCTTCTGGATATGTAATGCTTATATAGACAATATTCGACATTTGGAGACCTCCGTGTCTCAGCAGTACACTATTGGGTTTCATGTGCAGCCTGGACCAACTAAGACCGCAGGTGATACTTGCCCTGATGATGGGAAGAGCATCTCCAGTAGCGATCCATACACGTTGCCAAAATGGAGGTGCCACTGGGTGGAACTTGAGATCCAAAGTTCAAAGTTTCTTCGTCGAAGATGAAACAGACCGCATACCGGCATACCCTTAGGCGATTTAAAGGGGCGAATACGTACAATGGATCCTACTCAAGGTATCTTTAAAAATTCAGCGCGCTTTAATTCCACTGGCTTATGAAGGAAAGCATGCAATGTCGAACATTCAGTGATTGGATGTGAGGAATTCCCAGGATTTCATGCAGGCTATGTGCTAAATCCATGGCTTTTTTGAGGATCCAGGGAATTGCCATGTCAAGCACTGACAGAGGCAAGGGCCCATCAATGGGCTTGGTGGTGTAGAGCTGAGCTGCCAGGTTATGAGATTTTACTGGGGTATTGCACATACTGGTAATTAGGTATAACATAGATAAATAAATTGAGTTGAACACTCACGCATATATATATATATATATGTTCACTTATCATCGCTCTGGTGGGTTGGGATGGGTAGGTCAACCATTAGTTCCTTCAACCTAACTGTCCTTTCCTCTTCCTTGATGTTCTGTCAGTTTGCATTAATCAGTGCTGATGTCATGTTGATCAACATGTGCTGAGTTCAATCTTGTGATCATTTTATTTCGATCTGAATTTACAGCTGATCAGCTGAAGAGTGGAGGGTACTCACCCTCAGTCAGAATGGCATGAGATCGCTCGTATCTTGTGCCATTTTGGCTCAAGGTTGATCAATCATCGTGGGCAATATCCAGCGCAGCCACAGGTGGCCCTGCCAGTGAGCGGGATCTCCATCCATGAATTGTCCGACCGGGCCTGGGAGTTCTTGAGCAAGGTGGTTTGCAATGTCAAAAAATGCGAGGTCACGGAGAAAACTGAAAAGATCTGAGCAGCCACAATGGAGGATTTTGAGGCAAAGGTCACAGCGGGCCCAATGTTCTCCAGAGACGAGGTCAGCGCATTTGTGGGCACTGATCAGTGGATTCCCACACAGAGGTTCGAAGTGGTCCGAAATAACAAAGTTCGTGGTGTCGAAAAAGCCAACGGTCAATGGTGTGAACATGGCCACAACGATCACGGAAAAGATCGAACTGCCATCTACAGATGTCAATGTCGCTGCTCTTCGGTGGTTGCGATCCCACATCAACAAGGACGAGAAGATCGAAGGACGGGTCCTGGATGAAAGAAGGGCATTTCGCCAGATCCGAGTCAGGCCAGATCACAGGAGGTGGAGTGTGATCTCGCTCCGTGAACCTTCGACAGGCAGGTCTCCTTCTTTGTCATGGTAGGCCCCCCCTTTGGTCTCGTTTCTGCTGTGTACAACTATAACAGAAGATCAGCGGCCACTACAGACATTTTGAGGAGGATCTTTTTGGTGGCTGCTTTCATTTTGTATGATGACAAGTATGGGTTCGAACCTACTGCCACGTGCTCTTCTGCATTCGAGGGCGCGCAGCTTCGAAGGTCCACACTTTGTTGGGAGCGCGGTTCGGCCCGAAGAAGCTGCAGCTGTGGTGTGATCCCACGATCCTCAGTGTCACTTACGATCTCAACGGCATGCTGCTGAAGAACAAGCTATCGAGGAAGGTGGAGCTGGAGGAAGAGATCGGTTCCATCCTAGAGTCTAGAGTGCCAAGTTTTCCCGCCGGGCCACGCGGGGAAGCTCCGCGGCAAGCTCATGTTTGGAGCGTCACAGCTCTGTTGGCAAGATCTGGAGGGCGTTTCTGCGATCTTTTTCGGAACGTTAGTATTGGAAGTTGTACCGCACCAAGCTCAACAAAGCGCTGGTGCTGTCACTGAAACAGTGGCTGTGGCTGGCTGATTAGCGAAGGTCCTCCGCGCCCGATCGAGTTCACCAGGCCTATAGGGCGCCTGATTTCGTGATCTTCACCGATGGCAGCTTCCCTGATATAGGGGCTCGCACGGGATCCTGGTCGTTGTTGCTCGTGGATTCTGAGCCTGTACAGGGAGCTCTAGTGAAAGGACACTCAGCTCGAGAAGATTTGTGCGAGCCTGTAGGTGTATTCTGGAACAGCTTCAGACCTCAGAGTTCAACTGTATATCGACCGAGTTCCGACCGATGCCAACTCAGCTGATCACCCGCCTAGAGATCGAATGCAGTTCGGCGCTAGATTAGGTTGGAAGACGGTCGCTCCAGTCTTTCCTGATTTGTAACAGCGTGGGTAAAGTGATGATCTGGTCATGTGAGCGGGAGTTCCATTTTTATGCGATCAAGTACTTTTCATGTCAGTGATTTTTCTGATCGATCTGTGCCTTTGATCAAATGGCTCTCGATCTTTGATGATTTGTGAATGGCGTCAGATCCAAACACAATGCTGGTGGATCGACCAGTTGACAGATCCATCCGATAGATCCAACTCCCCGTTTCTTGCCCACGTCGCTGGGGAGAGAAAAGTTGCTCTGCCCGCAGTTTGGTTGTAGTGCAATGTGATCACATGCACGTTCTTGAACTTGGATTGGTTCACTTATCATCGCTCTGGTGGGTTGGGATGGGTAGGTCAACCATTAGTTCCTTCAACCTAACTGTTCTATTCTCTTCCTTGATGTTCTGTCAGTTTGCATTAATCAGTGCTGATGTCATGTTGATCAACACGTGCTGAGTTCAATCTTGTGATCATTTTATTTCGATCTGAATTTGCAGCTGATCAGCTGAAGAGTGGAGGGTACTCACCCTCAGTCAGAATGGCATGAGATCGCTCGTATCTTGTGGCATTTTGGCTCAAGATTGATCAATCATCTGGCCAATTTTGATCTCCCACCCAGCCCACCCTGGTTAACCCAGGGTGTTGGGAGCCAACCAACCCACTTTTGGCAGATCCTAGCCAGCGCCGATCTGCTCGTGATGCAGCTCTGGCTCTTGGCTGGTGCCGCTTGCTCGGGGTGAGTCGATGATCTGGTCATGTGAGAGGGGGTTCCATTTTTTTGCAATTAAGTACTTTTCATTTCAGTGATTTTTGTGATCGATTCTGTGCCTTGGATCAAATGGTGGCTCTCGATCTTTTGATGATTTGTGAATGGCCTCAGATCCAGAGGCATTTCATCCATGTGTTCTGTCATAATCCGATAGATCCAACTCCCTGTTTCTTACCCACGTCGCTGGGGAGAGAAAAGTTGCTCTGCCTGCAGTTTGGTTGTAGTGCATGTGATCACATGCACGTTCTTGAACTTGGATTGGTGTAAATATCAATATACATCTTGAGCAAAACACGGTAACTACAACGCAAATGGAATCGGTTCATAAACCATGTTTAAGTGATGACAAGGGGGTATGCACTAGAGCTCTGTTGGATTTTTCTTACATATTACCCGCTTACTAACTGTGATGCACAAAAGAGGTTTGTCTGCAAATAGGGCACCCTATCCCATCATCCACTGGTTGATCATCACTTCCCAGTTGAATTGGCAACAGACCCATATGAACACAATTAGGATCTGCACTTTTCCCTTATGCTATTTGATAACTATGGTTGTTATGGAGTTTCGCACAGCCCCATCTTCTTGACAGCTGGGATGTCCCAGGCTTTCCAGAAATGGGAGTTGATGCTCAGGTGATTGGCCACCATGAAGACACAGATCATGAATCAGAAGATGAGCCAGTCGCTCAATTTCTGACTTGAAGGGAAGCAATTGCAAGAACCCCTACATTTAATGAGAAATATGAGAACTTCGGTGAATTTGCCTTAAACCAACCCTGAAAAAAATCTGCAGCTGCTGTTCTTGCTGTATTCATGTCCTGGTCCCAGATTCCACCGCTGAAGCAAGGATACTGAAGCCGAGTGCATCGGCGGTTTGCAGCCCAGCAGTGCACCTTTTGCTGTGGATCCTTGCTCCGCGATCCTGCACGGCGGGGTAAGGCATCCACACAGTCCACGGAAGATCTTCTAGAAGGCCTTCAGATTCCCAAATGGGTCAAACTTAGAGATGTAAACATGATGCAACCTGTTCAAAGTTGATCAACCATGGCGAGTTTATACAAGTGAAAAATTGGGAGACCCCTAAATGGTATGGCAGTTTATGACATCAAATTGTTCCAACATTTTGTTTGAGGGTCTTGAATTCTTGGTCCATACAGCAAATGGTGGATGGTTTGGGATCCGTACTTTCTGGATCTTGGACCTCACGACCTTGAAATAATCCTGCGGTTGACATCACTTTTCCCAGCTTTTAATGACAAGGGCCATACATTGGGAACCTCATTCCACAGGAAATTCTTCAACCCCCCATCCACAAAGGTCCAAAAAATACCCATTGGTTGATGGTTCTATCCCAGTAAATCAATTTGAATCACGTTAAACATATAGAGTTTCCATGATCTCCGGTGACAGGCGATTGGTGGTGCGTCGACACGGCGGGCCGCGAGGTCGATCAGTCTCCATGGACCTCCGAGACTCGAAATTGAGGTGCCTAAGGAAGGATATATATATATATACGTATATAATATTATTTGTGTATATGTATGTATAATTATGTACATACATAATATATACATATGTATATATATATTTGTATAAATATGTATATATTATGTATATATATATACAGATATTAGAATGCAATATAAGGTAAAGTAAAGTAATGTGATATACTGTGAAATAATGAAATATAATGAAATATCACATGATATGATATAGGATAATCTGTGAGATATACGTATATATATATACACTGCATTATCTGTAGACGTTTCTGTATATGTGTTTGTATCTGTATATGTATCTGTATGAGTGAACATGACTTGTCACTGAAGTTTCTGCATGTTGGTCATGGATTGAGAGTGTGATGCCAACGGCAGGTTGCCGTTCTGAGCCAATATGTACAGTTTGGCGAAGCTTGGCAGGAGGTTCTTCTGTGCAGTGAGCGGAGAACTAGAGGATGATTGTCTCAAAGGGTCATCAACAGATCTCAGCAGATCTTGTCCGTCAGCTGAGAGCATGAATTCTGCTGTAGGTGGCCCTAGAGACAATCCTTTTGCATGTGGCCTACCGTTGAGCTGATTGGGCAGCGGAAAATCATTTGTACCGAGGGACAGCCAGCACATTTTGATGTGCGTACCAGTTACCCAAGAATATATGGGATATAACCAAGCTATATGTATAAACCAGAAATACATGGCTTATTGCGTGATTCATCATTTGCTGGAGATGCACGCCCGCGGTGTTCAGCATATCCTTCCCAACCATTCCTTTTTGAGGTCAGGAATGCACGAACGCAGCTGTGATCAGCGCAACTTGAAGAACACAGATTCAGTGGTTGAAAGATGGTGAAACTCGTTGACTTTTCTATTTTGCATCATTTACCATCGCGGATACAGGACTTGTTTGACATGTTTTGTTATCGTCCTGAATACTGTGCTGCTGACATGATATGCTATGCAATTCTTAACAACCGCCTGTGTGGCTGCAACATACCACTCGAATGTGCAGCCATAGCTTTGTTTCGAATGCAACAGCAGATGTAGAGAGAAGACGATGTCGACAGAGTTCTGACCTATGGATCGCGAATATGAAGAGGCCTGGTTCACTCTTCAAACTCACCATCCGCAGCCGGTAGTACAGGGTCTTCCTGTCCCACTGCGCGCCAAGGTCATTGCCAACCAGCCTGTGGTCATCGACAATGGCTCCGGCATGATCAAGGTTTGGAGATCGATGTAGGACTGTCATGGACTGTCATGGACTGCCATGGATCCAAAGATGGGTTGATCCAGACATATCCAGAATTTACATACGTGATTGATCATATCCGTGGTGGTGTTGATTTGATATCATTTGATCATTTTTGATCATAGTGGTGGTGTTCGACAAAGTTTTTGACACACAACGAACGGCAAATTGTGCCATTTTTGTGGCTCAAAGCCATTCATTCTCGACCCAATTGCAATCACAGGCTGGGTTTGCCGGTGATGATGATGCCGCTTGTCAGCAGTTCACAGAAAATTCAAGGCTCTAATTCCGCTCCTCGATTCGAGATAATTGAGGGACACTCCCATCAATTGGTGATATGTTTTGCACATGAACGGGCACCATGGAACACCTGGTGGTTGCACCCTGAATTTTCTAGTATATTGATGTATATTGCAAGGCAGTCTGTATTTCCAAGCTTCGGTTGCTTTCTATATCTTTCAGGGCTCCTAGGAATTCACCTTCCACACCTGCGATGGTTGCCATGAGGTGAAATTGGTGCACCCCTCCTTTGTTGGAAGGTGCTGAAAGCTGGTGAATGATCACAAATTGGTTTCTCCTTGGAAGTCCTGAGCAGCTTGATGTTCTTATGCCCATTTTCCATTCTGTTGATTTCATGAGTGTTCGCACGTTGCTAAATTCGGGTTCAACATGTTTCGACATGAAATCCGGGTACTTGCCACCTTCATTCACCATCACTTTCAGCGCTTTCGAGGATGCCGACGCGCTGATGCCAGGCCCAAACACCAACGCGTCATGGCCGGTGCCGTGGAAGGAGATGCCGGTGAGATCTTTGTGGGTGAACGCGCCGAGAAGTTTCGTGGGATTCTGTCCTTGAAATATCCCATGGAGCACGGCATTGCTGGGGTCTCAGATGGATTCAGATGGTAGATATGCTATGATATGCTGCCAAGATTCAAGGCCGACCTAGTGGCGAAATGATTTGATTTGGGTGGTTTGGCAGACCATATCAAAGGAGTGTGGGGCACCAGTGGCATTTCATCCTGGAGGCGATGATGTTGTCAGTTGGTGGTGCCAATTGCCTGATGCCTTGAGGTTCAGCACTGGGACGACATGGAGCTGATTTGGCGCCATGTCTATTCTGAGATGAAGGCAACTGGAGAAACTGGTGTTTTTCCAGAGATGAGCCATGGAACATGATGAAATGTCGACCTTTGTGACCAGATGTTCTGACTAGCGGCTGTTGCTGCAGAATTGGGAGTCACCATAGATGTCAGGTGAATGCTGAAGAGCATCCGGTTCTGCTCACAGAGGTCTGGCTGGCCATTTTTCACCTGCCAGATTTGCTTGATCCAACTGGAACAGTGCAGCTCTCATGGCCGAAACCAGCCAGGCACCGCTAAATCCGCGAAAGAATCGGGAGAGAGTGGCTCGGGCTGAAATTCGCTGGTGGGCATCTGAATTTCTGGGAAGTAAACAGCCCAGGACAGGCGAATGTTTGATGATTTCCACCACTTTGCTTGTTGTTCAATGTTACCTCATCATTGTGCTTGCAAAATCCCCACTCATGTCGCTTCTTAATTACAAACCCATTTTTGTTGGTTGTATCCCCATTTGTCATTGGCTACCGAAAGTCCTGAGGCGGCCGAGATCTTTTTTGAGACCTTCGGCTGCCCCGCACTGTTTGTGTCTGCTCAGGCGGGGCAACCAGTTTGATTGCCGCCAGGAGCCAGATAGTCTATTTCACTTTGGGTGGTTTTATATCTACCATGCATTATATAGTTATTTTTACCAGGTTCCATCCAGATTTGTGAAAATAATCCAAGGTTTTCACACTTTTTGGATGGCTGGAAAGCAACGAGTTAATGAGGACGGGACTCCCAATGGTCGCGTTTGACCTCGGGCAAGGCGATTCTGTCGTTGTACGCCAGCGGACGGACGACCGGGGTCTCTGTGCTCAGTGTCAGATCATCATCAAGTCACCATTAAATCCCATATATGTATACACATACGTCTCATAATTATATAATATAAATTAGAAAATATACATTTAATCGGGCATTTATAAATCTATATACATGTATATTAATTATATATCTATATCTATATCCAATATCTAATATCTAATATCTATATCTAATATCTAATATCTATTATCTAAATCTAACTCTATACCAATATCTATATCCATTTGTATACACACACATATATATATATAAATATATTATTTGGTTAGATAAATTCAAAGTGGTCTTAGGCTCCAATCCTTCCTCACCCACCGAGGTGGTTCTGGACTCCGGCGACGGCGTGAGCCATGCGGTGCCGGTCTACGAGGGCTTTGCTCTGCCACATGCAGCGTGGAAGCCCAGACATTTCTTTGGCGGTGTTGGACGTGGGGAGATATGGTTTGTTAATGGCATATAATGGGGACATAGTATGCGTATATGTATATATATATAGTATTTGATATATATAATATTTGATATATATATAATATATATATAATATAATATAATATAAAATAATATATAATATATAATATAATATAATATAATATGTATATATATATAAATATAATATAATATAATATAATATAACATAATATGTATATATATACTATAATATATATTATATATATATAATATAATATATTATATATATAATATAATATATATATATAATATATAATATATATATATACACAATGGGGATAGAAGGGGACGTACCTAAGCAACAATATGATTTGGGATGATTTGGAATGGACCTCTTCCTGCTTTGAAATTCTGCGGAAATGTTACGTTAGTGTTGGATACGAAGCGTGGTACCAGGTATATCTCAGCAATGTATGGCTGGAGTCAGTTAGAGTTGTAATAGGTCATAAGTTTTGAAAAATGATCAGCTACAAGTTATCTGTTATCAGTTCTGAGTATTTCTTAGTAGAAAACTTATAACTGACAACTGATGTTTCTAAATTACATCCAAGTTAGCAGTTGTGACTTCTACAATCACAATGTGTCATAGGTACATCATGGAATGAAATGGGCTATTGCATAGCAAACTCTTAAATCCTATTAAATCACCTTAAATTCCCTTAGATCCCACTATATCCCGTTAAGTCCTGGCGGATCTCACGTCCCTCAGGTGATGAGATCCGATGTGGCTGGTCGCGATGTGGGGTCGCCCAGACTCGGTATGTCATGGGAATCTCATGGCAGAATCGATATGAGCAAGGGTCAAAAGATGGTATGTAGAGATGTAGTATTCGGCCACCGTCGCTTTCAAAAATGTGTGATTTCCTGTGGGGAGCGATAGGGAGCCTTGAGGAGCGATACCCCCTTAAGTAATGCAAATATGTTGTCAAAATACTACTACTACTACTACTGCTGCTACTACTACTACTACTAGTACTACTAGTACTACTAGTACTACTAGTACTATTAGTACTACTAGTACTACTAGTACTACTAGTACTACTAGTACTACTAGTGCTACTATTGCTACTAATACTACTAGTACTACTAGTACTACTAGTACTACTAGTACTACTAGTACTACTAGTACTCTAGTACTACTAGTACTACTAGTACTACTAGTACTACTAGTACTACTAGTA